GAATGCAATATCTGATTCAATAGTTATTTTATGAAAATTCATTTTTTGTTTGTGCCTGATTGTTGCTATTTACAATTGTTGCTGTTAATATTGAGGGTCTTCTATTTCAGCAAATTACAGAAAGGGAATCCTGATTTTAGTGAGGCAAATTCATTGAATGATTAGTAATTTGGAATATGACTACGAAAGCTCTTTCATTCACGCTTTCATGAATCACGATGTAGAAATTGTTAGACATAGATTGTGGGCAATGATTCAAATTATCATGAAGAGAATTGGTAATTTTGCGTAGTCGGAGTGGTGATGCATATAGTCTCATGCCTGGTTTCGAAGTTAGCCCTTGATGACTTAGCTTTGGCGATTTTTAATTGTAAAGCTCGGCTACTTTTATTGAGCGGAGGGATCGCCTGAGGTTGTTCACTTCCGTCGATTTCTGTAAGTGGTCTTCATCTTCTGCTTCAGATTTCTCTTTCCGTCACTATTTAGATTTTAACTTTTGCAAGTGAAGGAAATTAACAAATGATAAAGGCATTGAGACATTTTTTTCAATCGTCCTCACAGAATGAAAAAAATTGCATACTCTCTAGAATTTTATAGTCGCCTCAAGAAAAAGCTTTATGAACTGAAGGAAGAAATCATGTTTTGTGGCGCATCTTTTCCTTTCAAAGAATTATGTTTTAATTTTGGAATTCCGGGAACCTTGCAATTCCTGTGACAGGTTCCTTATAAAATTTCTATAATTTGATTGATTGTTTTTGCGTCACTGAAATACCCATGGATGTATAAATCCGTGAACATTTTATGGGTGTCATTTTTATTTTTGAGCAGTTTCAGCAATTTATTGAAATTTGGGAAATTTGTTACAAGGAGACGTAGATATACTTTCCTCTGCACATCGGGACATAAATCCCGACTAAATGATCTGACTATTTTCATTGAAAGAATGGTTGCCATTAAAGATGGGATTTCCAATGTTTTAAATATGGCGTAGACAAGCGGCATCCGCTGAGCATATCAACTGAGCGTTAGTGGGTGGGACACCTTAATACCTTAATATTTCGGGGGGATTTCTTTACTTTTAATATCTGATCGATCTCGATTAATGAAACCCATGAAACATTCATCTCATTCGTTAAAACCTTTTCGACGCATGCAATCATCGATGCAGTGCGAAGATGTAACTTCGATTGAAAAATCTCAATATATTGGCTTGTAATTTTATCGGCTGATTGTTTTTTCGTGCTGGATCGTTTTTAAACTTCCAAATTTACTCTCTTGCTTAATAAAGATAAAATTCATTTTCAAGCATATGAATTGTTATGCTCATAGGGTTGACCTATGTTATTTGAAAAAAGGGCGCAGTGGATCAAATATCTTCAAAAGTGGATTCTATCCTGTATTCTGTGGTAATTATTAAACGATATCATAATAGTCTCCTTCCAAAGCAGTGTTTCTTATCTTTTTTTTGGTGTCTGCTAGTGTAAAATTCCCTAAATGTTAATATAACAATTTGAAAAGTATGGTTTTGGTGCTCGTTTACATTATCTTCAATTACTAACCAATGAGGTAAGAATGGTCCGTTTTATCATGATCGATATAAGTCTCACAAGTGCGATTGCAAAAGCCGCGAATTGCTTTTATCTTGTACATTTTATCCATCATTCGCCCAGTTTGGTTCTGTGATTATCAGCAATTATCACAGTTCAAAGACTGTGGTATCTGATGATAATCACAGAATCAAACTGGGGGATGATCGATGGAAAGCACAACAGACAGTACCTAAAGTGACTGATTCATTGCGCTCCATCGTCTGATTTAGAATTTTGGAATGCCAATATTGATTTGTGTGATAATTAACCTAGAATTTGCAAGATTATTCAAATAAAAGCCTGCAAAAACTTTGACTTAAATTTCTATTTACAATAATTGAAGTGATATGGATAGGTTTTCAGATGAACTATATTGTTATATCATCGATGGTAAGTTGAGCAATTTTCATATTTGCTATAGTGGAAGAATAATTGACATATGAGAATATGAAAACAAAATTCCTGAATTTTTTTCTCGATAAGTGCACTTCGAATAGATGTCAACCAGTCACAAAATTTGTTTACAGTTATTCATTTTTTTTTCAACAATTTTTAGCAAGTGCGTAGGACAAGGCCTTATGACAAATGGCACTCATCACTGATAGTTCAGTATGCTGCCGTTGAGAACTTCTTTAATGATTTTCAATTGCAAGCAAAAGGTATAAAATAAATTTAAAAGAAGAAATAGGTAATTAATTGTTTTAAATAAAGGACTTTGAAAATGCAACGCATACTATCGATAGATTGATTACGTTAAAATCAGTAGTAAATAAACATCATAAGTAAGGAGTTAGTAAGCATCAACTACTTGAACTTAAGATTTTTCATTTTTATAATTTCGGAAATGAAGTCGGAAAATCTGAATTGTAAAACAAAAATGAGTACCTTTGGTTATTTTATAATGAAAAAGGAAACTAATTCCACTTCAAAAGGCCTGAAACATTTTCTCATTCATAGCATATCATTTCTCCAAACAAATTTCAAGTATATGAAATTTATACAAATGAAACTCTTCAATGTTGGCCTTTGTGACAAACGATGTACATTTGCTGGTTCAGAAATCAATAATTTTATTTCAATCAATCAAAGAAATACGATTTTGTAAACATTTATCCCAATTCATTAACGAATCATATGACCCATGCCAATATCTTTTTTTTTTAATTGTAACATGTCAATTCAGCAAACATCATCAATTTTATATCACTTCCTCAATACTCTTTATGCTTTTACCTGCTGCAGTACTGCAGTACGGTTGATGATAGTTTTTGCTTTGACAGAATCTTCAATAATTTCATTACCTTCCACATAGAACTATCACCTGAAAACAATATTTTGTAGATCGCATTTGAATTCAAACATCGTCGAATCATTTATTAACGAATTTGTATCAAGTCCTTAGACAAAACTGTGGGAATGAGTCAGAAAAAAAGAAAAGCAAAAAACTTGAGTTGCTTCATATGTACAGAGCAATAATTCCAATTATGCCATTCAGATGGAATGTCTTAAATGGTTGCCGAAATCCATCGCTGACGCAGAGATTCACAAGCGAATGATGCTTTTCAATAAGGTAATGGTGGCCAAAAAAATGCGTTAAGCTGCTATAGCTCTAGTCGATGATGCCGACTCCAAAAATAATAAAACAAAACAATATCATTAGTAATTAACTACTCAAATTATAAATGAAAATCATAAAAATCAACTCACAATGCCTCTAAAACATAAAAGGTTTAGCTTTATTAGAAGCGCTGTCCAATTTCTCTGTCAGAAACTGCAACATTCACACTTCTCCAGTCTAAAACCTCGAGGAATCCTAAGACTTTGAATCGTTTTCACAAGTATAATATTAAGGTTAGAAAAGGATAAGATAATATTATTCAAATCAACTTTATTAGTCCAATCAATCTACCAATTACTGCTGGCATTGCCTCCAATGATTAAAACAAAGTGTAAAATGCTATGCTTTTGAGTTTTCTGCCAGATTGTGCGCTATATCTCAACAATTATAACTGAATACATTGAATCGAAATTTCTTCATAATTTGAAATATTGAAACAGTTTGTTAAAACAATCAGAAATAAAAATATTTCTCACAAATCACCTCTATTTATATCTGTCACAACCGTTTCACATTTGAATTGCAAGCTCGCGACTGACTTCACGGTGTTAAAAACCAATTCTTCGAATTAACATATGGTGATCAAAGCCAATTTAAAGAGAGAAACTAGAACTATGCCAACTCATAAAGACTAAAACTATCCTAACTCGTGAAATGTTTCTGGCAAATAACCTTCTCTCTTCATTTCTAGTAATTTCAAACGTATGAACAATTAGATGGGCTGTCGTAAATACTTTACACTTTAGAGTCTATGAGTGATTAATGTTGTATTTTCTTGCGCAGCGATTCAGTCCTCGTGATCGTGCCCAGACAAAACTACATAAAGCCAACGCTTTGCTGTTACATCCGGCCATACAATATCATAGACCAAAGCCAGTGTTTTAAGGCCTGACCCGACTCAAATACTGATACGCGATGCGATATGACCAGAGATACCACCGAAAAACGGAAGGATGAGTCTTGCAGGGATTACGTGAGATACGTTACAGCACAATTTCACTCGAAATATTCAGATGATTGGTGCAAGTGAGGCTTTGGGGAGCGGTGTTTTTGAGGTTTTATTTATTTCAATCAACTTCTATCAGTGCTAATAGCCATGCTTAGTCATTTACATTTTTTAAGTGTGCATATTTAAGGAGAAAAAGGACTAGCAGTTCGAATATTTCATTATAACGTCGAGATTTTAGTTTTTATTGAAATTCACTTTTATTCCGCAGGGTTACAGTTCGTTGATTCTATTCTTTTCCTGTGAGGGTAGGTATCGTCGAATTTTGGCAAACATCTAAACTTTGCAGTTGGATGCATCTTGTGCACGAACGCGGTAAGTTTTCACATTTTATTTTACTTATGGTTTAATTTTGTTCACAAAACTCCGAAATTTAGACATCGTTATGTTGAAAATAATTATTTGCAAAAATCTATTGGAGGCATAGAGTAACATTAATGAATTATTTTTGATTCAAGCAGTCAGGAATGTCCGGGACGGAGTCTTTGGTACTGAAGCTTGACTTGAACTTGTAATTTAATTAAATATGATGTGAGAAGATACAGTTTATTTAAAAATTAGCTTTTATGTCTTTTGTGGAATGTTTGGATTTAACTGTAAACATGGAAAGTTTGTGAAAGGCAATTTTCCCAATATTTTGGAATTTAGATTTCATTTTTCAAATGTAAGACAAGTTAAGTGCTGAATTTGTCATTGGATTATCAATTGATTGTCTTCTTTTTGTAAATTTCATTCGTTTAGATAAATCATTTTCTATAAGAGAGAATTTATTAATAAACAATAGCAGATGGCGAATGCTATTCAGCGAAAAATTGCTGTGATGGGTTATCCATGTGTCGGTTAGTTAATGTTAATCTGTTTTTTAAATATTGTTAATGGTAAAGGTGAATAAATGAATGATAAAAAGAACTAAGTGCAGGATGTTAGATTTTTTCTGCTATAATTAAGAAAAAAATTTGCAAGGAATAAAGTTAATTCATCATTATATCAGTTTCTGTTTGATGAAAGTGAGCAACACCCATTGTTCTGTCATTCTACGACATTGAAAAAAGCAATATATAGGATATTTAGCAAGTGACTTTGAAAATTTAAGATCAAACCAGAGCATGCTCAAAGGATTAATTAATGGAATTAATTTTTATTTTATTTTAGGAAAATCTTCTATCACGCTACGATTTGTGTATGGTAATTTTCCAGACGCATATGACACAACTATTGAGGATATCTATACGAAGCCATATAAATTTAATGGAAAGCAGTTTGCTTTGCAGATAACTGATACTGCGGGACAAGTAAGCTCTATTATATCTCATCACTGAATATTTTTGTGAAATTAATTGCTTTGATCTTAAAATGGTGAAAATTTCAAACTATTCAGGTTGGAATAGATTTTCCAATTTCTTTTAGCAAGAATTCTCATTGTTTCCTCGTAGCTGTGCAATAGATATTGATGGATATATTCTGGTCTATGCAATTGATGATCGAAAATCGTGAGTTAGCAAAAATTCTTATTATTTTATAGATATTGCTGACAGTTATTGTCAGCGACGGCCATCCTGTTTCGTTAAAAGTATATTCTGTTTTGCCTGTGAATATTATTGCTTTTATTTTGCAGATTCGAAATAGTTCAGTCGATTTACGATAAAATAATGGAAAACCTCGGGGACAAAAAGTGGGTGGTAAAAGTTTTTAGAGTTTGATTGTTAAACTTTCTGAAGACATTTCTTGATGAAATTTTGGCTTCGATAAATATTGAGCTTTAATTTTTAGTATACCAATTGTGGTTGTGGGAAATAAACTGGATCTGCACTTCAATGCACGTCATGTTTCAACAGAGGAGGGACGACAGCTAGCCGTTTCTTGGAATGCTGCTTTTTTGGAAACATCAGCAAAAGATAATACAGTGGGTCATCGACATATTTCGTTCCTAATGTATTTCCTTGCAGAATATTTCGGGAAACTTTGTTTACCACCTTCTAAACATAAGTGGTAAAATATGGAAGATTTTTGGATTAGCAAGATGAACATTCGGCGGATATAGATTTAGTGTGACACGATCCAGATGCTCTCATATTATTGTGCAACGCCTGAACATTTAAGTTATGTATATCATTATGACGGGAAGGCTATATATAAGTAATAAATATTCAAAAGCAAATCAAACCATTATCATGCCGCAACTCGATAGTTTCTGAGTTAACCAAGAACTGAGTGATAAAAATATGGTTCAATTGAGACATAACTAAAAATTAGTGGAAACGAAATTTGGTCTGCTAGCCTACTAGCCACTTACTCTACTAGCTGGTCTACTAGCCACATACTAATTTCGGATAATTTTTGCAGTCTGTGGAACAAATCTTTGATTGTTTGCTGCGTGAAATTGAAATTGCGAATGGGAATATGAAGCGAAATCAGAATGGTTGTGCACTTTCTTAAATTAATAAAACAGAGCAGCTTCTGTGCTAAAATGAATAAGCTCCGTTTTAACGCTGCCAAAAATCAGTTTTGCGCTCATTTGTAAATTATTGTAAATATAAATTTTGTCATATTCTCTATTTTAATCTATTGTTTTTTTCATAAATTTAATTGTTTGAGAAGTGTTGCTATGAAAAGCTAAATTTAATAACTCTGATTCGACGGCCTAATCGATGTCATCGTGTACATTACGCTCAAAGTGCATTAAAGAAATATATTAAGTAATTTGCTGACAGTAATAACTTCGTGCTCCTTCACTTCAATATATTTGTCTTATGTAAACCTATCTCTTCACTTCGTTTTACGTTGAAAATTATAGAGATTTTTTGTTGTTATGCTAAAAAGCTGATAGAAACGTGAAAATTGGCGATAATTTTTTGCGGTTTTTACTAAAACTTCGACCTTAATTTCTTTAGTATTTTCAACTAAACATATTCAGCCATGACGCGGGACCGCAGTGTTTCCTCTTCGCTCTAGAAATTGCTGATATTTTCTTATATAAAACAATATGTATGAAACTGCTCCACATTAGTGGCAATGAATATTAATTGTTTCATTTCACAGTGATAGGACAATTCATTGTGCTGTCGTAAATACGTTCTTTATTTTTTGTTTGTTAAATGAAGGCTGAGTGAAAGAATACGAATTCTGTCCCATCACTTTTGAAAGCAGAGGTGGTCCCATTTATCTGAATCCTTCTTTCTTCCTCTTTTTTATTTTCTGAATTAGAAATAGTCATATTATTATTATTGATTCGCGTGGAGTGCGATTTTTAAACTTTGTTCACTTCTGCAGGATTCTTATTGTAATGGAGTTTGTGATTATTTAAAGCTTGGTGAAGGCTTTTCATTTTTTTTCATTATTTTCCCATTATCTTCGGCGTTTTTATCCCTTCTTGCATTACAAACAGGTTTCTTATTATTTATGTAAATTCTTCTTAATGACCATCATACCACTGCGATATATTTAATGCCATTTCGGTGCTGTTAGATTTTGCAGATTTTCTCAAGCTTGTTTCCGAAGCATACTTGGTGTTTGGACATTCCCATAAGTTCATCTTGGATTCAAATTTTGCATCCTCTTGCTTTTCAATATGGGTTTGATATTTTTGATTTATGAATGAAAAAGAATTACCGTTTTTTTTTGAGCGATGTTGTGTTAATTGATTAAGGGAAAAGGTTTCTCTGTTGCAGTGACTAGTAGCCTGAAAACAAGTGAATTTTTTCTCTGAGACGTTGATTTCCTGAAGCATTTATAATTCTTTTCGCACTTATCTCGGTAAAGATATCTGCGATTTGAACTTATGGTTTTGTTGGCTGAAAGGTGAACTTCAAAGAATTTTTTATGCCAGTATGATGGCTCATCGGAAGCGATCCGGTCGATATTCAGTATTTTGTTGTTTTTTGGATATTCTATAAAATTTCTATGTTCCTCTAGCCTGTTTTATTTTGTTACGTATTGCTTGTTAATTCATTTATAGTTCAGGCTTTTATTAAGTTTTGCTAGTTAATTTCATTACTTGTAAGTTGCTCATGTTTTCCACTGATGGAGTAGATTTGCGATACCAATGATGAAGTAGAGGAAGTGAGTGGAAATTCTTTTATGAAGTGCAAAATCCGTTACTACCGGAAATTTCGGAGTGCTGTAATTGCTAAAAAATAGAACTTTTCTGTATGTAACAAATTAGATCCGTCAACAGCACAAGAAAGGCTTTTTTTAGAAACGAGAAAAGGTAGGGTGCGAAAGGTTTTCCTCGTAGTTCTTCAAAACAAATGATTTGTATTAGAGTGACGTAGAAATGATTTTTACTTCCAAAGAAAGCTGTTTTCATTGCACTTTTTGTGATTGAATTCATTTATGTTTGTCTATATATATATATATATATATACTTTTTTCACTTCAATTGGTATTGTTTGGGTGAGGAGTGATGATTATTTACTTGGTTTATTTCATCTTTCACCCTTCATTTAGAGAATAAAATTATCGAATTGTGTCATCTTTGGGTAAGATTGAGCGGAGAAGTCTTAACCTGCATATTATTCTAACCTGTTTGATTTGATGTCGTCCACTGTATAAACCGTTCTAATTTGCATTAGGGAAGTTTTTCATTGTCCTTTGTTTTTATCACAATTGGAATCCCAACAAATCCTATTCCCGAGGTGCTGCTGATCGTTATATGTTACATAGGGATCAGCATGTTTGTTGTTTGCTGTCGATAGTGAATAAATTAATTTCGAAGAGGTTTTATTCACGGTCAAAATAACTATTGGTTGGTGTGAGCACTTTATATTTTATTAAACTGTACTATAAACTTCATTTGTTGATTAATGATAGTTTTTAGAGAGTATAGGAGTGGTCTGTAGCAAGATTATCCAATTTCAACTAGACTATTTTTTAAAAAAGGAACTTTGACGATTTTGAAGTGTTAGCACCCTGAATATTATTGCGCTGAATAAGGTGGATTTTGAAAATTCGTTCTAGTGATCAGCTACTGATGGTTAATCAGTTTCCTACTAGAAAACGATACTGTTCTAAATATCGTTTTGCACCGATTGTTTTCACTCTGCTGAAGAAGAGGGTTGTCGCGAACCGGGGTCAAATTGATAACCTTTCTTCAGTCTAACGTTCTCCTGACTGAGCTGTTGTAGCGACCGAGTTCCTAATGCATATTCACTACAGATGATGCCAGAAAGTGGTAATATGTTTGTTGCTGAATCGAGTAGTAATGGTCCCGTGGTCACTTCAGGTAAGCAAACATTCGAAATATTACTCACCAAAAGAGTGTCAATCGTTCAATTATTTCTAATATCTCGGTTTACCACGGTGATAGTGGAAAAAGATTGAAGGTATTCTAGTCTTTGTTAACATCAGTTGGGACACACTTTAAATCCACGTAAATAGCGAAATAACAAACTGATAGTGTTTATGTAACATGGCTGTGATCACTTTGCTGTACTAATCATTCAGTATTTCGATTAATTGTGCTATCACTCGTTATCATATTCATTTGCATTCCTGTACTCCCGCTAATTCCCTCATCCTAACATTAACCCTTGTTTTTCCCCTTCATTTTCAAAATTTTCTTTTCATTCAGTGCTTTATTTCTTTCTGCTTTGAAATCTTCTTTGGTAATTAATAAGTTTCTACTGCTTCCACTGAGTTACTATATTGGATTTTATCCGTTCCATTCTCTTTAAACTTTAAACAGGGTGATCTCTTTAAACTATCACTGTTAGTTAAATTTACAAAAGATTAAATCGCATTCTAAGAGAATGCGATTTGATCATTACTTTTATAGAGAAAATAATTACATACTGATATCATTTTTGTCTCCACCAAGTTATTTTAATATATATAAGTTATTTTAATATATATATAAATCTATTTGATAATTCCTGTTCCTTAGCCAGACTTATACAAATGTCAAATTTTTTAATTTCTAACTTTCAACTTATGCTTCAATCTCCATATGCAAGATTCGAATAGGTTTTAATTTCAGCTTCGGATGGAATGCGATCTTTTTCACCAGCCAGAAGTATAACATGTAACACGTAAGATTTAAATACATATATCGCTCTTGTAATTAGATTTGATACGTCCAGAATTTTTTATGGGCATTAAGTTGAACTGGCATCCGTCGGTGATTGGTTCGACACCAAAGTAAACTCCTATTTTGTCGGTTGGTCTACAAAGAAATGTTAAAATTATTTAAGTAATTTTACTTTATAGAGATTTTGTTTCCAAATATACTCCCTCCATTGTAATCCAGATTCTCACTGCATATAAAATTTAATTTTATGCAAACTTTTTCTTCTTGACGGAATTTTGCATTGAATTGCTGATTTGAGCGGTCTGCTAAACTCCTACTATTTCTGTGTATCCCTTAGTAGATAAGAAAACAGTGGGCGAATTCCAGAAATCCTACAAATGAAGCTTCTAAATGGTCGTCGCAGTCGAAAATTCAACGTTCTGTGAGCATCGAAGTATTATAAACTCACTTTTTAACCAAACCTTTTCACATTTCGTCGATTGAAAACAAGAAAGTGAACTTCTTCATCAATTGATTTTAGTACAATTGAACAAAAAAAATACTCTGGGTTTATTTTAGAATTTGTTTCGATCATTTAAAAAAGTCTATTCTTTTCACTACATTCAGACCTGATTTGGCGCAAATGGCTGCAAAAATAGATTCATTGAGAAAGTGGACTGTTTCGACTTACAAAACGACGAAACAATCTATATGTGAAAATTTAGGAAAGGTTAGAAAATTTTTGATGTTTTCCTTTGTATAAAATTTCATCTGTTTTGCTAGATTTCTTGCTTTATATTTTGCTGCTTTTTCTTTTCTGTCTTTGTGTTCATCTCTATTATTTTTTGTTATATGCAATGTTGATCATTCTTTTATGCCGTTTCCTGAATGCATTAAAGTTAATTATGCATTTATGTGTATTTTAATGGCCTTTTACCTCAAAATGATTGTTAGGTTGAGCGTACAGTCGACAAGGAATTGGAAGAACAGATCGAGCAACTGAAAATATTGCACAAGCATTACAATCAGGTCTGTTTTTTTAATTTGTTACTGATTGGATATTTCTGAGATGGATTTAAAGTGAATTTTGATTTGTTGCAGGTGTTAGCTATGTCAAAATTGTTCACTTCAAATTTTCATCAGATGAACGAAGCACAGAAGGGTTTAGCGGAATCTCTTTATCAACTCTCACTGAAAGAAATGAGCTTGAGTGTAAGCATGCTTGTCTTAAAAAAACTCTTCGAAATCATTGCTGCTGTTCTTTAAAGAACTTTCCCGTAGTGATCATTTATTCGCAAATTTTTTCTTTTAGATCATTCTAAATTTTAGCTCTCATGTCCCGAAATTTTAGTTCCTGGTAATGCTATTGAAATTGTAAGAATAGTTGGCAACTTTCTTTTTTTAAACTTTTTAAAGGCAGAGTGTTCCTCAAATTGTGATTCATTGCGTTCGGTGACACATAACGGTGAACTTCTAGAGCGAGCTCTGTCGTTTTTTCTTTCATCAATCAAGACATTATCCGAGAAAACATTTGAAGACACAATGGAGACAATTCATAATTATGAACAGGTTGTAGTTTGTCCCATTCTATCCCAGTTCCACTCAAAGCAGCGGTAAAATATTGGTGTTTTCCGCTACTTTATTGGATAACAAAATGCTTTTTTTATTCCGTTATCGAGTTGTAACAAATTGTGAAAAAGCTGAAATGAGAAAATTTTCACCGATAATAGGGATAAGTGTTCTCACAACAGGCTCGCTTGGAATATGACGTTCATCGGAATGAAACAGCAGCGCTACAACAGTCAAGTGCAAGTCCTGAGGCAATTGCAGACGCCGATTTTAAATGCAATCAGCATCGAGGAAAATACGAACAATTAAAAACTGACGTCAAGGTTATTTTCTTTTTTTTTGAGTTGGTTCTTGATCATATTTACCAGGACAAGAAAAATCGAGATTCACTGAAATGCGACAAGTATTGGCTAGATGTCGAACTAAAAAAGCCAGCTTTTCTTCTCTAGTTGGGAACAAAATTTGATTTTTAGGTAAAACTGAGACTACTGGAAGAGAACCGATGGAAAGTAATGCGTAAACAGTTGTTGCTTCTTCATAATGCTTTGATAGCATATTTCTCAGGTATCATTTATCTGCATCAGTTAAATGTCGAGTAAGTAATATCAGAGCTGTATTGAGGATATTAATCTTTTTAATTACATGAAGTAGTTATTATGAATTTAAATGACGTTGCAAAGCTTTTGGAAAGCTTCTACGGTGTATGCAAAAATTTTAATTAATTTTTTCTCGGAAATAGAATTTTGATAACAGTTGCTCTTCTACTAAATTTAAGTTCTGCAGAAACTTCCAACTTTTTTAAGCCATCAAAAGTTAATTAATTTCTCATTTAGGCAATGCGAAGGCTTTACTGTCATCAATGAAAAGCTTAAATTTGGGCGAGACGGCAAATAACAGTGTTGCTCCGTCGTTTCTCGAGCAGTAAAATAAATGTAATAAGCAAACAGTTTTATTCTGATAATCCCTCAGTTTAAATCGACCGCTATAAGAATTTAGGATGACAGATATTTTTTGCATTTATGTATCCTTATCAGTTCTGATAGATTGATTACAAAGAAGCGTTGCAAGTTTGAAAATAGTTTGGTTAGTAAAGTATTTTGGAGGATCATTGAAACAATACTGAGGAATGGCCTGGCTGAAACAATAAATTGGATGAAAATAGGCGGAAGTACAATTTATTTTGGCTGTATTTGTTTATTTTCTTTATTGTTTACATGTAGCAAACAGTTGTCCAGCTGAAAGCAATTTATCTGCGTAATGTTTTCATTGCATTTATAAACTGAAATTTGTTGGAATAACCAAGATTCGACTTTGAATACTTGCGTGTTGGCTGCAATTTACTTTCCACTACTGAGTAAAGTGGAACTAGGGTTAGAATTTGGTTATTCTAAATTTTCATGTCCATCTTGTTTTTGAACTGAAGTCTAGTTCAAAAAACAAGATGGACATGAAAATTTCTGTTCACAGTATTGATCCCTTTTTTGATCAGTAATTCTGCTTTAATTTTGGACCTTTATTTTGAAAAGTGATCATGTTAAGTTTTTAATAGTAGTAAATGAATTCCTATGCATCAATTTCAGTTAGAATTATTTACTTCGTTTACTTTGCACATATTCATTCCTACTATTTCGATTAACTCTATCTGTTTCTTGATTTGTCAGCTGTTGTTTGAAAATTGTTTGTCAGAAGACTTTGGAAAGAATTTAGGGAAGTAGTTTAAGTTAGTTTATGAACGAGAATAAACATTTCGGTTCCTTGTAACAAGAAAGTATAACTAAGCTGAAAAGAATGAGGAACAGTGTTTTTCAGAAGGAGGTACTTTATCGCTTCAGTCGGTGATCATTTGCTAAGCTGTTTTTTAGAAGCTTTTTGAAAAAAAGCTTATTTAATGAGTATGGATGGAAACTATTGTGAAATACTTATTGCTTTATGAATTCTTTTTTTCAATTGTGGTCTTAAATGATAATTTCATTGTTATTGTTTATTTCATTCATTATAAGCATAGCTTACATAAAATGAAATTAAAATAAAGGGAAACCAACCATTCATTGTTTGCATTTCGTCTTCTATCACTACTGTTGAGTATTACCAAATTAATGAGAAACCGAAGTTTCGGAGAAAAATAGTTTCTGCATGCAAATTAATATCGATGTGAAAGTGAGGGTTATTGTAATGACAGACAGATTTACAGAGGCAAATTAAAATAGTCACAGACAGATTACGGATATTGAATTCGTAGAAGAGATGGAATTTGAAATCCGGAACCTTCCCGCGATGATGTATCCGGATTTTCTTATCAATAATTGAATTAGGAAATAAAATAATATGTTGACCTTCGTGTGGAAAGAGAAATGATCACCTCTGTATGAATAAAAATGAGGATGGGGCAAATGTTTTAGAGTGTAAGTGTATGCGTCAACGTGCAAACAAAAGGAAGAGGAGGTTCTAGATAGGTGGGGATGGTGTGGTGATGGTTGGTGTGACCTTTAGACCTTTTTAATGCAGCCAAATTCATTTCACAACCGCCTTCTATTCTATAGCAAATTGTTGACATCTTTGCGAAATGTTCAGATATTTTAAGCGCTTTTCAAATAGCAGTGGGTGGTATTGGCATTCGATTACCATTTTTATTCAAAATTATAATCATGTATGCATATATGTATGTATCTCCGTTATCCTTCATGCTTTCCATCTGTATTTCATCACATTTCCTACTTAAGTAATTCGTTGACTAAATCATTTTCGGCTTTCATCTTTATATTCCAAACTGTTGCACTCATAAAATTCTACTTATTTCAATAGGATAAGCATTTCGAAATGGTAATTAACAAAACATAGATAATTAGCCATTTGTCCCCTATTCTGTTAGCAATTTCTTCGTGCAATGATTCGTACTCTTTCATATTTGGTGATACTTTATGGATTAGGCATAATTCGTATCTTGAAATGATTAACAATTTCACAGAAATATAATTTAAAGTACCCTATCAAAATTCTGTTAATTTCAAAGAAGTCATGTTGGGATTACTTTGTCCCATTTTATTGACTTATCCAATCTTTCTTCATTTCCCCATCTATACTAACTCTCCATCTCATCAAATCCTTTCAAATAAACATATAAGGTCAATTTTATTTCAGCCTATATTTCTGCATCAGCCTAATTCTATCCCATATTGTATACATCAGTACTAGGCGCTTGATTTATCAATTCTGCACTTGCTTTCCATCCCTTAGAAGTTCCTCTTCATCATCTTCCAAAATGAGAAGAGAGACATTCTTTCCTTTGTGTCACAACTCTCTCTCTCTCTCTCTTTATCTCTCTCTCTCGGGAATATCATTGAATTATGGAACATTCCCTTCTCTTAACTTTCCTCCAATTCCTCTTTAGACTTATTGTGCATCTTTTTTAGTTTTTTAATTTTCAATCTTATACTTTTTCTCTTCTTCATTTCATCAAATGAAGCCAATGAGAAGGTAAATTAAATTTCTGTTTTAAAAATGTCACAAAGAGATGTACATTGTTTAGCAATTAAATGATTAGTTTAATAGAATTGAAAGTTTTCCGATTTGTAATCATTTTAGGTTAGCTTTGAAATTCATATGAAAAAAGGATTAAACCTATAATGAAATGAGTTATGATAAATGACAGATGTTATTGCTCCTTCTGGCACAATAGTCAAACTAATTCTCTGAGGATTTCAAATTTTTTTCTGAATAAGTATTTTTAGAAATATTAAATGTTGAATAAAGGAAAAATCTTTCGTTGTTAATTACTTTCCCTCTCTACTTATTTCGTTTTTTTTTTTAATTAATTACTGAAATTTTTAATTGCAATTTTATTTTTAAAGAAATGCTGCTTAGAATCATTTTGGCTTATATAATATAAATGGAAAGAGTAAATCTAACAGAGCTCTGTACACCTGACGATATGATTATATTGAAATTGAATTATTTGAACAAAATTAAACTGTTTCTTATAAAATTGTCTTATCAATGAAATGGCAAAGGTAAGATGAGCAAAGGATAAAAGGAAAGAATGTGCAAAATAAGATATTTTGATATGATCGTAAAGAACTTATATTTTCATTCTGTTAGCTAAACTATCCATTTGATTTCCATTATCATCCATTATCATTGATAATGAAATTTTAAATTGAATAGAATTAAGTGATAACATTTGGTTTATACTTTTCAAATGTAAAACTTATCAAAACACTTTTTCATCTTCTCTCTATAAGAGCAATGATAATTTTAAACTATTTATGAAGAGTGTAGAAAAAAAGCCTTCCACTTCCTTTTATATTTGCATATTTCTCCATCTATTTCAAATATTATTTTCTCTTTACATTTTCAGGTATGGGACAAAAACAAAGGTGAAAAGAAATGTATATTGCAACTTGACAAGAGATCGGATTTTGTTTTTTTCTCTTCCTTTTTCAGATAAACAAAGTATTGTGTTGGATATTGTAAATATAAATGAACCTGATAACAGAAATGTGTGTAAATGATAATCTCTTAAAATATATTATTCAACCGGATACAGAATCTCTTAAAATATATTATTCAACCGGATACAGAATCTCTTAAAATATATTATCCAACCGGATACAGAATCTCTTAAAATATATTATTCAACCGGATACAGGATCTCTTAAAATATACTATTCAACGGGATACAAAAATCGTTGTATTCTGTTGAATAATATATTTTAAAAATTTTTACTATCAAATTTATTTAAATTTAAATGATTAGTTTCCTATATATTATCTTTCCGAATATTGCAACTAAAATGTCCATCTATTTCTGTCTTCTTAACTAAGTCTCTTCTCTTCACAAGAGACAAGACTGGTTAATTTCATTAATTGATATAGCAATTAGTTATAATTCTTATCTTAACGTATGTATTTTAATGCTTGCCTTCATCAGCATCATCATCATATACAACCAATGATATATTTAGGATGAAATAGTAAAATATATAATTAAAGTCATTAATTGTTCGAAAGAGAGACTATTTAAAGTAAGTAATTGTCATTTTATTTTGTTCATTATTCAATAACGTGGGTAAATTTCCAGAAATAGACGACAAATAATTAATTAGTTTATTTCTCATACTTTTTAAACTTCTTTACGGCTAGAAATAAAGTATTAAAATACAGAGAAGGTAAAATAAAAGTATAACACATTGTGTGTGTGCTTGTATACCTGCGCGTAGGTGCGTGCGTATAGCATTTCGAAAAACAAACTTTTGTTTAAAAAAAAATAGTGGTAAAAGAAGATTTGCAAAAAACGCTTTTACGACACATTTTCTTTCATTTCTTCAAAACCACCGCCTGGGCATATTTTGATGTAAAAATTCGCTAATGTTGTATAATAAAGAATGAAATGAAGCCGGAAAAGAGGAAAGGACGAAATTATGAATCCGTATTTTTCAAGTCAATCATGACTAAATTTCAGTTGCTGATACTGCGTGACATTCACTCAAATAGATTTGTTAATTAGATTTGTGAACGAAATCTTAGTCAAAATATTCAGCGCATATTGCTTTGTTATATCACTAATTAATTAACTATGAAATACCATTTTTAATATTATCCCCCAATTTATTATCCTCACTAAAAAAATGAAAGAGGCGGAAAAAGTGAAGTTGTTGGTCAGTGGTCAGTTTAGGATAAATCGAATATTAAATAAATTTTGTGAAATCAAATTGGTTAATAAAGCATTAGAAGAATGTGATGAATATATAAATTTCATATGAATTTTCATAACAAATTTAGGTATATTTAAAATATATTCCCTCACTTCCACAATAATTCTCTTTTTTGCAACCGTTGTCACATTTAATTCTTGCAATTCTCTGATAATTATGTTATGTTTCCATTTTCTTTTTCTTTTTCACATATAATTCGTTAACTATTTTTTTGCTCAATTTCTATTGCCCTTTACCAATCTTTAATCTTAACAATTTAACCTCTCATCACTAATCGCTATGAATTATCAATAAATGACTCATTTGTTTACTTTTTATGGTACCAAAATTATTTCGTACATTTATTTGTTTATGTTCGATTACAACAGTATAAACATATCATTCCATTCGTTCCACCATTTTTTTGCAATAATATTTCTAAAGAAAACTTTTCCCTTTCGTATTTGTTTATTTACGTAATTTCGTTAATCAAATTAAATTAGGTAATTTTATCAATACCGTTATCAGATTGGATTAAGCGATATTATCATCAAAAAATGTTCGCTTCCAATTATTTTAATTTATTTGTTTCCTTCATGAATTAAAATTATCGCAACATTTTGCACTTTTATTTTTATTTGTTTTTCTAAAATGCCTATTTATATCGATATAAATAGCNATATTATCATCAAAAAATGTTCGCTTCCAATTATTTTAATTTATTTGTTTCCTTCATGAATTAAAATTATCGCAACATTTTGCACTTTTATTTTTATTTGTTTTTCTAAAATGCCTATTTATATCGATATAAATAGCATAGAACTATTATCGATCTAATTAATATAATTAAGAAGTATGAAATTTATGCAAATTTAAAGATGGAAAATAGAGTCCCTCAGGTTTTTTGCCTACAATATCATCATTTTTTTGCCGATTTTGTAGTAAACTGAAAAAAGCTGTTGATTGTTTTGAAATGGTTAATTCATATTCTATTTGTTATTGATAACTGATAGCTGAGATTAAATATTTATCAACTTTGTGACTGCGATATTAGCATTCAATTTACCTTCTTTGATTTAAACGCCAACACTTTTCAGTCACCTCTCATAGACTTTACTATATATTTTCTCTTTTGGATCGCATTACAAACTTTATGAATTACAGACTGTATTGTTAATCCATCTATTCATCTAATTGAGCTGGGCGCAAAATGATTAAAGTGCAGGAAAAATCGATTATAACTGTAATCAATTTTATATCTTTGAATATTACCATCATTAGCTTCATGTATTTCTCTCTAATTGAAGAACTTCAAAGTTCATGTATTTTAAATGCGTAATTTTTGAAATTAAATTTAACTTATTTGAATTCATTTATTTGTTTTTTAGGTTCCGATGAATCGTACGTAATATTCTTTAATTTGGAGAAATTGAAAGAACATTGCTGGTGGAAATATGCATTATTATATGGCGGTGAGCTAATAATTTTTTACTATTTGATCAAACGATATAATTTTATTTTATTTTATTACCAAACAAATGCTAATCTTGTTGATCTATCGTCATCTGATGGCTATATTAGTGTCAGCCTAAGACCAACTATTAAAGCACTACAGAAGTTATTATTCGGTGATTGATGAATTTTTCCTTTTTTTCATTATATCGCTATCGATTCACCCATCTCTATTATCTGTCACATTTGACAATGTCTCTAAAAATGATTCGTATTCGATTATCACGTTGCAAAAAAAGTAACAATTTACGCCTGGCGCTATTGTTGTACCTGTTTTTTATCTTCTCTAATTAAAATTGCTAGGAAGCAGGTGGCATACACTCATACATGCACACACACACATACACTAATTGACGCATATGCACAGATATGTTAATATCATGCCAGCGATATTTGCTGCCTTCTTTAGTCTTCCATCTATTCATCTTATCGGGAGATCTCGGTTCACAGCTCCTACTTATTCCATCCTCGATTTTCATCCCTTCAAATCCATTTCCATCATACAATTAATATAGTTATTTGACCAAACTGTTGGCATCGATGAAAGCTATTAAATGTTTTCTAAACGTTAGCATTAAAACCGTAAAAATTAATGTTTACTGATTTTTTTTAAAGGATTAGTTCAATTATTGTTTGAGAATTAGATGGTCTAAGTTGGATTAAACAATTTCATTCTTCTATTACTCATCATTTTATGGTAAGAACTGAGCTACTAATTGACGTAAGAATGAAAATGTTGAAGTAGATTGGAATGAAATGAACTGAACTGAAATGTGGCACGGAACCTTAAAAACTACATCTTATAGTTAGTGAGAGGTGGTTCTTTGAAGTAACAAATCTTATTCAATATGTCAGAGTTCACAAAAGATGATCCCTTCAAAAGAGCAAACATTTGGAACTTTTTAAGATAAATCATAAAATGAGCATTATGAGCCAAGTAGGTAGCAATGGCAATGATGGGTAGTTGTGACTGTGATACGAGAGATGATAAAGAGTGAGAGAAATGTTTTTGATGATGATGTGAAGCTTGTTGCCAGAGATAAATAAAACTCATGAAAGCTTGCTAGAAATATGATGATTGAAAAGTTGAGAAAGAGTAAGAGAGGTGAAAAGAGGATGGAAAAAGACATTTTTGTCGAAAAACAATCAAGTTCTTTTGAAAAATAATCCAAATGCCGATTTTCCGAAAGTATAAAAGTTTGAAAACTATCTGTTAGACAAAAATAAACTCTTTCATTTATTGTGTTACCTTTAAATTTTAAAAACAAATCAAGCAATGGTATTGTTTTTAGGAGAATTCTCGACTAAACAACAATGGCGATATATGCTGCGGTCAAGCGGTCAGTTCATTTTATTTTATTGATAAAACATTTCTTCTTTTTTCTTGCTTATTAAATTGATGAAATTTCCTTTTTAATATTCTTCTAAATTTATTCGCCATCGTATGACATCGATTGTAATACATTTCCATTCAATAAATAAATACTTTATATATCAATTTTTTTTCAATCATAAAAGTGTGAAATAGATATTGTCATTGTGTATTGATAGATTGGAAGAGATCAAATATTGATTTGAGGCTTTCTGATAGATATTATTGGTTTCAAAATTAAAATGAATTGAAATTTTAACTCTCACAACATATCTTATGCATAGAGAGAGAGAAAGAGAGAGAGAGAGAGAGAAATATATTGATTTTAGTTTTCAGATAGAAATTGTTCGTACAAAGATTAAAAACTTCAAAAAAAAAGTGTCCTTTTGTCAACAAAAGCTTTTATTGTAGACTACACCGTTAGGATCATAAAATGTGGCATTACACTCATGAATTAGTCATTTACTATATATTTCAAGTTATCAATTATCAACTTAACGTACACTTATAATTATATCTGATTTCCTTTAACTTAAAACTTATTATTTATACTACCTGGACAGTTTGATTTCTTTAAAAGACGATCAAAACAAGTAGTAAGTATATCATTGTTAAATGATTCATCCAAATTTCTTCTTCCATATATCATATGATTGCTATTATTCGTTCTTTAGTAGTTTATTTGACAAAAACATATTACTAAGTTTTCTTCTATTCACTTTTTCCAATTAAACATTAATTTGAAGTTAATTTAAATTAATTTACTTAAAAGTAACTCTTTTTGTTGGATAGAAAGATTGAGATTTTTTCTTTGATTTCACTTCTTTTATGCAATAAATATTGCTAATCAATGATTTACTATTATTTGATTTGTCAAAATATTTTATATTAGGTGATATTATCAAAATGTTATCAAAATTCAAAAAAATTGGAAATGATAAACTGACAAATTAAATAATAATAAAAGGAGGGTGGCTATAAATCATTATAGAGATGATCGGAGGTTACTGCGCCTCTTCTTAACGATCGATATTCATTTAATTATATTTCAATTAATTTCTTTTTTTTTGGGCGGAAAAATATCAAAAAATTGTTGTATTATTATGTGTTCTATTCGCTTTACAACAATAAACAAGAGAGCATATTTTAATAAAAATTAAATAAATTTAACGTTTTTTCAATCCAATCGCATATTTACTGAAATAATTTTCTATTAAAAGTATTAATTTACTTTTGAAAATTTCTCTAAATTTACGAAAAAATCAAATTTTCTTTAAAACGATTTCGTTAAAAATATATTTCAACGTAGAATTATTAAAGGAATCACAAAATTGAGAGGATAATATCCATCAAAGCATCACACTATGGATATACACATAATCATAATTAATTGATTTATTATCAAGATTATTTGAAATTATCTGCAGTGGCTCAATTTTAAAATTGGTTATACGCTAACTATAACTTCCAAACAATAAATATTACCTCAATTTAAATGATTTTTATTCTTTACTATTTCAAAATTATCAATTTGAAAAAAAAATTGTTTAGAAATTAAGCCTTAAGGAAATCTCCTCGAATGATAAATAAATATGCAAAAATAATTTTTAATTATTACTGTAAATGTTGAATAAAAAAGATGAAGAATGTAAATGGATATTGTGATTACACTGTGCGATGATACGATGATACGATGATACTATGATGACAAACACATATTTGAATTAGGTGCATCTAATTTCTTTATTGTAATTAAAACATATTTCCTAAGCATGTAAATGTATGCATGTGTGCACATCCTACAATGACGTTGTTGATCATAAAAATACTATGGAGGAAGTGAAATTGTTGTTAATGGCGACAGCGTCTTTTGCAAATAGAAAAAAGAACGTCCAATGTTGGTGTGATGACAGATACAGTAATGGTACTACTGCCACTGCTGACTGTGATGTGTGAGAGGTCATATAAGAGGTCATATACTGTAATTCGTCATTTTAATTTATTGCTATATTCTATTGCTATTTTTTATAGAATGAAACAAGAAAGAGACACGAATAGGCGGATTCTCTTCACGTTGACATTACTTATCCGTTTATCTTCCGGAATGAAATTTCTAAGAATCGATAGGAAAAAAACGTGCGCCTTATTTTATTTGTCATTCTCTGATTGCATTTATTTCAAAATTGAAATTAGGTGTTATTTCAAAGTAAAAGTATTTGTAGCCAAAATGTTTTGGATATTTGGCATATATTTGCTATGGCAACGAGAATATTGCTCTTACATAGGTATTATTACTTACCTGCCAGTGTTACCTTACAGGAGGAATTGAATCAAGCATAACAATTTCATCTTTTAACCATTTATTTAATAGGTTCAAAGATTAAATGATTAATTTTTCATATGAATTTATTTATGATTTTATCTAATGCAATTGAAAGACAAAATGAGAGAGAGAGAGAGAGAAAGAAAGAGAGAGAGGGAAAGAAGAAGAAAGAAATATTTGCAAAAATAAATTATTGTTTTCCTATTACTTTTCTTCTATAAAAAATTGAAATTTTAGGCCAAAACTTTAAGATTCAACTATTTGGCTCAAAAGCCTCAGAATTCCATAAAAGTTAATGAGGTAATTTCTGCTATTTACTCACTCTAAGCTATTTTAATTAGATTTTCTATCAATCCCTTTCACTTTTGCTAATAACATTAAGTTAATCAAAATTAAAGCTAAATTGTTTAGAAGAAATATTGCTATATCTTAGATGGGATAGTTCTTCATCATTCATTACTAACTTTTTCCTTCCTTTCTTTTAGTAGTGAATAAATGACAGTTGCAACTTTTAAAATAATTCGTAGTTTAGTTTTTATTAAACAGTTTAAAAACATTCGCATAGAGGGAAAATTGCTTAATAAAGTTATATCTGTTATTGTTTACTCTAAACTCGAGTTAGTTAGTTTATTCTAGATTTTTTTCCTACCGCTTTTCCGGAATGGTTATCGAGATATCCCGATGACAAGGTGAGATATTACGGGAGAGGTAAAGAAGGGAACAAACTTTATTATGCGAAAGCAATGAGTTCACATCTAAATTACAGCATAAGGTATAATTATTGTTAAATTTGACTCAAGTTATTATTTTAGGCAATAATAAAAGGCTATTACTTACTATGTTGTTCAGGAATCATCATATCATCATTCCTCTGATTCATGGATTAGTTCATCTTTCACCTGAACATCTTATGCTTTAATTAAGTACCTCTAATGCACTTAGTTGCTAAAAAAAAGCATCATTCCAAGGGATCTTTATCCAAGTGCAACTTTAAGATATTCTTTATGATACGTAGATTTCATTTCTTTTTTTATTTACAGTTGACTGAAGAAAGAGGGAAAAGTAGCATAATTTACGAAGAGGAAGAAGGAGAGGACGGAAACCAGGAGAACGATAAATTTACGCGTCACCTAATTATGAATATGGCAGCTGGAGGAGTTGAGTTACGGAAATTGTTTTTTGTGCTGATATTTTTGGTGCTGGCCGCATTCAGTAATTGGATAGCCTTGGCTTATATCCATGATTTCGTTGGAAGGTTTGTTATATCGTTGTTATATTTAATTTAAAGCATATTAAAGTTCAAATTTTAATGCACGACATTTGCGCTTTACCTTCAAGATATTTGCAGTGACAGTGAAATTATCAAACAACAAAGCATAAATTTACAAGTGAATAGACATAATGATTAACTGAAGTATTTTGTTCATTTGTTCATTTTCTACAAATATATTTTATCTTTCAAATTAATTAAATTACTAAATTTCAGGGAAGCCTTGCCTGATATTGTCTTTTCAGTAATGCCAGAATTGTTATGGACATTAAAAATTGGTGATTCAATGGTTACACTTTGTTCGACTTCTTTTTTTACCTTACTTTTTCTTCATAAAAATCGTTTAATTATCATTCAACGAATTGCTTTTATTGTGGGTAAGTTTATCATATTTGTTGTAAAGTAGAATTTTAAATTTCAACTTAATCAGTTTTAATAGTGATAATAGATGAAATTGTAGTAATACTGGCATAATCTATGATATTCTCGATTGATGATTCCTAGCAATTGGCCAGATGTTAAGCAAGATGGAAATTTTGCTCCATCCTAACAAAGGGATGCTTAACCATTATCATTATTTTAATCAGTACAAAGTATTTGTTAGGACATTACCCCAACTCATCGGACATCCATCTTCTATGTTAGCTATTTAATCACTATGTAGCTTGGCATTTAGAATTTCTAGAACTTGTTATTCTTCAACTTCCTCCGCTATTGTTAGAATTTGAGATTTAAGCTTAATATAAAATTTGATAGATATGAATGCATTGAATGATCGATCGATTTTTTTTCGTTATTCTTAGGCAGACATTTGATGTGAAGAATTCGATTGATCAAATTTATAATAATTCTAATTTTCAGCTTGTCTATATACAATGCGGACAATATCACTGCTGTGTACACAGTTACCTCCCGGTTATATTGATAATAATAAGCGTTGCCGAAGTCCAAGTAATCATACAGGTCAGCAATGGGATATTATTGTATGGCGTGTCTTATCACAAGCAGCAAAACTTGGATTTCAGGTTCTTTTTAGTCAAATATTTTTCCCATTCTGATTTCTGAAGTTCAACATGCTCCTGAATAGTTTAAAAGCTATTATTTATTATTACATGGATAAGAATCACATCTAATTGTAATCGTTCATTCCACCTTTCCCGTTTCCCTTTCTTCCGTCTCCTTCATTCCGCAGTAAACTCTATTGTGCAGTTATAAATATAAGTTTTGAAAGTTTTCTTACTAAAATTTACATTTCCAATACGAATAATTTATAGTCAGTACAAAAACGCATCGTAGCTGATTGAGATTATTTTCAGGATTTTTATGATAGAATTATTATTTCCAGGATATGGATGATGAAATGTTATGTGGTGATTTATTATTCTCAGGTCATACATTAGCTATGGTTGTGAGTTCGTTAGCAGTCGCTTATTATTTGCCTGATTCATTTAGATCGCTCAGGTACTATCAAAGTCTTATCATTCTTTTTTCTTAAATTTGATTTAATTTAATATTCCTGTTAAATCAATATTACATACAGGTATATACCACGTATGTTATCTTGGATCGGTATGGTTTGCATGGTTATTAGCAGAACTCATTATACTATCGATGTTCTTTTTGCTTATTGGCTATCAACGGCTGTATTTAGGTTGATCCATTTATTTGTTAATGTGTGATTACTAGAATGATAAAAAGTCTAACAATGATCAGGAAAACAGATCAGTTTAGCTCTCTATTGCTTTATTTTCTGAAGTGGTAGATATTTCTGCTGATATGAAAGCTTTGAAAAGTTTGGAAAAGATAATCTTATGTGTTTTTGAAATAATCATAAGAAAAGTTTGGGATTCTAAAATCCAAAATCTTACGGCGATTGTTATAGCTCCATCATATCGATACATTTAAGAATCTGGTGATACATATATATATATATATATACGAACCAATTTAATTGAAATTAATAAAATTTGGAGAAGATAAAATCTCATTTTCAACAACCTATTAAGGATTATGATTTTCTACATACGGAAAAAAAAATCTATTATTTTGAACTGATTTATGCCAGTCACTAACTGTTAAAATAATTTAATAAATAGATATGCTAATTTTCCATGGAGTGATTATTGAAAAAAATTAATATTATGCGAATCATCTAATTAAGTTAACTCATCCGTACATTTATTCCAATTCATTGTTTTTCGCTTCTTTATATTCCTTCATTTGTTTAATAATTTCTTTGCCTTTTCAGTATTTATCATGCATTCTGCGAAATCGATTTAACAAATCGCAAATTATCAGTTCTTTATCGATTATGGATAATGCAAATTGTTGGTTGGCTAGAAGTTGATATCGCACCCGGAAGGTTGCTTCTTTTTTTGTTTTGTAAAGAGAATATATATAACAAAGGACTGCTTTCATCATTCAATTTTGTGCTCTGAATAAATGATAAATTGAAAGAGCGCTGCCTTGGGAGTGTAAATTAAGAGGTAAGGCGTATCAGGGATTAAAAATGAAATTTAATTCTTTGCGATAATGTAGATATTATTGCCGAATCATCGTTAATTGATACCTGATAGGTGTGTAATAGATTAGGATATCTGAATTCTATGCTATTCTCCGCTTTTATTTTTTGAAAAATGTGATTGTTAATAGATAAAATTAGTCTTGGATACTAAATTTATTTTGTAATTTGTACTATCTGATCGACGCAGCATCACTGGAAGTCTTCTAAAAACTAACGTAATCGTGATGAGATGATTGATCTGTAGACCTTCAAGCATTAAATAATTGTAAGGCCAATGGCTTTCAACTCTGGATTCTTTTTCATTAATTTGCGGCTTTTCAAACTTTTTAGATGAAGGTCAGAAATCTTAAAAGATGTTCTATTCAATAAAGATATTATTTTGGTATTATTTATTTGCCTCTCCGAGACATTCTCAAAAAATGTACCATACGAATAACCAAGATAATACATGTTATGTTTTGACTAAAATTTAATTATCAGAAATTGTCTAATTGAATCTATCAAATTCGTTATTTCCACATTTTCAGGATAGAAAATCGTTTCGAATTTCCATTACTTGTACGTCTCTATAAATGGTGGAGCAGCCCGTCAAGGAATCGCTACTGTACTCAGAATAATGACTATCACCATCAAAAACAGCAACAAGTTCCTGTTTCAAGTGCACTGTCTATATGATCTCAGTATTTTGGTTACTTTTTCTTCACTATTATAATTATTGATAATGACTTGATAAGCTAGTTTAGTTTAATTGATTTGAATTTTAAAGTATTTGGCGGAACAAAGTACTGCTCAAATCCCTAATTAAACAGAAAGGATTTGATCTCTCAAGCAATAATTATACATAATATTGAAATGGTTATTGAAAATGAATAAGGCATGAAGAAGTAAGGTTAGTATATTAGGGATAGCTTGAGCAAACTCCATCAATTGAAATATATTCCGGATTAAAACTGTAATTCTTATGGTAATTCAAAAACAAAATTATTTCTGAATAACATTAACTATCGATATTTTTGTTCTGCTGCCATCTTATGTATTTCATTTCCTTCAATTTAGCCTTATTTTTCCAGTTGTTCACAAATTAATGTGGTGCTCAAACAAGGGACGAATTTTGTTGAGATTTTGTTCCAATACTAATCTAGCAAGTTTTAACTCCTATAATAGGACTTCATTTAAATTATTAAGGTTTAAAAAAGAGCAATCAAAAGTATACATCCTTGATACCATCTCTCCGCTCAGGTCAACTTATTTTTCACAGTGGAAATGTATTATTGAGACTCATGTTAAGTGAATTTGATTGAATTGTTCGATGATCATATCAATTTCAATATGTCTTATTGATTACTTGCTCAGTTCGATATGTTGTGTATGTAAATCATATCAAAATATGCATGTAAATGTTCGTATCACAGGTAAACGCTTTCGCAATGATAAAAAGCTTTCTGCATAAATTAGAGATATCGAAATGGTAAAGGGTTTATCACCTTAACACTTTAACAGTGTATCTGTTGAAAATAAGCAAATAGTCAAATAGTGAATCGCTCTTACTCAAATTAACTGAATAAATGCAAACAATTGACAAAGTGGAAGAGGAACCAACTTCTAAGCTATATGTTGCAGGATGATGTTTTGCATAACGTCTTTTATGGCTACATTCGTGCTACCTTGGCACAAATCCAGCAGGGATGATGGATGGATTTTCCTCACGAAAAATAGTGTGCATCTTGAACTGTGGTTTGAAAGCGGTGGGGCAATAGTCGTCAAGCGCTGAGCCATCAATTATCGGACAGCGCTGTGGAGTCGCGGGGTATAATTTGAGGTTTTGCTTTCTACGCTGCTGTTTTATTCCGGAGCGGCTAATCGATTTTGCCATCATTGGATGCGTTCTTAATGAATGAAGTAGTGTGATATTTCTTTGATGTGCATAAAAATCGATAATCTACAGGTAAAGTCGTTCTGAGCCGATGAAGTGGATGAAATATTTGATTTATCAAAAAAACATCCAAAATACTTAGTAGTAATGTGTTCAAGCGGAAAAAAGTGCGATAAGTTTATAAAATAGCAAGTTATCCTCATGTTTCAGCAGTAACTTTATAGAATTTATTGGCACTTCATTTCTTTTTTACCATTCCATAGAACGCAATTTTCACACTTTTGCGCTGTTGTCTTATTTATTAAGTGAAATTAAATTGGTATTTTTGTTGAAGTAGTAGGTTTGCAGAGGAATTTAGTTAGCTATTCCTAACTTCTCATTTGTGCTGTTAGCTAAATGCATGACAAGGTTTATTTGAATATTTTCTCGCTAAATAAAGCAGGCATGATATCAGTGGTTTTTCGATGTTAATAGTAGGAGATATCTTCTGGACATATGTGCTAGTGAGAAGAGTAAGCATGTTTTACATTCCTACTTCCGGAGTCTTTTCTAGCATCGTTTTGCACTAAAGGATATATTTTTTATGACATCCATACACTGCTGTGGCTAGGCTTGCACGCAGCATCACTCCTTACTGTCGGTTGTCATCACTGAATTTTGAAAGATTGAAAAAAGTACCTGGTTACATCATTTCAATTGTACATAAAGTCACTCATTGCATTGCACACGCATGTAAATTGGTCTTCGTTGTGTAGGCTTCACTTTGTATGAAAGCAAATCTTTATCATTTATGGAGTTACTGAGAAAGTTATTCGTGGTTTGTATAGAGAGGCTGAGGAAACAAGCGAGCTTCATCTGCAGTGAATATCTTCGTGGAATTTCCATTATTCTGGTAGACTGTTATTGAACCCGTGGAAATCGATCTCGTTATAATGACGTGCACAGTTTTCGTTCGAGATACCGATCATATCTTTTTGATGCATGTTCTGTACCAAATGATTTAGCTGGCAGTCGCACATTTTCTGCACTATATAACTTCCATCATAGTTATCATCTATTCATTTGCGCTAATTTGACTTTATTTGAGCGGCTGTCATCGGACTTCACTTACCTCACATTTTCCAATTTTCAGAAGCATTTCTGTTGTGTCGTGAAAGACCGTGAGGCAGGTTCTTTCACAGTCGTATTCGTCGAGGTGTTAAGACATTTTCTCCAGAATAAGGCGATTGATTAGATAAATGCTTTGTCAATCTTTCATTTTATTTCGTCACTAGCATCTATTTTCATTTTTTAATCTTTGAAGAAGTACTGTCGAAAAAAAATATTAATGAAAGAGAATAAGTCTTTGAATTTTTCTTTTTCTCAGGGACTAAATAAGGTTTATCATTGTCGTATGTTATTTTTCTTTAGGTCTAAATATTAGGGTCATTCCGGAGAATAATACTAAATTTTGCACGAGATGAAAATAAAATGGAGGCGCAAAATATTTTAAATGTTGTACTTTTTTTGGATAATGATGTACATTTTGTCTTTCTCTCAGTAATGTCATCATATATGATTGCGGTAAGACTGTTATAATGAAGCCTGGGAAATTGATTCACGGAGTATATCGGCGTAGAGATCGTAGATGGCTTTATTTTATAAGTTGCTTTCAGGGTGCAACGTTGTGAAGTTTGATCAGTGGAATTGTGGGAAGTGAGGGGAGAAGTCTGTGTGTTTTGATTTCATCAAATGCTTGTTGTCATTCCTTCAGCAGAAACTGGGTGATAAAAGGCTGGCTCCAAAGAGAATGACTTCAAAAGAAGAGCGCAAAGTACTGGCTATACAGAAGAAGAAAAAGCGAAGGAACAAAAAAAAGGTATATCTTTTAATTTTAGAAATTTTTTTTTGCATTATTCTGGTTTGAGTTAATGATGAGAAATACTTAGTTGTTGAATAAAAAAAAGGCCACGAAGAGAAAGGAAAAGGAAGCGAATGGACATCACGAATTTGAAATTTTTTTCCGGAATTTGAAACCTGATAATAGTTCATAAACCATTATATTTGGAGAAATATATGACCTGAATATTTATGATGAAAAGATGCTAGTACATGATTGGAAGGAAAGGAGTTGATCTAGTAATAAGTCTGAGATTTTTTCGAGGTTCGATTTTAGTTATGCTTTTTATTAAAAATAAATTCTGCATAAAATCCAAAAGTTCGACTTCCTGACATGCAAGTTTTCATCTTGTTCTCATAGCTCTTTTTCTATTGTGGAAATTATTCACTAGCTCTAAAATCTTAGTTTTGAAAGGAATTAGTCATCCTTTTATTTTATCTCGTAATCTTTCATTATCGATGTGGTATCATCTTGTTCCCTTGAGTTTTCTATATCGTTATTTTACATGCCATAGTTCTTGAGGTTTCTGCACAACATTAACCCGATATTTTTTCAATTTTACCAAATTAATATTCTTAAGACATTATACTATGAGGCTTGCATATGCCCTAAAATTCCAATAGGAAGATAAAACTGGATCTTTTGGAGTTTCAATTTTAATTATTTATCGTAAATCGTAAGTGGTATTTATTGCTGCATAGAATATTTCTGTTAGTTCAGAAAATACAGATCTATATACTGATCATTTTTCAAAAAATAAAAAAAAGTTGATGAGATTCGTCACAGCTGGAACAAAAGTTAATGGGGAAGAAATTATTATTGTTAAGGACTTGTATTTTACATCTACTCTCTGTTACAAAAATTGTATTTATAGCTATAGGTCGTGATTTATAACTGCAAATCGTGAATACGCAATTTCCTAAAGAACAGAATAGAGCTAAATATCACGATAATTGCATTGATTTGAACAACCTTTCTTTGCATTGTGAATTATCCTGCTACCCTTTTTCACATATTTTTTGGGAAGATAATTTTGTTGGAATTTATGCCATCGATGTCTTTTAATGTATACTTTTTTTCTCGACTTTTAGCATAAGTATTTTCTGGAGGTTATCATTGTCTTGAAAATTTGTAGCGGTTGCATTTATTTCCTTTCCAATTTTGCACGCATCAACTAGTCTTTATCTAGTTTAAAAATTTTATAGTGAAAGATTTGATCATCACTAAGGACTCTGTCTTCTAATTTGGATTGTATTTGTTTACAAATCTGTTTAACTCTATTAGCAATTTTGTATTTTAAATCTAATCTTGTGCTTTTAAAAAAGTTTATTTTAATTCTGTCCCGCCTTTTCTTTGTTCATTTATATTAGTATGTTTCTTAATATATCACCACTAATGCCGGATATATGTTTTCAATCATGGAAACTAATATTTGCAGATGTTCTAAATTTGCTTAAATTTTCAGAATGGGACAAAAAAACCGCCGCAGTTGATTGCAAATGGTGTCGAACAAATTCCGTCAGTAAAATCGTTAGTTAAATTTTTTTTCTCAATTAAAGCGATATATGTCAAAAATATGACATCTGAAAAGTGTAGTGAAGACCAAAGCCGTGGAGAAATTCCAATTTCTAAAATAAAACTCTTAGCACATTTCATTTCGTCCAAGTAGTTTGCATTGTGCCCACTTTATCTTCAAGTGAATTATTTAAGACTGAAAACCGAATTACTATCACGTTTTAAAATAGACGTAGAAAAAGTTAATTCCAGTCATTGCTTTCAAGTTCCGATGATATTTTTCCCTCAGAATATCATAATTGCTAACTACTTGCGATTGAAACTTCAGTTAGCATGTTATATATTAGTAAAATTTGGCCAGATTGATTCTGTTTACATTAGTTTTTTCTAAGTAGGCTTTGCTTTTGCTATTTAACATCTGAAACTGGAACACTGAGAAATGCGTGAGCATATTTCTTCTCGTATTTGTTTCATTATATGCAAAAAAAATCTTCACTTGCATGAAGATTTTTCTTTTTTCAAACTTTGCACTATTTGTCTGTTCATTTGGTCAGCTTTTTGCTTATTAGGTCTCTATATCTAGCATTAACTTCGTCCCTTGTAGGTTTATATAATTAAATAAAAAGTTTGCTGATGATATTTCAAAGTTTGCGTCATTTAATGCGCTTAGATTTGTGTTAAAATGATGTCCGAACTTTCTCTCTTTAAAACTGGCTTTTTTCAAGCTTTGAACCCTCTTCTTACATCTCCAATCCCACTGCTTCTCCTCGTTTCTTTTCCCCAAAATTTATTTCTCCAGCAGCTGGATGGAACATTTCTCATAGCATAATATTTCTGCTGAAGTTTCATCTTTCATGTTCTGAAAGCATAGAGAAGTTTGAGTTATAGAGGAAAATTAAACTTTCGTCGTTTCTCTCTGTGTACATTGTTATTCTTATTCCTTTATTTCTAAACTATGTTTGACTTCAAGAATTATTGGCTTGTGAGTCTTCTCTCCGGAACCTTCCAGCGTGTAGATCAAATTGTAAAACTAGGAATCTGACGTTGGGTCTTACTCTGAATCTGCTAACTGATGAGCTATGAAATTTTAATATCACTATTCAACGCTGTATTGTCCGTAAATTCTTTGCATATGCTTATGGCAGTTGGAGAGATCATTTTTGATGAATCGAGCTAACCAAATTTTACACTGATTTCGAAACTATCACTTCACTTTTTGTCTTCCCGACTTGCAAGACCAAATATTGTTGTACATGAAAGTATTTAGAAACTTCCAGAGAAGTTAAATAATAAAAGAGGAAAGGACTTGTTACTCGCTCTGAATAATTATTTTCTACTCAAGAACTTTTTTCACTGACACTTTGCTAACTTTTTTGCTATGATTAGTTTTGCTCTTTTAGTCTTAGCAATTCTGTGATCATTTTGGTGAAAACTTTTTTCGCTATGATCAGTTCTCCTTTAGTCCTAGTAATTCCGTGATCGTTTTGGTATCGGGCATTGAACTCATCTTTAATTACATTTTTATAGTTGCAGTATAACAATCCAATAGCTTTAAACCAGCAGATATTACTGATACAATTACTGATAGTAGATTTCTATTGGCATAAAAATTTGGCACATTCTCAGATTTGCAATTTAAACAAATCCGGCAAACTATTGCAGTTTTTCTGCACTGCAACTTTTATTTTCATTCATTACAACATTTCAAAGAGATTGAGTACGGATTGATCAATCCACTGATTGGTTGACAACATTTTTCGCATGTTCGAATGAAGTGCAGATTTGCCATTTTTTATATCATGTTTTCCTTACCATTAACAATTTTTTGAAGAGTGGTTTTAAAAGTGCATCACACCTTGCACTTTCTCTGCTGCCTTGTTAAAACTGTTTTAACCGTCCTTTCAAAAGGTAGGCCAATCCTATTATTTGTTCTGCTACTCGTCTGCCTTCCTGCTGTTCTATTGAAATTCACTGATCTGTAATGTCATCATCTTCAATCGAAAAACAAAAATTGCTTCGTTCTTATCTGTATTTTGGCTTGACTGCTTAGGCCTTACAAGCCTTCTGTTTTCTCATTCCGTCACTTACGAAAACAATGTTCGTTTTTGTGCTAAATCGTTGGTATAATGCATTAAAACCAAAACAAAAGGACGTGAAGCAGGAAGCGATGAATTTGGCGATGTTAAAAAAGCACGAAGAAAGGGATAAATGGTTGGAAAAAAAGCGAGAGATTTCACCGCCAACTACCGTAGATCACGAAGTACTTTCTCGTCTACAAAGTTCGGGATCCAGAGATGATCAGATAAATTCGGATGATGATAATGATGCTGATGAATTTTTGTCAGTTTGTGATACGTCCTATGGGTCAGCTCATGAGTTAGAACAACAAAAAAGCGATGAGGAGACGCAACCGACTTTTGCAGAACAAGATTTGCGGATAGCGGAAGAATCTATTACCAGCGGTAATATTCGAAAATCGAATGAAAAGTCTTTGGACTCTACCAATACAAAGGAAGAATTTACTTCGAAAACCAGAAGCTTTGCGAATATATTAGACGCTGCGGAGCAAAAAGATGATACGATAATGCTTCGTGAACATATCTATATCTTGAATGAGGATGAATGTCATTTAGAGGTAGTTCCTTCTCTACCGCATTTGTCATCATTATCAACAATAGATTCAGGAAATGATGATGAATCACTTGTAACAAATTCTATATTTGATCCACTGAGAACCGGATTTACATCAGAGTCTTTTAAAAATTCGAAATCTTGGCTAACATGTTCTTTAGAGTCGCCGTCAACTTCATTATTCTCACATCATTATCCCTTTTTGACCTCAGACAATAGCCAACAATCTTCGAATTCACATTTTCATACCAGCGTACCATTCTACATTGATTGTTCAGAGAACGGTACATCTAATAACAGTGTTCTACAAAAAAATTTTGATATAGGTGATACTGTTTCACTACCATCATCATTGAAGAATAAACTTTTATATAACCATGGAGTCGAAAGGAATTCAAATGCAACTAATTCGGAATTTAAAATTGAGAATAGATTATTAAACTGGAAGCTAGAAGCTCGCAGTGCATATCTCGATCGTGGGTTAGACTTCGTTCCACCTATGAATCATGGAGAACGCAATATGAATGCCGGCAATATACGTCTCAATTTATCATCCAAATCTTCATTTTATAATGATGAATCTTCTATTCATCTGGATTCTGATTCTGTAGCGTCTGATTTTGTACCTTATATTTCGATTTGTCGAAATAATATTGAAAATACAGAATGCACAGTAATTTCGGAATTTAACAAGCAAATTTATGATGCAAAAGCTTCCAATTTGATTCCTGAGGAAAATGATCTTTTTTTGAGCTGTTACGATACGTTGTTCGAAAACGGAAATGATAGAGAAACTTCGATTATAACCTCATCGAGGTAATTTCTTGCTTTGTTTGTTTAGGTTCACAGCATCTCCTACAAGTGGTAACACTGAATAAGCATTTCCAACGCGTTATTACTGAGCTTATTTTTTAGTTCTTTCGTAAATACTTTTTCTAAGAATATTTCATATGACTTGATATGCGATTATGCATACTTGTTTGTGGCAATTGCAATATATTTAATGTGAATTACGATGTTAACTTTCCATTCAATCTTTCATCCGGTTTTTACCCATTTTAAAGCAAAAACAGGCACACATGCACACACACACACACACACACACACACACATACAAAAAATAGAGATGGAATATTTTGTATGTTTGCTTTAAAAGTTCAAAAGTTAATGAAATAAATGTCTTTTCATTATAGAGAAAAATGATTCAAAATATCTCATCGTACCAAGAAATCGTACCTTTCTCTGTTAAGCCATTCTTTAATTGTAAATTTGTTTGTATGCTTATAAGATATTTATCTCCAAAAATTTTGCCGCTCTCGCAAGCTTGTAGTCACCTGTTATGTCACATGCAGTAATTTCATAGCCATCTTATAGGATTCATTGTACAGTTTGCAATGACAGTGTTAAATAATAAATCCAATATTTCCAAGGATGAAAAACGAAGACGATAGAGTCTATATCCCAGCTGTGTAATATTTTCTCTTTTGTTCCCACACTGCACCAAATGATATTTTGATACATTTATTTGACTTAAAGGTATATTAAAAAGATGTTATATTAATGTTATATTAAAAGATGTTATATTAATATGCATATATTTTATTTTATATTTTGTAGTTTAACAGATTTCGAGTTTCAGTATTTACAATTATCATTAAACTATTTACCTTTTAAAAATGTGATATAGACTCTGTTATGTTCATTTTTCTTTCCCATTAATTTGCTTCATCAACTACTTCGATCAAATTTCTATTTATTCATTCTGGATAGTTTTAGTATTGTAGAGACTTCAGTAAAAACTTCCAATGAAAGTAACTATCCATATCTATATAGTTTTTTTGTGCTTCGAGATTTTAGCTCACAAATTTTGGTTTTTGTAGTGAAAACGAGAGTAAGACGCGTGAAACAACATTATCTACAACGGCAGGTGGTAACAATAATGATGACCCAACAAAGTTGAAGAAATCAAAAACTTTTATATCGATGGAAACTCGTAAACTTCTCATTGAACCTGAGGATACAGTAAATGCCTCGCCGAACACGACAAAAGCTTTTTGGAATGGTGCTCTGCAGCAACAGAATCATCCTGTAACAGCAATGTCACCTAATAGATCATTAGTATGTTTTAAATATGTTTTTTTTTGTGTTTTTGACGATATTCTCTTTCTTGGGCATTGTATTAGCTTGTTATAGCGTAGTAGATGTTTTCCGAAACTTGGTTTTTTCAAGAAAAGATTTATCCTTATTTTTATTCTTTCTTGGTTTCAATTCGGAAGAATAAGTTGAAAAGGTTTGGCATTGTTTTTGGTGCTCTACGTAGATATTTCGCTTAAAAAAATTGGAAGGTGTTTTTTGTTTTCTTCGCGATTTGCCTTTGGTCGCAACTTTATTGTTTCAGAATCCTAATGGAACAAATCACGAATTTCGTTGTACTTCGTCGTCAGGTACGAAACTAATGCTTCCAGACGATTCGTGTAATGGCCCATCAGCTGGTTCACCGAGTGCTGGGAGTGAAAGTGCTTATGGTGATGATGAAATGGAACGAGAACAGGTATGTGACTGGACAAACAAATAAAACTATGGATTTCTGCAATTCAATTTTTTTATTTTCTATTGTTCGAGACCGTGTAATATAGGTTGCTGAATGTGACGAAAATAGAATGTTCATGAAGTTTTAAAAGTTAATCAACAAAATATCGTTATGAATCACCAAGCATTGTAAATTTGTTATGTGTTGTACTATAACTTCAGACTCAAATTTAAATCTGTAAAGTTTTCTGATCCTTCTTTGAACCCTTATTTTATTCTTTTCATCCTTTCTTTATTTCTTTATTTTGATTTTCTGGCTGATATCATGTGTTTGTGATACATTATGCCAATGAAACTTCTAAGTGATATTAAATAGAAATATTGTAGTAAATTTAGGAGGAAGTGCTTGGAAGTGATGACGAGGAACAGGAGGATCCCAAAGATTATCGGAAAGGCGGCTATCATCCAGTTGCAATAGGCGATGTGTTCAATGGACGGTAATTATTATTAGCTTGTTCTGATGCTTGTGCAAATGTTGTGATACTTTTTTCTTCTTTGAATTAAAGCCATTACTTTCAAGTTTTGTTTTATAGTTATCACGTGATTCGAAAGATGGGATGGGGCCATTTCTCGACAGTTTGGCTTTGTTGGGATACGGCGCAGATGCGTTTTGTTGCGATGAAAATTGTAAAATCAGCTGAGCATTACACAGAAGCGGCGTTAGATGAAATCAAAGTAATGAGTTTTACGAGTTTATTGCGGCGCTTTGCAAATTTGAAAAATTTAGCTTCACTTTGGACAGTTGATGATCTTTTGAACATTTCAATATCTATTATGTTTTTCTCATGTCGAAAAGAGAAGAAAAAGATATTTAAAGTATGTCTTATGGTTCGGTAGTCTATACACTTGTCTGGAATCCGTTATATTCAAAATTTCTGGTTCTGTCACTTATTTTATTGTATTATGTATTACCTACGTGCTTTCTTTTTCTGACTTATTGTCAAAATTGTAGTTGCTTATGGCAGTACGTGATGCAGATGAGGACGATTTGTTCCGTGAACGGGTTGTGCAACTTCTAGATGAATTTTCAGTAACGGGCGTTAATGGAACGCATGTCTGCATGGTTTTCGAGGTTTTTTTTTATCCTTTAGTTGCACGTAAGAGTTCAAGTTTATAAATAACTTGATAATATTATCAATTTTTCATGAAAACTGTATTTCAATAGGAATCATGAGATATTATATCATTTTAAAAAAATTCAATTGCGCGGTTAATGTGTAAGTGAAATATATCTCTAATAAAGACATTATCACAGTATTATTCTAACAAAATTTACTAATAATACATTGGTCGATCAGGATTAGTGATTAACATCAGTTAATCTACCACATGTAGTAATTTTCTTGTGAAAAAATTTTTTTGCAGGTCCTTGGATGCAACTTACTAAAACTGATTATCAGAAGTAATTATCAGGGTCTTCCATTGGAACAAGTGCGCGTCATCATTAAGCAAGTACTAGAAGGACTACAATATCTTCACGAAAAGTGTCAGATTATACATACTGATATAAAACCAGAAAATGTCCTCGTTACAATGACTCATGAACAAGTGAGACGGGTATGTAATATTTATCACTTCAATTTTAATTTTTTTATGTAAGGGTATAAAGATATAATATAGATTTCATTTTCCTCACTTTTAAAGATGAGAAGATAAATTGTTGCTTCCTGGAATTTCGATCTGTAATCTAACCAACTTCTTTGTTGCTCACTTTATTTTTTGGAAATGTTTGTATTTTTTGCTAAAGTTTCTCTTTTCGATGTTATAGATAGCGGCAGAAGCAATTTTATCAGGCAAAATGGGCTTCAAGTTATCGGGAAGTGCGGTAAGTACTGCCCCGCAGCACATGGTTAAAAAAGTATGTTTTCTTAAGAAAGTGATCTAATTTTTGTTTATCGAAAGACTAGGGATAAACTTTGTAATGAAACTTCCACATATGCGTATTTGAATTTCGTCTTCCATCTAACAATTCTAGCGATATATTGCAATCTTTACTCATAGACTCATAATTATAAAATGGAAACATTGCAATACTTTGCATGACACAATCTTTTAGGCTTTTGATGTTCTATTCTTTTTCATCGTAAGAACAATAAAGAATGTCAAAATTTTGGTTTCTGTAGGTTGAAGAAGCAATGTCAAAAAACAAGAAGAAAAAGTTGAAGAAAAAGCGAAAAAAACAACGGGAATTACTAGAGCAACAATTAGTACAAATGGAAGGATTAACTGTCGATCCAAACATTGTGCTGGCTTCACTAAATTCCGAGGACAGAAATAAAGTTTGTTTTTCAATCCCCCAAAATATTTTTCCGATATTAGAAAACCGAAAACGAACTTCTGAGGTTCCAAATTTCATTAGTTAATTTCAAAACATGATTTGAGCCTGTGCGAAATTATGTTTTAGTTTCAAGTATTAGGTATTTTCTATTCCTTTCAACATTTTCGTTTCGTTTAAGAGTAAACTTCCACTACGCGAGGATCTTGAGCTCAAGTTTTTTTGACAGCACTGTCTTGCAATACTTCGATAACACTTATGGAATGTTATTACTAAATTTGATTTTGTAAATTCAGTTTACCTTAAATAGTTCCATTCGCGCACATTTTTACAGGGAATTTTTTGAATTTTTTAGTTCAGTGCGATCTTTTGCAAAATGAATTCTAGGCCGTTCTCACATATCATTGACGATTTTACTAAAGATTTTTTAGTGCTCTTTACAGTACTGATTTTATGAGGCTTACATACAGGTTATAGAGTTCAGTTAATTTCACTTTCTTTCATTTCGAGAACAAAATATATACTAAGTGAAAGTGTGATAATCCATGGAACATGCATGAATTGCAGTTACTTGGAAAACAGCACAACAACGGTTGCAATGCTAATACTAGCAACCTACATGCAATACCCGAATTGTTGCGTTGTGCGGCCGCTGCAAAAGTGACCAGTGGAAATAATGTTAATATGAGTGCACAACCTCATGATAATGGTGGTGGTACCAATGGTATTATTCGTTCATATGCAAGTCATTCGGTGGGTGCTAAGCCAGCAGCAGTAGCTCTCTGCAATACGACCTATTTGAGCGTTGATGAGCAGTATAGATATAATCAGGTACTTGATCGCTGCTATCCACACTAATGTGTTGTGAGAGGCATGCACCCACGGCCAATGGAGCAGCATGTTAACGAAAGTAGCATTAACTATACTACTTTAATAGCAGTGCTACCTCCCACTACAATAAAAAAACTATTAAACTGTTTTAGTACTACGAGCTCTGGAGAGTGAGTGGCACAACACAAGCTTTGGGAATGGTCATAACTCACATCTGTTTTGTTTTTGAAATGGATAGTTATGTGAAGTGCTCCATATATATGTTAATTGTAGAATAGCTGATACTGATATAGGAAAGTAAGTGACTTTAAGGTTGTAGGAGTTGTATGGATGATTACAGCACAAGTAAGCAGTAATTTAGATGACATAATATATATGAAACAGGTGCACAGCTTTAATTAACGTTGGCTGTGGGTATTTCAAGACTGTGATTGTATTGTAGTTGTACAGTTATTCTTGATTATTCTTGTAATTGGCATCTTCACTGATGCATGTTACTGAATAGTTGTGATCATAGTATTTTTGGTGAATGGTTTGTTTGTTTTGTCTTATTTTTAATTCTTACTTGAATTCGTGCTTGTTTATGATATAATTTTATCAGCAAGCGAGGCTCGTCTTTACAAGCAAACTTAGCATGCGTTTGCTTGTAGTATGTATAACATTTGACATACTTCATTCCTCCCTTTATCATCAAGTCAAGTAGACTGCATGACTGATGAATTTTCAATTAGCTTGAAAGACATTTAAAAGCATTCCACTCCAGTTTTGCGCTTAGTAACTTTAGTTCAAGTTAGCATATCGCTGAAAAAATAAAAGAAATTATTTAACACTAATTTTCCCAATAACTTAGATAAATCCTTAGTACTGGCGTTACACATCATTTTCAGCAATGTGCTGATTTTCTGGCTTCCTTTTAATTTAGTTTAAGACATCATTTTCGGGTAATGTTATATGCAGATGGTTTGCCACGAGAAGTGTTATCATTTTTTAATTTTTCTAATCCACAGAAAATATTTGCCGCGATGGTTAAAATCCTCTGCTTTTCTAATTTAAAAACTTTTTAAGCGTTCTTGAATTTGTGTTTTTTTAAGCTTAAATCAGAAATAGTGGCAACGAAGGCTGAAGACGTACAAATAAATGATTTTATTGGTAAAAATACTTCTGTTTGTCCGGCTGCATGGAAGAATCAACATAGTTCAGTTGAGGTATCTCACTTCGATTTACAATATCATTTATTGAATCTTAATCTTTATAGTTCCTACTTTTCCTTTGTTTCTTTATTTCATACTTGTTGTTTAAAGATTCAGATGCGTTTTAGATACCAATCGAAAATGTTGCACTCAAAGCTGTTGAAGTAAAAGACGCAACAGAATATCCGCTGTTAAGTCCTTCTAGTGACAATGACTTGGGTAAGCTTTCAAATTTTTTTCCAATTTTTTGTTAACTGGGATGGATTACTCTTTTCTTATAACGGATTTATTGTCATTAACTGTCGTATTTTGTTATTTGTCTTTAGTTTCTTATTTTGTGTTTTGCCAATCATATAGAAATGCTTTATTATGCAATGAGTTTTGGGTAGCGCGCTTGTAATCTCTTGTGGGGAATCCAAATTTGGGATGTTTTTTTTCCAAAGGACTTATAACTACTGCGCCATAAACTTTACAATCCTTCACAAGTTCTCAATAATCTGGATCAATAATGATCCATCTTAAGATGTTTTTTTTTTTTTGGCATTCTATCGTTTTCTGTTTCGCAATTCAAATATCATACAGTTGTGGAAGGACCACCTCGATTTTTGGCTCACATGGAGTCGGAAGCTCGTTCAGAGAATGAGATGAAAGAATCAGCTTTGCAACTTCTATTAGAAAAGGATGGTTTATCGCCGAAACGTATGGAGCCAGACTACTTAAATCCGACCACCGAGATCCATGTTAAGCTTGCTGATTTGGGAAATGCTTGCTGGACGGTTTGTTTTTACTTGTTATAACTAAACACTGAACTACTTTTGAATATCATTTTCATTACCCGCATTATCAATATCATTTCATTACCCGCATTCTTCTGAATGAAAATCAATTATTTATTGCTTTACAAGAGTAATATAGAGTGAAACATCATCTCACCTATTCACTTATATTAAGTTCGATGCGTATATTTAATATCTATCGTAATCTTCTTCTTGACATTTTTTTAGTACGTTCACTTTTTTTAGCATCGTCATTTTACGGAAGATATCCAAACTCGACAATATCGAAGTTTGGAAGTGCTCATAGGTGCTGGTTATGGTCCACCAGCTGATATTTGGAGTACTGCTTGCATGGTTTGCACTTGACTTGATTTACGAGTTTTCGAAAATGTAGCTTCCAAATTGGTATTAGAGGCACAGATAAAGTTGAAAAATACGAAAAAAGGGGATTAAAAAAGTGGTGAAAATATCTGCGAAACTAATATCCTTTATTATTACAATTTTTTATTGGGAAAATATATAAATTGTTCAGAAAATAATAGATTTTCTGATGTTTTCATTAATGCCATTTCATTATTTATTATAGTTATCATTTTCAGGCATTTGAATTGGCGACAGGCGACTATTTATTTGAACCTCATAGCGGTGATACATACAGTAGGGACGAGGATCACTTAGCACATATAATCGAACTTCTAGGAACTATTTCTCCAAGAGTCTACAAAAAAGGAGCTCACTGGCGTGAATTCTTTGATAAGGTGACACTTTCTCTTTACATTTCGGGATGTTGTCGCAACTTGGTTTGAAAGTGATATAATGAAATAATTGCTGAAAATTTTATGCGATGCCGTCAATCCAAAAGTTATTTTTGATTAAGAAATATACCGAGAATGGTGGGCTATCTGACAGTCAATTTGATACAAATTTATTAAATTGCTTGATTTTTTTCTGGAATTTACCAATAATTTTTTAAATAGTAGTTTGTAAAAAAATTGTATTTTTGCAGCATGGTCGTCTGCTTCACATTCACCAGCTAAAACCGTGGTCTTTGGTCGAAGTGTTAACACAGAAATACGACTGGCCGATTGAATCAGCCGGACAGTTTGCTTCATTTTTGATCCCAATGTTAGCATTTGATCAAGATGAACGTGCGACGGCTCGACAATGCTTACAGCACGACTGGTTAAAACCGAATGGTGGTAAACGCGTGATGGAGAAGCAAAAGGCACATGTGTCATTAAAGAAACAGCATGAACACGAATCATCTCCGATTCTCGACCCATCACTTCTGGTTAGTGTTGTTTGTCGCTTTTTCAATTTGAATTATGACCTATGAATTGCTGTTGAGTTTCTTCTTCAAATTTTATTTCAAGAATTAATAGCTTTAATTTGATGGGTAGGCGAGATTTGACCTGAAAAAGTTTTGGTTCCACTTCTCGAAGTGGCTGCTTAGGTTCGTCAAATTCGATTACTGGCTTCCCTAATTTATGATGCTTTCAGGACGAGTTGTTGGAATTAGGTGGTGCTAGCGATAATACAGAAGAGGAGGAATACTTCGTAACGGAAATGCACGCAACTTCTCTTATCAAAAAATCTCAACAGTCAGTTAGCACCAATGGAGGCGAGGTTTAACTGATTGTGATGATACTAATTCTGATCAGCAATTGTTATTGACAAAGAAAAATTTTGAGCTTCGAATGGGGATCTTTTTGTGCTGTGTTAGTCTCTCCTTTTCATGGTCTTTTTTCTCACATTTTCATGAAATAGTAATATTTGTCGTTGAGATTTTTTTTCCTTTCAACGATTTCTTAATACTATATATGAATTCATTTTTGTAAAAAACGGATCAGTTTTTGGAAATTCACAAGTACTTTTTATTGATCCCTGATATCTAACATTCGAAGCAAATCTAATTCATATATTTGTTTCCAATCATTTGAACAGATACATAGTCTTCCTTAATGGAAGGTTTTCTAACTCAGTTTCGTTTTTTTTGTCCATTTGCTTAGCACTTGTAAATTTTTTAGACCTCCTGGATTATCACAGTATAGTTTTTAGGACTGTCTTTCGAAATTCAAAGTTCCAGTGTTCGAACAATAGTTTTTTCGAGCTCGGCATTGTACTTTTTTTTCTGAAGTGTAGGGATTTTCCTTCATATAATTCAAGACTTGTTTTAATTCTTTATAGTTCGAGACGTGAACTATTTCATTCTAAGATCAGAATTGAGATAAAGGAATGAATTTTGTGAACTTGAGATATTCGTTTTTTCATAAAATAAGGAAGAGAGCAGCATTCGGTGTGGTGTCCACACGTTCAACGAGAAATATTCCAATTTATACTTTTTGTTATGCCCTTACGTATTTTGTGGTATGAAACTTTGTTCACTGAAAATGATTGAAACAATCGAATACGCTTCCAGGAAAGTTCTAATAAATGTATAATAAAAAAATGTGAAAAAATTTTACTGGGCTAATATCTCTCACTGACTTGTCATTTTTTTGAATAGCAATACGTGATGAAGAGAATTGTAATGGAAAACATAAGAGATAGGAAATTCGAAAAAAAATAATTGATTTTGCGACTTCTCCCTTTACCTCTCTCTCTTTGGAGATCCGGAAGGTGAGTACAGTTTGCATTGCTTTTTTGTGCCATTCTGGATGTATGGGAAAATCCAACCCTGAAAGCGGAAGTGATTGCGATTTTTTTGTACAAAACCATGAGATGTCAATTTGTCGTTGTTGTGTCATTTCTCCCGCTTTTCTTCACTCTATCGTTACTGGAGAAGATGCTTAAGCGGACTCATACGTTTGACTCATACGTGCATGAATCTAATGCGCCTCCTTGTCCAAGTAACTGCCTGTTTCCATTTCTTACCTACTGAATTTATTATAATAGTAAAATCTTCGATCCGTCGATCCGTCGATCCGTCCTGCTTCCCATAGGTGCGCACACATAGACCCATGTGCATATAATATTTTATGATTATTGCGTTTAGAAATATCTTATATATATAAACTAAACGATTATTCTTGTCATTGTCAAGAAAATTTGTCGTATTCTTGCGAAAATAAATGGTTCATGTAGAGATTTGATGGATCAACTGATTGCCGTCTTTGTGAGGGATTTCAGATATGTGGTCGGAATTGCTCCTCACTGTATTGTATTGGTTTTTGGAAAGCTAATGCCAAGATGTTTGCATTTTAGTTTTAATGCTAAAGCGAAGAAATGACGAGACGTGCTTCATACGTTAAGCTCTCCTTCATTGCGTTGTTTCGTATACATTGAGCTCTCAGAGTTTCACTTTTTTCACTATATTTATATAAACTGGCATTCTCTCGAGCTTGCAGTGGTTATTTGGTTGCGTCTGTGCTGTTGATGGAAAACGCTTCTTACTTTTTTAGCTTTTTACAAACGCTTCCAATTCGTACCGGACTTAGGAGATTCCGGGATACAGAATTCTGATGGCTCGGTTTTGTCGGAACAGGACGCTCTATACCTCGTTTTCATGATGCTTCTGTAGTATAATTATATTTTAACACAATTTTGTTAGATATTCTGTAAGTTCGCTGTTTTAAACTAGCTAACTGTTAATTTTGACTTGAAAGATTGAGGGGGAATCTATATTTGGGAGAAGTCGACACAGTCGACTAAAATTAAATGAAAAATCAAATAAAAAACAATAGAAATAAAAACGATGCTAATTAACTGTTGCAAATTTCTACACAATTTGTTGAATGAATAATTTATAACAATCAAAATTATCCATAATATTTCATTCAAAATAGATTTAAAAATTAAAGTTCAAATTGAAATCGATTCATTGCCTTCAACATTTCATACATTTTAATTTTTCCAATTTAGAAAAAAGAATTTTACATCTGAAAAAGGAAAAGGAATATAAGTTTATGCTTGATTTTCGAACATAAGCGAAACGAAATAAAGGAAAAAGTAAAATTAAAGTAAGCAGCGCTTATTTTCATACGCAAAACGACGTGCAGACAAGAAGTTTGGAAATATTAAGTAATATTTATAGAATTGGACTAATTTTAATATCCCTTCAAATATTGCCTAATATATTCTAAACAATGAAGTTTAATTGATCCACTCGCATCCTATTTCGGGTTGGTTTTAATCATTTCACTAATAATACAAACATCCATTACTTGTAATTCATTTAAAATTACATTTGATGTGTGATGAAAGAATTTCTTCCATATCCTCAATGATGTATGTAAAATCATAATATTGTCAACAATATAAACAAAATTTGTTGCTAGCTGGAAAGATGCATTGAAATTATCAGTTTGGCGGGAAATGAAGTATATAACAGCAGACTTGATCACACAACTCATAATTCAATCTAATTGTTTTTGTTTTAAGTTGTAAACCGGTCGCTTGATTACAAAAAGCGTTTTCCAATGTGTAAGCCTGACGAAAAACCTTTACCGGATCCGACTGTTGTTGGCGCAATGGAGGTTGATGCTATTTTTTGAATTTTTAAAATAGCCTCAAGTTATCTTGAAATTTAATAAGTGCAAGTAAATGATTAGTATTTTTTGGAAATGATTTTTAAAAGTTTTTCTATCATCACTCCAAATAATATATCAAGTCAGAATTTCAGGCCTTAAAGGCTGCATATGAGAGAAAAGTGGTACCATCGGAAAAACGTTATTTATACAGTGAATTCGACACGCCACCATTACGTGACCAAGAATTTACGGTTCGTTCTCAAATTAATTCTGAATTCGATATTAAGTCTAATCGCTGATGGCACATTAGTAAGTAATTTTAACAAATTGTGAATAATTAATGAGTAGCACAATTAACAATAATCCTTTAGATAAATAGCAAATGTTACTTTTAAACATAATTGCAAATGATATTTTATTGTTGAAATTTGTCAAATTTCTCTTAATTTTGACAAATTTGATATTTTGAACAATTTTATATGAAAAAAATTCAATATATAATTTTCGGACAACATAAATTTTAGGGTAAACCAACGATATTATTGCTTGGTCAATATTCGGTGGGTAAAACATCCATGATATCATATTTATTGAATGGCAATTATCCCGGTGCTGATATCGGTCCTGAACCAACAACCGATTTTTTTGCGCATGTGGATTACAGCGAGAAACCACAAACGATATCGGGCATAACGTTGGCTTCCGACAAGACTTATCAATTTCAGGTTCACATCTTAAGCATATAGCTCATATAAAACCAGTTCTTCTTGTAATTTAAAACTTCTTATATTCATAATTAGTCGGCATGTTTGATTTGACACTCTTTGTAATTGTTTAATTGTTTTGTATAAATTTTAAAATTTCATTTGTCATCAAATCTTTTTTCTGAAAAAAAACTTTCAGTCATTAAATGTATTTGGTGACGTATTTTTAAACAAATTGAGAGCTACACGTTTCAAAGCACCACTTTTGAAGTATATTTCTATCATTGATACACCTGGTATTCTTACCGGTGATAAACAGGTATCATTTTTATCAATGGAGAAATTTAAATTCGTTTCAGACATTAATGATTTAACAACCATATTTCATGATTTCTTTTGCTTCATTTTTTCGTTGAAGTCATAATGGAAATTTTTAAAAATACAGCAAAATTGAGACTTTCTTTTAATTATCGGAGTGAGAATGAAAGTTTTACAGGTAGAAAGTAGAGGTTATGATTTCTCAAAAGTTATCAAATTTTTATCCAGCAAAGTTGATTGCATATTTTTGCTATTTGATGCTAACAAGCTTGATATCAGCGACGAATACAAACAGGTTACTAAAAAAATTAAAATGTTTTTTTTCAATTTTAAAAAGTGTTCGCATGTACTTAATTATTTTTCTGTAATGATAAAGCGATTTAATTTTTCAATGCAAAATATTACAAGTTTTTAATCATTATAGGTCATTCAAATTTTGGAAGGTAACGAAGATAAAATTAAAATCATTTTGAACAAAGCTGACTGGGTTAAACCACGTGAATTAGTTCACGTACGTGGTGCGCTGATGTGGGCACTTGGGAAAATTATGCGTTGTCCTGAAGTACCGAAAGTAATGATAGTTATCCTTTTTCTCAGTTGTATTTTGAAATTTAATCTCAAAATCTCTTCTTCATAATCAAAATTTTGGAAATGTAATGAGTTCATTTACCTGAATACTACTCAAAGTAAAATATTTTCATTAAATCGATTATTTTTATGTTATTCGTAGTTTTCATCTCAAATTCAAAAATTTTCGAAAGAACTAATGGATTCAACTACCTGTAAAATTGAATAATTTTCAGGTTTTCATTGGCTCATTCTGGCCATATTGGTCTGACAAAAATATTCTTCTGCGTGATGCAATTAAAGAAGATTTAGCAGCTGTTGTTAAAGAAATTGCTGATTTACCTAATTCATATCATCGTAGACGTATCAATGATGTAGCAAAACGAGCCAGAAATGTGAGAAATACAATTAATTGAAATATAATTGACGCTTTCATCGTTGAATAACAAAGTAATATTCGTTATTAACGATAAGCTTTATGATTAAAGATAAGAATGCACAAATATTTCAAGTCAAAATTTTCATGTGTTCTTTTTGAGGTACGAATTCATAGCTACGTAATGAATGAAATCGTAAGAAGAAAACTATTTTTCACCAAGACTTTAACAGCAACCGATACGGAGACGCAACCACACAAATTACGTAACTTATACAAGACTTTGGCGACAAGCCGGCGAATTGTTCTAAATGATTTTCCTGATCCTGAATCGTTTCATATTAAAGCTAAAGAGGTAGCACATTTTCTGGAAGTAATCATTTTTAGATTTTAATTTAAATTAAAATCACAACATTCTGGACTATTTTTCATCTTTTCTTTTTGATTAGAAATACCAAGAGAATAACAATAAAAAGCATAATGTTTTATTGAAGTGAATTCCTTCGTCTTCTTTTTATTTTATAGACTAAAGCAAAAGATTGGGCACGAATTGATCGCAAATTAGAAAAGTTACTCAATTCATTTATTGAAAATGACATTTCATTAATTGCAAATGCAGTAGTAAATGAAAAAGAATGCGAAGTGAAATTTTCAGTACCAAAGAAAGTACCACTTCCTGAGGTCAATAATTCAACATTTATAATCATTTATTAGCCTTCTATTTATACCCTTACATATTGCTATTCGCTGAAAAAAATCAAGTGAGTGTTAAAATACGCCTGAAATAGTTAGGAGAAAATTGTTGAAAAATATAAGCAAAAACATTGCCATTATTGTCTTATGCAAATTTTTAAATGGACTAATACTATTCACTTTCAGGCTCCCAGGAGTCTTTTTAATTTAGCATAGTAAAATGTTGGCCAAAAATAACTATCATTAAACAGTGCATAGCTAACTTAATTAAATGTTTTTAAATATTGTTTACTCCTTTCCGACGGCATTTCAGGATTATAACAAATTGGTAAAAAGCAAAAAATTGCCTCAATTTCTTGTTGAAAATTCAAAAAGTCATTCATCAAAAGGAGAGAAAAAGTTGTCTGAGAAGGGTTCAAAAGAAAAAAGTGTCGAAGAAATAAAACACAAAAATGTAAGAAATGAAAGTATCAAAGATAAAAGTGGAAAAAGTAATAAGCAAAGGAAAAAACATCGAAACATTGCAAAGAAAAGCTCTGAAGAATCAAATCAAAAATTAAATGTAAAAAGTGAGAAAGAATCAGAAAGCACACAGAAACAGAATCCACGGGAAATCAATCAACATGAAAAAGGCATTGAAAAGAAACGCAAAGGTTTCAAAAGATATATTCAAAATATGAACATTTGTATTTTAGTTAGTTAAAATTTACATTTTTTAATTAAATTAAAATGAAATTTCATTGCTATCGTAAGTTTCTTGCAATTTAATATGATGAAATTATTCAGATAAAGGAATTTCACGATCGAAAATGAAAGAAAGTGATAGCGCTGGCGATACATAAGTTAAAAGGAAGCTAACGATGCTTTTGCTTGATTCTAATGTTATAATGAATTGCAGTAAAGCTTGGATAAATTTCATTTTTTTTTCCTCGGAGATTAAAAAAGTATTTTGCTTGGTATGAAATATGATAGAGCCAGAATGAATCTCTTAATGTAGAAATGTGAAAGATTGAAATCACGTCAAACGGTGAGATTTTTTAAATCTTCTTTTCTGAACACTTTCGAAATCACTATTAACCTTGTTTTTGAAGCTCTTCCGTCTTTTTTGAACGAATTCTCAAATTATCCAAATGATTCTGATACAAAAGGTCAAAATATTCATCACTTCTTTTGTCTCTTTATGAAATATTTTCTGTCTTTTACACAATCATACAATAATGTCGAGAATATTTGTGATAGATGATTTATTGTTGAAAATTTCATTTGTCAATATTCTTATTTTAACATTTTAAATTTATTCTTATTCATCTTTCAATTGAAATATTTCTTCAAAACATCACAAGTAAATTAGTAAAATGTTATTGAAGCTACAACAGGAGATCATCTTGCATTTCGATCAATTCCAATGATTGCTCCTCACCCAAATGACAGTGTGCTGCAGTAATTGCTGATGCAATCTCAGCAAGCCGTACTATATTCAGTGATTTCATTGAATCTCTTGTCGAATATTCAAATTCTTTCTCATTATATTGCTGAAAAAAGATAATTTGCATTTACTTGCATATACAATTAACATAGCAGAAGGTGAAATTAATTTCATTAACGAATTTATATTATCGATCTTACATTCCTCTTCTCTTACATCAAAATGTTGCAATACAATTTGAAATGCAAAATTCTGGCTAATTAATCATTTTTTAAAGATTGAAAAAATTTTGAAATAGCGCATACATTTGTTATTGATTGGCGTCTATTTTTGGAATCTAATTTACTTATACTTTGATGTGCAAAATTTGGGAGAAATTGAATGCAAGCACGTAGAATCTTTAAAATGCCGAAGAATGTCGATCCACTGCAATGAAATTTTCTTCTTTTACTTATTATATTTTGAATGATTAGAAGAGTTATATCGAAGTATAATTTGAAAAGCACTAAAATTTGGTCTAAACTTTGCAAATTTAATTTAAACTTTATGCTTTATCAATTATGTACTTTCGGTTGATTCAAAATAAACTATTCACTATTTACTTAATCAGAAAATTATTTTCATTAAATATTATATATGAAATGATTACGTTGAATATTGTTCGGTGATATAGGATGATGATTCGACAAAAGCGAATTTCCTCCGCCTCTGATGCCAATGCATTTGAGCACGAGCAATTTTAATGCGCCGATTCAAGAACGTAAATATTACCGGATATGCAGAACAGCTTATATACGGTAATAAATGAATGTAGTATGATGCTATTACAACTAGAATTTCAATATTTTATAAATCCTAGAATGATATTAATTTTAATTTTAAAATAAACTACAAGAAATTTGTTGCAAAATAAATCCAAAATATATGTCTTTTTTCTTTTTTTAGGTTGTTTAAATTTGCGTCGTGTAAAAAATTGAATTTTAAAGATATTAATGATTGATAGAACTGTCACATATTGGTTGGATAGCTGTTTAAACTGATTTATTTAATTTAGAGTCTAATTTAGTAGCGAATCTTTTGGCTAACTTAAATTTGCGACTAATCAGTTAATTAATACCAATTCAAATTAACATTTTATGAGAGAATGTGTTGAGAATTTGAAAGATTATGCGATTTAAATTGATTTAATGTGAAATTTCAAAAGACATATATATATATATGTGAATTGATTGAAATTATAAATAAACAAAGCAAATTTTTGATAAAGGAAGGAATAACCATACAAATATTTTTGAAAAGTTTTCTTTGCATTTCAGAATTTGACAATTATATCCATTTTAATAAAACTTCGTTGGATACAAAATATTTATAATTTATTCAATGATTTATTCTTTTCAAAAACTTTCTAATAAAATTCAATTTTTTAAAAAAATTTAAAATCAAATCTATCAATAAATTCTACCACAAAATTGATGAAATTTTGAAAGTATTCAAAATGAAAATTAAAAAGATAAAATGAATGGATAAAGGTGGCTACATTAAACTAACCGCTTCGACTCATCCTATTTATAAATTTATGCGCAAAAATACTTAGCCAATATGGTGACCAACATGATATATACACTGCTGTAAGCACTAATACTGTTACTGTAAGTCGTCGTAACGGCGCTGTACTGCAAAGTAAAAAATATAAATTTTGCAAAAAAAATTTTTTTTATAGCAAAATATTTTTGGATGAATTTTGTGATAGCAATTTTTGCTAAAAATTAAACTTTTTTACGCTTTCATTTTTTTTGTCTATTTTTGCAAAGGTCAAAAGTTATCGCTTCGAAGTGAGAAGAGATCGTAAACATATCTCCCTGATCTGTAACTATCGGAATGGTACTCGTCTCAATATAAATAAGCATTTCTTGCTAAACTGACCAATGGCAAATTCATAATGTATTTTAGGAATTGAAAAAAAAAAAAACAACTTATCAAATGTTGAAATTTTAAGATTGTAATATATAAAAAAGAATAGAAAACATACTTGCTATTGGCAAGTGAATTACCAGCGTGTCGCTTCAAGAAAAATGGCACCGAAACATACCAATAGATTATACCGCCTAACGGTATAGCATAGCTAGCAATGCATGATACAATACCAAAGCCAAGTTCAATATCTGCAAACTATCATCTGAATTTATTATAAGACTCAAGATTGTAGGTTAATGCTTAGTTATGCTACATTCAAGAAGTCTAAAATGATATCGTTGAAATTTGTTCAAAAAAGTAGCCTTACCGGATGGTGGCATAAAAGTACATTTTCTTAATACATTAACAGTTCTTTGGGTAGTGTTAGCATTGAAATAAAGTGTTGATACTTGACTATATGCAAAAAGAGGCCATAACATTATCATTACAAGTGCCATTGATGCGATTACTTGCACTATTGCATACTGTAATAAAATTTCATTTATTTAATTAGTAGTTCACTAATTTCATAAATACTTTCTTACTTTTTTATAAGTATTTTATTCAAATTATTTCATACTAACAAACTTTCCTTTGTTTAGCTTTTCGTAGCAAATATTTGTGAGACTTTTCATTCTTCTCATTTATTCCGAAATTATTCAACCATTCGTTTTACTTCAATTTTACTATGATAATTGCATTAAATTCGTATCTCTCACACAAATTAATTATTCATTGATAATTAATTACTGTTTATCTCTCTAATTAATATATTACATTTATTTTGATTAATAAAATGATTTTAAAAATTGATAAATAAAGTAAGATATTTACTTTCAAACTAGCAGCTACTCGTTGACTTTTTTGGTCGAGACATACCGTTACATAACATGTTCGACTGATTAATACCACAATTACCGGTGCAACAAACTTATTCATTGCTTCGAAGACAAGATATGCTATACATGAGAATGTGCTGAATTTCCAAGTACCAATAACTATATCGATTATTAGAAAAAGCATTCCTACAATTTTTTCTATTTATTTCGCAATCATGATATACAGCAATTGTATCAGAGAGATATCAATCAAATGATTTTGATGTATAAATTATTTTATTATAAATAATAATAGGTAATTTGACAATTACTTGACAATTACTTATTTCTTAATATATTATCATTAAATTACAATGATACAACGCATCTATTCTTAATGCTTAATGATAAGATAATTATTTAACATTTGCTATCAGTGTCTCATGATATCATTTAAAAATATACCAGTCATAATCATCAAATCGGAAATACATAATGTTGTAATATAAAATAGAATACTTTTTGGTACTTTAATAGTAGCCGAAAAAAGTAACGGTGCAACAGTATATAACACCCAAAAGTTAGAAACAAATCCGACAGCATTAACACCAATATAAGCAAATGCAACGTATCGTCGATAACCCTTTAAAATTAAAAGTAACCATTGAATTTTTCTGAATTATTTTTATTTGTGTAGAGTAAGTTGAATTAATGATTTAATGTAAAGTATTCCATCATGCATGCAAATAAAAATGACTGCTTAGAATATGCTATTTATCATATTTGTAATCAGTGAACATTATCTAATAGGTTTATCATGACAGATGTAGGCCCATTAATTCAGACAGACTTAAATTTGAGCTATGTTTCATATCAATTTGAATTAGCAGGCAAAGAATTTAGAAACCGCGCAAATGGTACATGATTTCTGACTTAATTCAACATTTTGATGAACTTTTTTAATTTCAATTATATTGTAAATCCATGTGTTAAATAAGAATGAATGAAATAGAATTAAATAACCTGAAATGGTATGTAATATTCCAATTGTTTATAATTGACAAATACATCTTCGCTTTGAGTTATAACTGTCATTATTTCCGTTCACATCGTTTCAAAACAAAAAACCATTGTGAAGCATTACAAATTACGGAATCATTTGAGCATAAAAATTAGAATTTGATTTGATCGATCAATTTAAAAATAATCAAAGGAATGAAATATGAATTGCATAAAGATGTAATCTTATCTTAACAATGTATTTGAATATAACAATTAATCATTTAAAATAAGAAATCAAAAGAATGAAGTAATAATTTTGGGATGTAGAAAGATTCTGTTCCCTTGAAATCATTATCTAAAGGAAGGAAATGAAATATGAAAGGAATTGATATAAAAGAGAATTATTCTGTTTCCTTGAATGAAATGATTATTTAAAAAAAAATTAAATATGAAAATAAGTGATGAAATGAAATTTAATTTTCTTTCATCCTTGTCAATTTTCATTACAGAAATGATATTTCTCACTTTTTATTGAGAAATTTATTTAAGTTTTTCAGAATGTAAAATGAAATAAAAATTTTATTGGTAAATTTTTGATTAAATATGGAAATTGGTCGCATATTTCCTTCAGAAATATCTATGAAATATTTTTTCAGGTAAGTTTGCCATTTTAAATATATCAAAATTAATATATATTGGATATATCTTTCTTTTTTGCATTATTCCTATAATTTTTTTAAAAGGGACTTAATCAGATTTATGATCATTTTATGCCTGCCGTGTTCGATATACTTCTCTTCCGATGTAAAAATCAAAAATCCATTGAAAATTTCCGGTACAATATATGACAAAATAAATTAATTGATGAGATATAAAACCATGAAGTTGAAGATTGTCTTCAATGTGTTTCTTATCAAAATGGTTGAACAACAATTTTGCTCTGATACATATGCAACTAATAAAGCAAAGCATGGCAGACTTTATTTTACGTGTTACTTATTCAGATCTGTTGAAAGTGAAGGGAAATGAAGAGAGAGAGAAGAAAGATCGAACGAAAAGTAAAATACTTTTAACGGACTGAAATCATTTACAACAAGTCATTAAACGATCATTAGACTACTAACCGATTAATTTTGGTGAATTTTTTCTATGATAAACATGCCGTCATCTTTTAGATAAAGAGAAGAGAAAGAGATATGAGACTAATCCATTAATTCTAATTAATTAAAGCTAGCTTAGCCTTGCCTTTTTTAAGCCTTAATAAATTTTATATAACCTCACTCATTCTGAACATCCCTTCACTTCGAAATTGCCCAATTTATTAAGACTAAAAATTTGTACCTCTAAGAAAATCAATAATTTCCCTAATGCAATGTGTCTGATCATTGGGTGAAGCTACAAAACAAAACATACAATTCAAATAATAGCTCAGTATTAATTTGAAAACAAATCACAGATTAATCTAATTTTTTTACAAACAATCGATTATATTAAATAATAATAGGAGGATATACTACTTGGTCCCTTTCATAATCTGAGAAAAATAATCGATCGATAATAAATTTTTTACCTTTTTAAATTCAAGCGCATTTCAAAGGTCATAAAGCTGGCAACTATAAATGAGCTGAACAACACTAACTTTGAATTCATTAGATAATAAATTTTATCAAAATTATTTCAATAACGGATAATAGTTGCGTTTGCTTCATTTTTATCTATTATAATCAATTTTCAATTTGTCATGATTCATTCTGAAAAGTCATCATTTAAACCATAATCATTTATCGCTCGTAAAAAAGCACTTTCCGATTGAAATGACAATCAAAAGTAATTTACAAATGATCTCTGCGCTCTCCTAAAAATAGCACTGCACTTTTCATTATAGTTTATTTTTTGCCTCGAGGATAATTTGCCTCGAGGAAAAAGATATATCAAAATTTCATGAATATATAAGTTGATTTTTATTAAAAACTACTAATATCGAGGAGGAAATATCATCGAATTATCATTGAGATGTTGAGAGTTTTATAAATTTTCAAAATTAAAATAAAAATTTCATTTAATGAATTTTGCTCCCAAGATACCATGAATAAATAAAACTTTATTTTGCAGCTTCATGAATTAATGATCTTCCTTGCAATTAAATTGAACACTCTTCAAATTCCAGAAAAAAATTCGGTTAGTGGATAAAAATCCGGTTTGCTGAATAAATACTTTAAAAGACAACGAGCATTATATTAGAAGAATCAACTGTTATTCTGTATAAGAAAAATTAACTTTTTTGCAATTAGCAACATTTCTATCTTTAAAATCTCACAAATATATTTACATCTTAAATGACAGATAACACTAAAAGGTAAAATTCCTTTTTTGAGCTATTTGAATTTTTTTGCTATTTAATGCAAAAGTTCGAAAGTGTTGAATATAATGAGATTTCTACCATAAAGTAACTGAGAAGAACTGATTGTGTAGATTTCAATTCTCTACGACACTGTCAATAATTCCATTCTCTTATGATTCGTTTCATTGAAATAAAAATGCTTATCCATTTGGGATTTCTATTACGGAAGAGAGAGAGAGAGAGAGAGGGAAAGGATAGAAAGTAAAAAGCTTAAATTTATTTGTGTGTTCATTATACTACGTACTGACTGTATTGATGGTAGAACTTTTAGGTTTTGATGTTTGTTGAAGAAGGAATTCGATTTTTTAAAGCTTCACACAATTTATAAACTTTGGAAAACAAAAATTTTTTGGACAATTAAGAAAAACTTGTTAGTTTCAAATCTGAGGGGACAAATTTGTGCTGCTGTCAGCAATACAAATTTTTCATTATCAATGAAATATAAGCTAAGGAATTATCTGGTGAAATTTTTTCTTAATATTATTTCAACCAAAATGATTAAAATTTATCAAATTACGCTAAACAAATGAAATGCTAAACTAAAAGCCTTCAATAAAAATATTTTCAATGGCTGGCGGTTTTAATCTCATTTTATTTGGAAGAATAAAGTCATAAAAGCTAAATTGATCAGAAGAAAAGTCGTAAAAGTTTTTTTCATTCTAGAAAAGTCAATTTTGGAGAAGAAATGAAATTTGTTTTGAAAGAAAATCGTTGCATAAAAAGCGCAACAGAAAAACGAAGATTATTTCCATATCAAAATGATTATTTCTTTAGTATGACAATTATGATTACTACTTAAATGATTATAATTTATCATTAGTCTGTCCACTATATTCAACTATGATATGTGATATGAAAGATAAGTGATAAGAAATGAGAAGAAATTTCTGCAGATATTTTAAAATATTAATCACTATGTAGGAGATTGCATAAAGTGATCAATAACTGGATAATTATCAATCAATAATTATGTTTATAATATGATTAGAATGAAAATTTTCATAGCAGCTCAAAATATTTATTCGTAAATTATTGCAAGCGATCGTATCATCAGAGACGATATGATAGCAGTGATTGATTAGCGCTGGTATTAAACAGATAGAGGGATAGATGAACGTGTTGCAAATTGATAATTTATTAATATAATGGTAATTAATAGTTTCCAGTTCTGTTTCCATTATGCTCTTCCGGAAATATCTTTCCAAATAATTAATCATAAAATAAACTTTTTTCAATAATACATAATTTATTTGCATTAACCAAATTATTAAATTGTTTCTACTCTAATAAAATTTCGAAGAACGAAAATAATGTGAATATATTATATGATCATATATTGAAATTAAAGGAGATTAAAATCAAATAATTCAATGATACACAGAAAAATTTTTCATTTTCTGTCCAATTTCTCATCGGATATTAATTAATACTGTCATCTGTACCTTTTCCTGCAAATTGTTGAAAATGGAAATTAAATATAAAAGATGAAATCATGCACTTATCATTTTCAATAATCAGACAATCATAATGCATTAGGGATAATTTACAATTCGCACTCTATGATTAATTAAATTTATCATTTATTCGTAAACGAAAACATTTAGTAATGTTTAAATCTTTTAATAAATATTTATGCATTACTATGATGTGTTACTCCATAATCTAATCAATATCAGTTTAATATCAATGATATCTTCGCCTTTTACAATATTTCTATCTTAATCCTTATTTCTTATCATTATCACAATCAATTCATGCTTGGAATTATATTGATAATACGAAATGATTAATGTTTTTCTTGTCATTTATAATTTTATTGAAGAAAACAAAATATAGAAAGAGACAGTACCATTCTTTTATGTATATTTTATTAATGATAAATATTGGAAAAGGAAAAAATAAACAAAACTTTTCATTGTTTTTAATATATTTCTTTTTTTGTATAATAAATACTAAAAGAAGAAAATGAAGAACAAACAAAAAAAAAGAATCCAAAAATGCTAATTTTAGTGAATTTGAAAATAATATGAAAGTGATGAGATATGGTACTATCATTTAATTAGCATTCAGTCAACTGGCCAATAATAGTATTTGATGTTCCTCAGCTGTTCCCTATTTCCTCACATTATGTTTAAACAATTCTCAAGAGAAGAAAACACACATTCCAAATCTTTCATTCATTGTGCTATTCTTTAAATACACAATAAGAAACGGCGAAAAAAATATGCTTATGCATTTCTTTATATCATATCATATCATATCATATCACATTATATTATTTCTCTATGCCATAATAATACAAACATGATATGAGTAAAATGAATTTTATATGATATTAATTTGAGAAAGTTTGAGTTTCATCGAATTTATTAATTTATCGAGCATAATCCTTTATTGTATTATGTTTATTTGTATAATATCATTGAAACGATTGCAAGAATAATTTTAAAAATACCAATAGGGCAAACTTTCCAGAGGATTTTTCTCTTTCCAAATCAATTCTATAGACGAAAAAGCGAAGCAATTATGTAACAGATCTCTTAATTAATAAGAAATATAAATTTGCTATTGTTTTAAAAAACACGTAAAACGGAAGAAAAAGTGCCGTATAGCAAAATTTTTCCATTTATATTTTTTAGTAATGCGAAAAAATTTTTCAACTCTATTGGGAATAATTAAAGGAAAATTTTCGCTTTCTGTTAATTAATTAAGAATGTGTAATTTAAATAAAGTTGAATAAAAATTCAAAAAAAGGAATTTCGTTTTCTGTTGTAAAAAAAATAGGCGGAAAAGAAGCTCAGTATATTATATTCTATCAAGATGGCGCAGATGTTTCAATATATCCATGACTCTCCATTTGCGCATACAATGAAATTATTTCATTTCTTCCTTTTCTGTTTCAATTGTGTCTCGATTGTTCAATTATTAATTGAAATTAAAAAGGAATGAAATGGTAAAGTATAGGAAGGAATAAATGCAAAGTAAATTGTTAGAGTGAGATTATAAATTAAGGCTAATTTATGGTAATAATTTTTGTTGGTAATATTATTACATTATTTATAAAATCATCTTAAATTCACTTCATCATTTAATTCAAATCTTTTCACAATGATTTTTTAATGACAGTTGCTGTTATCTTACAATGGTAAGAAAAGAAATTACTACACGTCACTGAACTCATCTCATTTTATTCGTTATTGCTAATTATTCACTAATGACTGAATGGTTCGCTAATTATTTTACTGTATAAAAAATTATTGCTTTAAAATATAATGTAATGAAATTTACAGCAAAATTTTAGAGAAAGTATATTAAAATAAAATAGCTATTTATTCCATCAAATGTAAAAGTTGGGAATGCAACAATTTGAAGTGACAGTGATCGAATGATAAAAAAATGATAAACTGATAAAGTTAATAAAAAATCGTATCAGTTTCCAATAATATCAATAATTTCTTTCGCTAAGAATCAATCTATGATATTTTGACTAAAAAAAACTTATGAATTTTCATTGGATATTAGCTATGCAATGACAAATAAAGATAACGAATATAATATTACATGTAATTCAATATATAATAATATTACATGTAACTCAATGAATTTATGAATTGTGAGGAAATAGACTAACAATATGGCAGTGAGGAATTGATTGAGTGACCACCGCTTGACCAATTAAGTCTTATCTAAACAATAAAACAATTGTATTGCTCGAAATAATAAGAAATTGTAACGGCTAAAAATTTGACAACTTTATTTTCGGAAAAACCGAATTATAAAAAGCATTACTCATCCATAAATGAACTTAATTTATTTGAGTAAGAATAAGAATGAGTAAGAATTGCAAGGAGTTTGATATCATCAAAACTATCTTGACATGATATTATTAGATAAGAAAGCTTCTTCAACTGTATTAAGCTGATATGATATAAGCGCTTAAAATTTCTGAGATGGCACCAATTGTGAAAGTTTCTGGTTAATTTCAAGAATACTTCAGAAAATTCCGAATTATTTTCCATTGCATTATTATTTCTCATTCTGTTATTTCATTCTGAATTTACTTTCCAATATTTCAATACTTTTAATCAAAGAGTTAATTAATGTGTGAAAATGCTATGCGTAATTTTCCAAAGAAATTTTTGTCAATTTAAATTAAATTCAATCACTCATCTGTCACATTCATTTGTAAAAAAAACGAAAGAAAGAAAGAAAAAAGCTCAATACATCAATAGAAAATGAAATTTGAACTTTGTATAATTAGCACATAATTCTTCCATTTTTTTGCCATTTCATTTATTGCAAATTATTTTCTTATCGTTACGCTGTCAACAAATAGTTTTAAATAGAACGACAAACTATAAAGAGAATTAATACAAATTTATTTATGATTATATTTAAAATATAAATTGCTGCAGATTGTGATGTTCGAAGTTTGGGAGAGTAATGCTAACTATGAATCTTTCCATTAAATTATGTGGAAATAAATTTGTCAAGTGAAAGAAAGAGCTTGTGAGTAATTGAATAGTAAAAGAATATGATCATTTGATTAATTAATTAGAAGGATAAAAATTGAAATCAAAATGAAAACTAAAAAATTTCGGACAATTGTTTATAACCTTAAGGCCAAATAATCTTAGTGATAACAATAATGATACTAGAGAACTTTATCTATAAAGCTTTCTCTCTCATGGCACGGCGGTGCATTTCTAACTAATTAATTATCATAAATTATACCTGAGACAATTTACGATAATAAATTTGTAATCTGTGACTAAAATACAGCTTAATATCAGGAAATAATTTCAGTTTCTGTAATGCCGACGAAAAGCGTTCAGTGGTTTATAATTAAATAAATGAAATAGACCATTTTTGACATAATTTAAAATGAAATCTAAATTTAATTTACTAAAGAAGCCGAAGGTTAGCTTACTTCTTTCTCTCTTTCTCTCATTTAATATTAGTATGTCTGATAGCTATTTAAGTGACAATGAGAGTTTAAAAATGAGAGTTTAAATTCTTCGTACTTCCAAACTATAAAGATGATGGATAAGAACTTAGGATGCAGTTCTTTTTGTTAATCTGTTTGTTTAGGAAACTCCCTTTTTTCTCTCTCCCTCTCTCTCTCTCTTTGTTTTATTCAATACTTCTGAAATTTCAGAATTCACATAACTTCGATTATACAAAAAATCTGACAAAAATTGCTATATTTGCCAAAATTCTCTCTATAGATTAAGTATTTGGCCCCTCAAAAAAATTAACTTTACAATGTTATCATTTCTAAATTCCATTTTTATGACAATTTCAAAAATATGAAGAATTTAGGATAAGATTAGGTTAGATTATATTTAATGCTTACCTCAACATTTTGTTATCTGTCAAGGAGACAATTTGTGGTAGTGCGTAGAGATAAATGGATAAGGTTTGAATCAAACAAATATGTTTTAGATATTAAATTAATCAATCATTTCTATTTTTGTTTTGAATATATATCGCTGTAAATAACATATAAGAATAGTTTAGAAAATACTTTAATTCTATTTAAGAACAAATTTTTATGCAACAGAGAATATCATATTTTAATTATTTACATTTTAATCAAAATGATTAGTTATTTTGATGGCGCAAAACCAATTCGCTCATTTTTAATGTCATAAATTTGGCAATATTGTCTGATAAAAGGATCACCAAATATCCATGCTGGCCCAAAACCATTACCTTCCGTAGTAAAGAATGAGAAAATGCATGTATTGTTTTCAACCTAAATTGTATATAACTGCAATAATTACGTATAATTTTAACTATAAGAAGGTATTATCACATATTATTGTCAAAGGTTAGCACACATATTTTATTCAATAATTATAACAATTGAATAGTTAATTTTTTTATTTATTAATAAAAATTTGCATAATTATTATTTTTTCCCACTTATTTCTTATTTATATGAAATAAATAATTAATACAATGCTTAAGTTTGAAATAAAAAAATTTAATTAGTTTTTTGAAAATTTAATTATTTTTAGCTTTAACATACCATAACGATATAATTTTCTGGTTGTACGCTATATTCATGTGAACCAATGATTAGTGTCACCGGTGGAGGTTTCGCTTCACAATTTATGAAAAACATTTCTTCGTTCTGATCGTACTAAATTAATTTCTTCATATCAGTATTTTTACAGAAATAAATTATAACCAAGAAAGATTACTTGTAAGCATACAATTCATGTGATTTTGAATAATTTATTCTGAAATGAAAATATTTTTTAAAAGTATACTCGTGCATCGACAGCTTCACTCAAACGATTGACAATAGCAATAGGTCCAGCAATTAATGATGTCCCCGTATCCGATATCGCTTCCCATGTTCCACTTATAGAATAATCATTAGCTTTAACACCACGTAAACGAAATTGCCAAAATGTTGCTGATGATAATGGTTCATAATCAATCACATCACCACAATTGATGTCATCTATATCACCATAAGAAAATATACCACCAAAGACGTTCTCTTGTGCACCCTTAAATACTGATTATGCAACAGACCTAACCAATTTAAAATGTCAACATTTTGAAATATATTTTCTCTATTTCACTCATTAATTATATGACAGGTATTTCAAATTAAATGACTTTAGTCAATCAATACTTCCCAATTAATGCTTCCCAAATTCGCTCGAGGCTTCTACAGATTTATCTTCTGTAGTCTGTGATAACTACTGTCAGACTATTATCGTATTGTGGGCAAAACCAAATTCATTATAACAACTGATGTTAGACAATTACAATGAAACCGAATTTGCGGTAAATTTTAGTGAAAATAAAGCAATCGAATGAAGAATATGAGAGTCTTACTCGACGATGAAGCCAGACAGTAAAAAGAGGTGGATTAAGAATGTTTTGATCAATGGCAGAAATTAGTGGTGGTATAACACCGTCCACAGAAATCGATGTAAAAGCCAAGCCAACAATACCATCAACTGGATCATCCTTGAATCCACTCAGTTTCCGAGCCAAGCCAAATGTTATATTTGGAATTACCAGTGAATCATCCTGACTTGATCCAAACTGAAGCAAAAAAAAATTAGTGAAACATATGCATAAAATGAATTTGCCAGTATTAATTAGATGAAATATCTTAATCCTACCATACTGATACGACCCCCGGAAGTTATGATGATGAAATCAGTATTGTACATATCAATAACTAAATGATAATATAATGATCATTTCATATCATATCCTTTTTCAGACTTCATCAGCATTCTGAATGGTAAGCTTTTGATATCATACATACAACAAAACTTCCGGTACCCTTATGAAATGTACCCTTAATAACCTTTAATAATACCTTAATAATACCTTCCAGTACCCTTAATAAGTTAAATTTTAATAATTTAAAATCGAAGTACTAACGAAGACTAAGTCCAAATAATTCTTGTGATATTATAGTGATTATAACTTATTACTAAGAGGATATAAATTATTTATTTATATTAATTCTAAAATAAAAAGCTAACTAATAAGGGAAATATTAGTGAAAAATGGCTAATAGCACACATTCAGAGCAATTTTTATAAATGAAATGATGTTATAGGAATTCAAAACTTCCGATTAAAATTCGGGGAGAATCGTTATTCAGTTAGCCAGTTACTTTACCCGAATTCATCCTCAAGTCTAGTCAAAAATTTGGCTCATACCTCTTATTCTACCGATTCTACCAATTATTTTCAATGCAGCGATAGGTTCAACAATGAAACAGTCAGTCATATCATACCCAAAATGAACTTCATAAAAACAAAGTAACAAAAGTTTTGACTGGATAACTGTAAAGAAAGTTTTGAAAAAAGAAGCACACTAACAGCAAAATAATCTTGTCCTAATAATCCACGTGCATTTGATCCATCACCATACAGTATCGACCAGATACGACCATCTTCTTGATATGTTTTTGATAATGATGGATTGAAACGGTTTTTTTCTATACAATCAGCTGCAGCACAATTTACTTCTGGAATCCACACATTTGATGATCCTGTATCCAAAACTACCAAAAATGTCTGCCTTCCAATAGGCGAGCCAAGCGATACGTTTGCGACGTATTCCATATCATCGTAATCGTAAACCTAAACAAATGTGAAAAAAACAAAGAAAACTGAATTAGAAATTTAATTTTGTCAACAGTTCTAAATTATTTAAAAGAAACAATAGTTTTGACAATTATAACAGATTTAAGCGTTTCAAAAAAAACTAAAACCAATGTGGTAATTCGATAAATTCTTCCTTGATCGCAAAAACAGCGTTTCTTAATTCACATTGAAAATACTAGACTGATAAGTGTTAACATCGGTTATCAACAAGTTAAGCGTATAATGGAAAGAATCCATAAAAATGAACACACAAATCATTTTGAAATTGAAACAACATAATATCCGCTATCATTTTCAGAAGATCGATTGAAAATTTTCGCATTATTTACTTCTGAGGTTGAGATTGACCGTCTGACTTTTTCTTTTTCTACTTACCATTATGCAATATCATTATGACATTATGCTCATAATGAGAAATGAGCAATCTTTGAAATTGGTAAGATCAGGAAGATCAGAATATGTGATAACTTAAAAAGGATTATCGGAGGAATGTAACAGATAAGAATAACTAGCTTACTCTTTCTCCTACTTTTGTTCGTGATCGAGTGGCTCGAAAATGATTCTTCTTTTTAAGATGTTTGGACCATAAACCTTTTCTGAAAAGTCTTTTTCGTTTGCTTTCAATTTTCGTCAGTTGAGTCTGAAAATAAATACTAGCAAGAAAAAATTGAAGAAAATCAATTAGTTGTGGGTGATAAAAAGTAGATTATTTGATAATAATAATAGAAGACAAATTTCAAAAATATCAAATAGGGTAGAGTTTGAGTTAAATGACAAGAAATTTTTATTACATTAACTTACTTTATGTACAGCAGCTACAATGTAAATCAGTAGAGCTGTTATGATAACCACTTTCATAATAAGGTAACAAGTTTATTGTACTTGTGATTACTTAATAGAAACAGAGATTGAGTTCAAACGCCGCTGCAATATTTATTTTTTTAATCTTTAGACTTGATCTCACTTAATGATATTATTTCTAAAAAGGTAAATGTTAGAAAGAAAAAAAAGCGTTGAAATTCTTGAAATAAAAAAACTACGTGATGTCATTGATGCATATAAAAATGATATTGATTATTTGAAATGATTCTTCTCCCTTATCAATTATCACTTATCTTTCTTATCACTCTTATCACTTTCGAAAGTCGAAAATATTACATGTCAGATGAAATTCTGTAAAAACATGACAATTCTTGCAAACAAATTGCTCATTTCTCTATGTGAATATTGTTTATGTATTATGATACAATAGAATGATGTATCAATATTAATAGGTAGTGATGTAATGGTTTTAAAATTCTTAAGAGAAGCATATTGTAGACTGATGATCAAAGATAAAAAATATATCGTATAAATGTTGTTGAATCGAGTAAGAATACTGTATATTGGGTACAAAAAAGGAAATATAACAATCATTAAAGAATATAATGATAGCAATAATTTAGATAGCAATCTTATGCGCCAATTACACAAACAATTTGGTAATATATTAACAATTACTTTAAGTATAAATATATATTAACAATTAACAATTATTTTATTCTTTGATTCTCTTTAAATATATTAACAATTAAAAATTGCTTTATTCTCTGATAATACCGTTTAATGAATGAGACTATTTGGGAAGCAAAGCAGTCGGTAAATCGAAACGATGAAGGAAAGATTATTTAAATGAAATGGAATATCTATCTTCATTAATTTACAAATATCACTGTTAGCTCCCTAATTATCTCATCTTCATTGTATTCAAATTAATTATAAAATAAATACTGTAAAAGCAGCACTTAATAATTGATGCTCTATAGTATTAATAGTAGCACACAATTTATCAACCAATTTATCATGCATAAAATGATATTATAGGAATTCAAAACTTCCGACTTCGAAGAGAATCGTTTTCAGTTTACCAACCAATTTATCTTTGCCTGGACCCCTTCTTAAGTCTAATCAAAAATTTGGCTTGTACCTCCTTTGACTCTACTAATTATTCCAAATACTAATAATACATGTAAGCATCACTAATTGATATCAACGTGATAGTGATACTGTTAGTATTTTTATACACGTCACATTCACATCAAGTATAAGCTATACGAGCGATAAAATCCATATATTATCAAAGCGGTTAGGACTAGAGCAATGCTCGACTTGCTACTTTCTAATGATCTTTGGCAGATGATACTTTTGTGGGGCTCAGAATTACTCGATGGTCTGGGTGCTTTTAACTTAGGCTTGTCCAATGATGAGAGTATCTTTATCTTACACATTAGTTGCGGTATTTTCGGTTTAATATAACTTTTATGAGACATCTAATACTGCTAATTTTCTCTTTTAATATCATATTGTGTAATTGCCGAGAGGTGTAAGTCCAGAAAAAACTAGGGAGTTATGACTTAGTATGTAATAGTGTACGGTCAGGTTGCTACATTTTAATTTAGTGACATAGCCTCTTATGATAATCGTTTGGTTAGCAGAATTGTTGCGATGTTTCATTGCTAATTATTGCATGCAGTAATAATATCTGTCGATATCATTCGTGAGAACGTATTTTTTTAAATAGATATTTGGAATTATAAAGAAAATGGCCGATGACAGTATAAAAAAGTTGGGAGAGGTAAGATATCTGTTATCCTTCTATGTTTTTCTCATCTTATTATGATGGAATAAGACGGTTGAAAATTCCATGAAAGATTTAAATTTTTGACGAGTATTCTCGCCTCTTATTTCAACATCATCTTAAGTTCAGCAATAGTATTTAATAAATTGCTTTTGTTACTTCACAAACCAAACTATTTGCTCACAATGTTTTCAATATTTACATTTCATTTCAGGCAAAAATGGATGGTGGAATGGGAAACACTCAGGCTGAGAAAGCAAAAGAGGCTGCTGAGCGTGAAGAAAACATGAAAAACGCCATCCTTTCTCAGGTTTGGCAATTTTTCATCTGTTTTATCTCAGATTCAGCCGAAGCAGTCGGTTCTGCATGTTGTTGTTAACATAGCTTGGGAAGTACTCATCGCGGAAACTCGTCCAGTTTTGCTATCGTGCTGTTTGCTCTAAGATACGTATTGGATTTGAAGCATCCAACTTACCATTTTCAGTTCAAGTAAGCAACTTATTACACCGAATATACCTGAAGTTGTAGGTTCTTGATCAAGATGCGATGGCTCGGTTAAGCAATTTATCCGCAGCAAAACCTGAGAAAGCTAGGATGGTGGAAAATATGATCGTACAGATGGCAAGGTAGGGTGTTTTTGATAAGCTTTGTTTTTTACAGGAGACAATACCAAATCAGTCCTTTGCACATCTGTGATGCTGCAGCACAAGCAGGGTCAAGAACCACAATTTTACTTCATCTCACCTTCCAAGTTTGTGAAAAGTTCTGTTGTTTCAAGATTTGCACACTCGTTGATAAACAGAGAAGTTAAATATTCTGACAGATGATAAGATCCCCCTGAACTTATAAAAATGACCTCGTTTGGTATATCCATTCGAGTAAAATATCAGTGCGACTTCTTGGTCTTTCCTGACATTGATAGATTCCTGATTCGTTGATAACCACTGTTTATCAACTGCTAGTTTCACCCTTCCAGTTCTTCAGAAGTTACATTTCTTTTATTTAGAAGAGGACAGATAGCGGGTAAAATGGACGATGAATCATTGAGGCGGTTGCTGACTCGTTTTTCAGAAAATACTCGACAAATAACAACTGTCAAGGTAGGTACCTATTTATGCATTTTCTAAAAGAAGGTTTACTATATTCAGCAGAAAGTTTTAAGGGCTACTGTAAATTCTAAACTCTTATAGTTTGATAGAAGACGAGCAGCGATCGACTCCGACTCCGATTAAGCTAGTTCATGTCATATTTGTTGTTTTATTCACCCGATTTTATTACTATGCTTTTATGGAAATTATCTGGAATATTAGTTGTTCTAAATAGCGATGGAGATGCAATTTTAAGAGCATCGCTTAACAGAAATCGTAATCTATCATCTGGATTTCTCTTCCTAAGGTCGTCTGGTTGCTAAGGATGCTTAGGCGAAATGCACACATGTCGATGTTAGTAAGGTGCAGCTGTGGGCAATTGTATTCATCCTACTTTTTAATCAACAAATCCCACCATCTCGTGTACTCATCTAATAAGTGCGACTATAGAAGTGTTAGATTTCTCGGCCTATTAATAGTTTCAGTGGCTCCGACACGTTTTTTGTTGCCGTTTAGATATGAAATTACTTATTTCCATATTTTATAGATGTGATGCGTTTGAAATGTTGCTTTGATATTTTGCTAAAAAAAGATTATTTTGAGACTTAGTCTTTGCAGTTTTAGAATGATTCTTAGTTCACAAGACAGATAGAGCCATCCTCATTGAATTTTCGAGAATCCTAAGGAAGGTTTTATGGTTCACATGCTTCTAAAGGAATTTTTCTTCCTTTTGTTGAATTTTTTTAAAGAAAGAGTTTCGAGCTTAATGGCTTTATTTAATTACAAACATAATAAAACAAATCAGATATCATTGCAGTCGTCTCCAATATTCCACCTTTTGCATATCGCAAATCCTAGAAAAACCAGCCTTGATTCACTTAATGGGTCTGCTTTTTATTACCTTAGTTAAGACTATATGACGTAATGAAATCCGAGGGAATGCCTCGCATTTCAAATTATTATTCTTCACTAAATAGTACTTGGCAGCGTCATTCATCCTCAGTAAGATGTTAAGTAATAATTATTGTTTACAGAACGCAAACAAAAATATTGTTGAGTTGAAGTAATAAAAACGGTGCTTTAACAGGAATCTTGTTGGATGAGAGTAGTAAAACAGATGCATCTTACGGGTTAAGTTGATCCGCAAATGAGCGAAGTGCTTTGGCTGTTGTCATATACTCCTTAGTATCTGGTAGAGCAACGCTCATTTCAATTAACAAGGAATCAGATAATGGCTTCAGAACATTAGGATCGTAGGTTCCTATTTTCTCCGTTCGTGTAATGTTGTTAATGATAATCTAAAATTTGATCCGAAAAAAAGCTTTTCTATAGTCAACATGACGAAGTCGGTTATTTTTACTGGACAAGATAAACGTTAACTTCCTTCAGTCAGTAACAACAATATTAACCTTTACATGTCCTTTTGTAAATAGATATCCTTTTGTAAGATATTCATAATCCATCCTGAAAATAAATCATAAGAAAAAAACCTTAACATGACTCTTAAGAGTTCAACTTTTCGGTGATGACTCTCCATTGGATACGTTAAAAAACGCAGTATATTACTAAGTAAAATGTTGATTGGCATACAAAATCCTTCATCGGATTTCCGCAGTTTCGAGTAGTACGTTTTCTTATGCATATCCAATATAAAGTACGAATAAAGACAGAAAGATGTTAAATATTTATATGATACAGTTTTTATAGTTTTATATATATGTAAAACTTTACCTTAGTCCTAATGTTTTTACAAATTCCATCATATTGCTGGAATAAATCAATGAATCAACGGATTTCCGTATAATAGTAGGACATTGTACATCTGGTTCCGCCGCCCCCATATATCGAAAATGCCACTGGAAACTGTTTGCATCTGGCCCACCAAATTTTCTCCTTAATCGAACTGTTACATCAGGATCCTGGCCCGTTTCTGGAAAAGATATATGACTGAAGGTGGAGAGGACATAAAGTGAGTAGAAAGAAAGTATATCAAAATGATGTCATGGCAAAAACTTTGCTATACCAAACAGATAAAGATGAATAGATCTTAAAAAGTGCCACTAGAAAAATCCATTAATTCTATCGGGACATTGATTCTGTAGGTATATTCATTAGAAAAAATGCCAGACCAACTCTTCAACTTATATTGTCCAGCTCCCACAAACTACATGTAAAAATGATTTGAATTAACGCACTGAGGCTAAAAACCATTTCATGTTCGTTGAATGAATATTGTCCCGGATCGCAGAGGCCACGTAATCTTTGCAGAAGTTTCTCCTCATGCTCCTTGAGCACACTTCCATATAATATACATTCCTTCAACAAATCATTTTTCACACCTTTCCATTCATCTATCCATAGCAATATTTAATAAATGGGTCAAATCAAGTAAACGTTGGCACTACCTCTAAGAAACCGAACAAAAAACAAAAGAGTCAGCATGAAATATAACCTTGCATTGATAACCTGAATTTGACGGCAATGTGCTAGCGATAATCGGAACACTGGCAATGATCTCACCACTTCGCTCCGGGAACCGTTCCATTTTCCTGATCAATCACGGCGTAATTTACCCACTGAAATAGATTGCATATGGCCATTTAACTATGTCAAAATGCTCGATTCTATTTAAATCTAATTACTCGTACGATTAAGCGACTGATGTTCGTATGAAAGATCGACCCAATTCAGGATAATGATATGAATAGTAGAAGTAGGTAATTGGCAACAATTTTAATTTAAACACACGCAAGCATACTAAGCACCTCCTCTATGACTTCTCTCAGGACGACTGGTAATTCTCGGTCGGCCAGCATTCAACGTATCTTAAAATGCGTGCCGTTTGTTGGATTCAATCCATCGGCTGAAAATTAAAAGGGAGAAGGCTGGCATCAAAATCTCGTAGACTGATTTATGAATTAAATTACGGTACAGTACCATTCAAGCATCCAGATTACATGCAATACGTGAATTACTATTATAATGTAATTCAGAAATGATTTCTCACTCGAATAAGTTACCAATTTCAATAATCGGGAGGGTGAGTGGTAAAAGACAAACAGATTGTCAGCTACAGTATTGATACATTTATATCCGGATATCTGATGTTTAACGTTTATCATAGGAAAATGGCTTACAAAGTGAGATTCTGTATGGAGAAAATGATGCCGCTTTGTCAAATGAATGAATTAATTTGTTATATCAGATAAGAGTGTGTTCCATTTTAATTTCTGAGGAATTTAACAAACTAATCTACTCTGACTTATTTGAAACGGAGTAAGATCGATGGAGATGTTTGTTTTCTTTTGAATCTCTCTAATTTGATTCTAATAACTTCACTCCAACACATCAATTTCTGTCCTTTCCGATAGAAGATAGATAATTGTATTAAAATCATTTGAGTGAAAAGCCTTCTTGTATTCTTTTCGTGCATAAATTATATTAGCGAAATTCATTGATTCATTTATTTTAAATATAACTGCAATAACAAGGAAAACGAGCTACAACAACAAAATGAGCATTTAGATGAAGCGGTTGTCTTTTATCACTTTTTACTGATAACATTTGATTTCATTTCTGGCTTCTGTTTCTCCTGAAAATAAAGTTTTCTGACAATTACTTTTCATTTCAAAATAACATATATAATAGAGATGTTAACTACTTTTTGAAACAATTTGTCATTTAAATGTGCTCGAATATAGCTTCCAAGGTATGAGAAAATTTCTTTTAATATTTAACAAGAAATGTTAGTAAATGAGCTAGGGATTATCTCACTTACTGAGCGACGAGATTCGACAGAAACACCTTCGAGCAATGATTCTGTCATACATTTTAGAGTTTTATCATAGTGAAGACAAGCTGCCATTTGCAAATACTTTCGTGATTCTACCTCCTCTGCATTCTGTAGGTAAGTGTTCCTGATATCTTGATTAATTTGTAGATGCAGATCTAATTTGCACATGAGTTGTGAGCGATAATTGCGGTCCTCTTTTGCTTTGTAATTTTACTTTGAACTACTTGCCACTAGGAGGGGAAAGAGAAAAAGGGAAAACAAACCTTCAGTAATATGATCAAATCAATAGCGAATAGGAAAACGAGGAACAAAAATATACAACCGGATGAAAGGAAACCGTATGCTTCGATCTTCACATCAGTGCATATATTGTACACTTTCTCTTTCTAAAATTTCCCTTCCTAGACATACTACATCACATGTGCCAAGTATGGGAAGAAGAACGAGTAATAAACTGAAAGAAAAAATAAACTATAGATCACAAAACATGATTTTAGAAAAAGTTCATGATTCAATTAATGCAAGAAATTCAAATCCAGAATTATGAAGAAATATTCCATCTAGTGATTCATAAATTACAGTGGTACCAAATATCCGTTGATTCCAATACTGCGTTCTAAATATCTAGCACACATCGAATCCATGATAGCTCTAATTTCTGCTCCTGACGACATATAAAACTGCAAATTTCATTTAAAGTAAAGTTATAACAGTACGACTTACCATCTGCAATCAAGATTTCTTTATAAACGAGGGAACCATATTTAATCAGTTATTTCATAGGAGATAAGATACCCTGTATGGGTTACAAATATCTTAATATTAAATCATATAAAACATTTGGAAAGATTTACCTCAATGACCGAAAACACACAAAAAATGGAAATTTCAGCTAGATCAAACATCGCTTCCTCCATCAGATCTTCTTCTTCAGACATACAACGCAAGAACATCAGCAATAATAAGATGGGAAAAGCCAAAACAACACAACCGAATATGACAAATCTAAAATTATTCAACACAGATGATAGGTAAAGTGACGTTTTGATTCATAAGACGTAACAAAGTTGCTTTCTCCTGTCAGATGGATAAAATGTACTTTTCAGTAATACTATAACCGTTCCAAAAGAACTAGTCAACGTCAGTAATAACTGTTCCAGAAGAACTAGTCAACTTCAATACAACGCTCTAAGCTGGCATTCTTTTTGCTACATCATCTCCATCTATTTGATTTTCGTAAAATTATTAAAAATATTCGTTACGAGTCTTACGTCATGATGAGGTTGAAATTTTATATCAGAAATTTCAACGCTGGCTGAAACAACGAATCCATCTTAAAAAGAACTAGAAGCAGAAAAATACTAACATTTGTCCATTAAATGGCTTCAATATTTCAATAATATTTTTATCCTTGAAAATTTCAAAACGTCCTTCAGTTTGATTCACTGATAAATTTAATGCACGGAAATAACGAGTGGTTTTTATAATGTTTCCAACGAATGTCTTCTGATCACTCCACCAATGTGGCATTAATTGGCAAGTTTTCTTCAATGGAATCTTTTCTGCGACTGATTCAATCATATCTGCAAGATAATTTTAGACGATATTGATGTGAAGATAGAAATGAATGTGTGTACACACTACGGCATGGAAAAAGGCAAACAAATAAAGTAAAAAAAAATGCATTTACAGGAAGAACGAATGTGGAAAGTACCTCCTCTAATTAAAAAAAGTACCTCCTCTAATTACGGGTATATGATAAGTAAATCGTAAACAAGGAAATGCGTATACAATAATCCAAGCGCAAAATAGTAAGATAAAAGCAATCAGACGCAGGAACGTGTATTCCATACAACTTGGTAAGAAATATTTCTGTATAGAATATTTCTGTTTTTCTGCAGTGCTATTTGTTTAATGATATTAAATATATGCAAATTTCATTATCTTAAAAATACTGATATTTTTTTAAACACGTGTGTAATAGATATTACAAATCGGATAATAAAGCAAGATAAAAATATCATTACTGCAATAAATTTCAATGTCTGATTTCAGCGGATATTAACTAAAAATTTTATTTGAAGATTTTTTTAATAGCCTCATACTTTTAGCATAATAGTAACAGCTTATAAAAAAACTGCTTACCAGAATCCTTATGCTGCGATAATTGATCAGCTTTTCCATAATTAATTTTTTCCGTTGACCGCACTTTCCGTTTTGAAAGATTTTGTGCATCTGGCTTCAGGTCACTGTGTTTTGTAAGTAGTGGCGCCGTTCCTCCATGCACAAAATCGGGAAGATCTTCAAATGAATTTGTTATGTCTGTTAATGAATTACAGGTAAGTTCTATTATTATGCCTGAAGTCATCTTAATCATCATTAGTCCCTTTGTCCTCTTTAAAAAGATAATTTTACATGACATATTCTAGCACTATAATGATAAGCAAATAGATATTGTTGAGCAAATATTAGAATAAACAAAATTAAATTTTTACTAAATCTTAAATAAATACTGAATGTCTATTACCTTGACTGCTAGCAATTGAAAAACTGGTTGGAATTTGATGTTTTATTAAATTTAATTTATCATTTCTAAGTTTATCGCTAGCGATTTGCTTCCCGAGAGTTTCCGAAATATTTTCGTCGGGTTTTTTTGGAAGTGAATCGATAACTTTAGAAGATGATTCTAGTAAGTTCATCATCTTCGATTCCACTTCTTCCATTGATTGTGTTTCAGAGTCCGATTTTTGTGTCGATGAAGGGTTTTGTCGATTTGTATCGGATATAATTGTAGTTTGCGTATTTGCAAATAATGTAGGCATGCCAGGTGGGATGTTATTGTTACCATTCCTGCAAATATCAAAATATGAAGTTGAAAATTGAACTTTGATAAAGCAAACACTTCAAAACCTTTTTTTAGCCGTTTTTCGGTTGCTTCTCATACTGCTGGTGCGGCACCGACACGCGCAAACAACCAATATCGTACAATAAATCTGTCGAATATACTTATAACTTTTACATAATATAATTCCATCAATTTACATAACTCTATAATTGGTACATACTGGCGGGTTGCAAATCATCTTTCGACAGGTTCTTCTTTCTTTCCTTGCATTCTGCATATTGTCATAATATCTGATCGGACAGTTCGAATTCATAATCTGCAAAGAAATGTTTCGTTGGAAATCTAATCCTGGATTGGAAACAGAAATTATGTAGTATCTAAATAAATAACAACCACAAAACACCATTTATATACCTTTAATCAAAAAATAATTTTAAAATTTGAATTAAAGTTGTAAAGCTTTCGTCTTTTACCTTAATTACATCAAATGAAAGTAATACTATAGCTTCTAAAGCATTAAATTCTTGAAAGAATATTTGAAAATGCATTTTCAAAATAATCGCTTCTTACTATGCTAACAATTTAAACGATTAACAGAAGAGGTTTGCAAAAAAAATGTTTCAATGTTAGTATTTGAAAAGAATAAGTTGATGTAATCTTGGGAAATAGTTGGTGATATGACACCTTCATGATCAAAAAGTGCAAATTATACAGAGGATGATATCATGAAATCTAACCAGTAGTTTGCTTACTTCTCATATTTTGAAACGGCACATTAATTTCTTGTCATGTACATATGTCAGTCCTATGAACTTAAGCTGTTTTACACATAAGCTTAAGCTCTAAGTTATATTCTCTAAATTTGAGAGTAATATTGAGGCTACTTTCTACAATTTAAAGAATGATAACATACATCTTGAATAAATTTTATATCCAATGTTCTTTCGGCATCGGAATGTAAGGAAAAAATGAAATCGTTGTCAGTAATTGCTAATCGGACTGAAATTTTAGAATTTGTCCTTTCGAAATACCGAATAATTATTACTAATAAAATAAAGTGAAGACTTTCAGGTTAATTTTAAATAATTGAATTCAGTAATGTCACATTAATTCATTTCTTTTCAGTCACATTTTAAAACTAAAATAATTAAACGTTTATTTGACACATATTAACATGACATTCATATGATAAATCCATTATATAACGGGGAAAAATGGAAGGAGAAAGTTGATGATATACTAAAAATACAACAAACCATTTCAGTTTTCCCCTGTTTTGCTGAAATAAATGAACCGATTTTATGCAAAATCCTTTATGTATACTTTTTCTTATTTTATTTTTTGCTGCAAATCTTTTAAAAGATACCATTACGATGCATCTTTACCAAAATGAAATCTTTGCAATATTTTTTACAAGATTTTTACCTCACACCTTGACTATATTTTGTCTAATTGTTGCAAAATACGAATAATAACATTCAAATTAATTAGACAGGTAAATGAAAGCATGTGATTGCAGATAGAGATTAAAATATCACCGATTCGTTAACAAATCATTCTTTGCATCTTTTTCTTTGTAGTGGGAATTTTAATATAAGAATGATCACAACTCACTGACCCAAAATAGGATACAATATAAATCGCTTTTTTCGACTCTTTTCTGCTTCTTATCTCATTTTCCTCAATTAATACCATTTTTTTTCTCCAGCATTTAATTACTTTCCAATTTAACCAAAAACAAAAGCTTTGATTAATTTGCAGTAATTTGACCAAGAGGATACGGTAGAGCATCAAAAAAGATTGATATGAACAGAACTCAAGCAGGTCGAGATAATTTACTGTTTAAATCTGATCAAATGACAGCATTCAAGTTATGAGATATTGAATGATTGGAAGTGAGATAGAGAAGAGAATTCCGATGAATTAGAGATTGAATATTTCTATTCAATCCATTATTTAGCTTGATGCTTTTTGGCGTCTACCTTACATACCAAATGTAGTGACGATAATCCCATGTGATACTTCACTTTTCGGAAAACGCAGACCCCAAGCATTCCACTCAATAACTGAACAGAACAACAAACAGTGCAGGGAAACACGGCCCCTGTTTAATGGTTGCCGGCCACCCTTTGTCACACATTCATTGCTTGGTGACAAATATACGAAATTGTTGAAGGACTACGGCAGACTGAATCACTGACGCGAAGCAGAATAGTCTTGTTCGGTTTTCAGGTAAGCGCTATTTCATTTTTATACGTGCGTTGGAGAATGTTTGACAAAAAAACTTTTGCCATCATTAAGTGTTTTGATTGAGCCATTACCTTACATTAAATAACTTGCAGATAGATTGAGTGAAATATCAGAGGAATGGCTAACATAAAAATTGGGAGATTTGTATTGATGGTTTTCCTATTTCTCCTGACCTTAAAGCACTTTGAATTTCATGAGAAAAAACTTACTTTAGTTGAAATTCCAACTAATTGCATTTTGTAAGGCTTATTAGTATGCTTGATTTGATTTTCTAGAAAAGGTCTGATTATTTACTTATTGATTGTCTTTTTGGTCTTGATTGGTCTTACAACGTTTCAGATAAATACGGGAAATCAGAGGGTAAGAGAAGTACCACGTAAAGATTATTATTATATAAGAATATCACTTTACGTTTGGAAAGTATGGAGGAAAGAAATTCGACAATCCCAGAATTACCAGCAGAACAACAGTTGCCTGTAGAGGTAGTAGTCGAAGACAATCCATCACAACCGCTATCCACGTCACTTTTATCCAATTCATCAGCTAATGTGAAATACGATGAAGTGGAATTAAACATGTCGGATAACTTAGTAAGATTTACTTCCATTTGTGGAATTTACCTGAATGCTAAGTTTAAGGGGATACCGAAACTAAAATTAGCAGGCGCAAACTAGGTAATCTATATAGACTAATCATCATATATTTTTCCTTGTAAAATTTATACTGTTGATTCCTTTACAATTTCTCGTAGATCTCATCTAAGATCGAGCTTAAGCTAAATCATTTTGTTTAATGTCTGCTTCATGTAACATTTTTACGTCATATAAATATCTGGCTGTCGATATTTGACATTGTTTTAAATCCCTCTCATGGAATAATGAAATAAGAAGTGAAAAACTATAAGAATAAAAATTTGCAGGCATCAAATCAGAAGCATATAATGAATAGATTGGAAAGCATTCGTGGGAACAAGCAACGTATTCTATCTACGTTACGTGAACTCAAAGAAAATGCGAAAGAAGGAGAGGTAAATTTGAAGTGATCTTTAAAAATTTATATGTGTCATCGGTTGGTAGGAAATGGTAATGAATTTAGGGCACTAGAATGCTTTCTTTTGAAACCATAGATAGGAAACCCTAAAACGAACAAAAAATCTTATAAATAAATAGGTAGGATAATGCAACAATCTTGTTCATCTCATCGCTAATGTTATAGTTTCCAAACAAAGAGCTGATGGGTAAAATGATTGCAAGCTATGATGCACTAACTGCACAGGAAGAACAGTACGTACAATTAATTCAGAAAATTGTTGTAAGTTTAATTCTGATTATATTTATGCTGTAAAGATTTGCTTTTGTTGATGCCAGGATAAATTCTGACAAAATTCTAACAAAATATGTTAACTAGCGGAATATATATGGTAATTATTTTTTCCTTTCTTTTCTTGAATAGGTTGAGTTAAAAAATAATGTTGATTAAGAATTTTTAAGATCAGATATCAAAATAAAAGAAGGAACTTTGAAGCTTTATTTAGTTTACAATAAAGATAGTAATATACTTAGTGGCCTTAATGATTTTTATTACGGTATTTCTTGCACGTGAAATTTTTTTAGTGCTTACGTGAAAATGCGGCAGAGGATGTGCAGCACGAAAATGAAAGAAACGGCAAAACATTGATGCCAGGCAGCGACAGTAACACTCACGAACCTGAGAATGTTGTGAAAGAAAGTATTGACGAATCAAATAATAACTTATCCGATGAAGCAATCAATAATGATGTAGAAGAAGTTAGTTACTTTCATATAAATGATGGAAATAGTTTCTAAGAATGAATTACTCGAAGATGAATTTGTATATGGAACAGTCAAACTGAGGCTTTTTTAGATGAACAATGAATTATCAAAACTAGGAGTTGTAACAGGAAAGGCAGTGGCCGTTTCGATCATGAATGATAAACTATTAGAAACATTACAATTACATCGTGAGAAGGTGCTCTTTTGTTCACGTTTTCTTTAGAACTTTTTTGTAAGGTCAGATTTTTATGAATATTAAAACAAATCCACGCGTCGCAAAATGGCTTTCATCAATATGTTTAGGAAGTAATTTTGTTTTTTGAGAACAAATTTAAATAGCACACTGTTCTCTTTTAAATTCCATTTTCAGAAGTTATTTAGAGCAGTTTGAAAATATGTTGGGCAATTAATTTAGAGAAATGAACACTAAGTAGCAAATTTGATATGTTGCAGAAGGCTGCGCTTGAAGAGTTACATCGTAGAAAACGGGAAACTCAGAAAGATATAGCAGACGAGGCATTGCAACAGGTTGAAATGGCTCGCTTGAAAGGTAAAGGTTCAGTTTCATTTTTAATTTATATTCTAGAAATCATCAGGAGATCTTGAAAATTTAATTTCTCCTCTTCCATGAGAAGTCGTAGCGCTTTCTGGAATACTACGAGAGCAGAGTTATGGAGAAATATAAGTAACTGCTCCACTCAATGTTTTAAATTACTAATTCTGTCGAATATATTCTTCTTTAAGTTGATTTGTTGTTTTATAACTATCACTTAGGAGTTGGGATGAAAATGAGTTTCTTTATTGAAGTTATTTAACAACTTATAATTATTTCTTTTCGTTTGACGCTTTTTTGATTTTACTTCGGCACTGTTCAACCGCTGCCATTTTTCATATGAGCTATCGAAATCAGATCCTTTGAATTGCTGAGTATTGGGCATTCCACCTCTTCATGTTCTCTAAAAGTTCTCAAACATTTTCTATTCTTGCTGAAAATTTGTCGGAAACTATTTTTATCAAGGTTTTGAAGTTGCGACATGAAAAGAAATGCAGATAAGGGAGTGAAATTTTTGTTTATTTTTTCATCTGTATTAGTTTTTTTCACGTTTCCTTCATTTATTTTCTACTACACTTTATCTGGGGTAGAAATGCCAGGAAAGCAAAAATATAAAAAGTAATGAAATACAGTTTGTTGCTGTAAAAATTGTTCAGTTACCGTCAAGTAATGTCTATATATCAACATATAGGAATGTCTACGTATAAATGTAAATGTACACATATGTGTGTATGTTTATATGTCTGTAGTCAAGTATATTATATGTTTAATTTGTTTTGTTTTCTTATCTCTAACACTTGAATTAGCTTTTATTTGTGACATACGTTTGGCTGGCATCATTTCCGTCGTTTTCTGCTTGTAACATCTGCCAACAAATTTTTTTGAAATGTCGCAGAAATGCTGAATTTGAAGATAAGCTCTATAGATAAGTGGATCTATCATTTGTGGGGGCTTTTAAATTAGCTTTACATCTACAATGGCAAATTTTTTGAGAATGATTGCTAATTTCAATGAAAATGTTTATGTGGTAGTTGTGCATGCATTCATTTACAACGCTTTTCGGAATGCTGCAGAGATGCTGAATTTGAAGATAATTGGTGATGAGAGGAAGGCACGATATAAGATATCTTCACAGTCTTCTGAAGTATGAACTACCCTGGACTGCGTTCTCTTCCATCTATTTATTATCTGCCTACAAATCGACTCATTTATGAGGCTCTATAGGCTTATACTGCTCTCCTTTTATCGTTTTCATTTGGCAAATCCCTTCTGTATCCATGTTCTCTCCTCGGAAACACTAATTGAATATTTTTATTAGCTAGCTCGAGCGTATCGATTTTGTCAACTGTAAGATATACATTTACTTACCATGTATTCCTATCTGCAAGGAATCGAAGTAATGTTTTTGATAAACACATAGTATCTCTTACTAATTAACGAGTTTTCTTTCTATCCAATTTTTAACGTTTTTTTCATAGAGTTGTGTACAGCATGTTGGAATAATCTTAGTAACACTGATGATTTTAATTTTTGAACTTAATCGGAGTTGATTTTTCGATATCTTTCTCAACAATATGAGTTTCGAAATCAATATCGTAAAGTTTTAATTTTCTTTCAATTGCTGAGGAATTGAGCAGATGTTATAATTGAGGAATTCCATGAAAATGAGAAAGCGATGACACTTGGTCGAGATTTGAATTAAATTTTTTACAATTGTTAACTTTTTTACCAGTATGTGTGTGGTATTTCTCTCACGATCCCTGAAGTTATTTAGTTATTCTTTGTAGTAGTTTACGATTGTTAAAATTTGATGACTTGAATTTTTAAGAGATACTTAGCTGCTTATTTTGCAAAGCAGTTTTCTGGAATGAACTTGCAGCGTAATACATTTATTGTAGCTCTCCCTTGTAACTAAAAGTTTTTGCAGAAGTTTTGATAATTGTTCTTCTGTGACACCTAGAGTATTTTCTTCTCCGAGCTTATTACAATGACATAAAAAGGAAAAGATATGGAGACTAAAATATTTCAGCTAAAAATATCCAATATTTAAAGCTGGATTATGAGAAATTAATTAACTGAATAATTATAATTGACTGGATCATGAACCAAATAATGAGCCATCAACTGAAAATGCCATTTGTCGAAACTCGTTGCAATATTACAGTTAATGAAAGTTAGCTTAGCAGCTGATATCAATTTGAGTCTTTATACTTGTAAGTTTCAATCAGATCAGCTACATATATAATAAGCCGATTATGTTGAGTGTCTCAAACCTTAGAAAAAATATTGCTTGAAAGTTTAAAGTGGTTTTGGTTTATTTAGTCGAACAGTTGATCTTATTTCCCAGAAATGTAGTTCACTTTTCCACCGGAAACATCTGCCATTCGCTTTTTTCTATCTACTCCACTGACGTTCTGACACACAACAACGACTTGTCTATTCTACTTCGTTTAATATTACGCTTTTTTAAAAAAAATTCAGTTTTGCGTACAACGTATTATGCCAGTTGTCATTTAGATGCATATATCGTAAATCTTGGCATTTGCTGGGATAATTACTTTTTAAGTTGCATCAGAGCAAGAACAAGTGGAAAGGAAACGTAAAACGTTAGAGCGATTGCGACTTAAAGCTCAACGTCGTGGCATCAAATTGGGACCTGGATCAGCATCAGAGCCGGATATTGTTGTTGAACCGCAACCGGAACCCAAATCAATCACTGAGGCAAAGTTAAGAGCTAAATTAAAAGCGAAGAAAAAGGTGATTAGTTCAAGATCACTCTTATTACCGTAAATTACACTTTTGGATTTTTAAAACTTCGAATAATGATGTAATTTTGTAAGTCAAAAGTCTTAAATGTTGCTTTCGGAATTAGATTAATGGACACGTATATCAAATCACGATCAAACCACTTCATCACTTTCAAAGTTATAAGTCTGACAGAGTGATTCGAGAACTTTTAAGATTGGATTGGGAACTCTGAATACTATGATTTATGTAGCTATGAACAAATTAGAGAAAAATGTGCAGTTTTTATAATTTCAGGAAAACTTAAATTTAATCTCAGTTGATTTGTTTTGCCTGCAGCAAAATTCCGAATTGGAGAATGATAATGGACCACCAGTACCGGATGATTTGGCACCGGCTGAGCGAATTCCACCAGTCTTGGAGAACGAACAAGCTGAAGTTGAACAGCAGCAACAGGTGGAAAAAAAAACCTGTGAAATAACTGGTAGTGGTGTTGTGGGAAAAAAAAAGAGAAAAAGCAAGAAAGGATATGAGCAACAGCAGCAGCAACTGCCGAAGAAGCAGTCTGATACAATCAACTCATCCATACGGTTTGCTTCATTCATCCTTAGTCCGGTATGAATTTTTATGAGATTAACACTAGCAATCCTTTATTGTTTAATCACAAGAATAAGCAATAAAGGGTTGTGGTGTTATTCTCATACGTTTAAAAAAGAGTGGATATAGAAAAGCAAAGAAATTATCTGAAAAAATGTAAAAATCTGTGTTCTTAAATACTTTGGAATATAGTACTGCTATATTGCTTGATATCGAACATTAGATTCAGTACGGGTTTTATCGTTTAATATTATTTGTAATTATAATTTACTTTACATTGCTATTTTTTGACACTTTTTTCTTCTATACGCGCATGTTGATTTTAGGTATCACTTTTAATAGGATTTACGTAAATAAAAATTTCTTCAATGTTTGATTTGATGGTGCTATCATCTGTATTTCAGGAAAATCGCTAGACTAAAATTTTAAATCGAAGGCATCAGTGCTCTTATTTCATTATTCTTTTTGAAAATGCAATAAAGCTTACAATTCCTATTTTTTACAGTGAAAAACTAGCTGCAATTGCAGCGCGTAAAGAACGTATGCGAGAAATACGGGCAAAATTAGTTCAACCTGTTGTAGGCTCTTCTCCTGATATGGATGAAACGTTTCGTAATGCTTTGCAGCAACTGAAGTTTGGCTTTTTTTCATGTTATGTCTATAGATTCGGATTTCAGCATGTTGAATTTTTGGATAAAAATTATCTCAAAAAATAGATCTGTGGAAATTTTCAAATTTTCAGGGATGAAATTTCTAAAAGATTGATTGTAAATAGATTTGCATTCATTGCGGTTAATAATGATGATTATATTAAATTAATAATAGCATGGAGATACTAAATTTCCTATCAGTCCATTGTAACATAACATTACAAAACAATGGAAAATTTTGTACTGATGGTGATATGAAGGCATATAGCACATCTTTAAAAATAATGGGATCATTTATGGCAAGCAATTGTTTCTGAAAAATATTCTTCAACATTTAAAATATACGTATTGTTTTGTATAATTTCAATGTTTGTATTTTTTAGAAGCATAACTGAAATGCGGAAACAGTTAGAGTTATTGCGTGAAAAAGGTCCTAAATTGCCGGAAGAAACGGCGGAAATACTCGAACGTCAACTCGAAGCTGAAGAAAATAAGCAAAATGAAACAAAAACGCTTAATACAATAAGCATGAGCCAGGGTTCTGAAACGCCAATCGAGGAAAGTTTTGAGGTATTTTTTGACGATAATTTCAAGCTTTCCAACTGATTTAATGTGTACCGTTATTTAATATCTCACACGTATATGACTTTTCAGCAATATCTTAAGGGTCGTTTGCGGTATATGGTCCTTGGGCAGTGAATTAATGGTCTTTTACTCTTATATGATCTTTAAACAGTGCCCTCCTATTGCTATTTTGTTTTCAAATCTACGAAGAATCCGTGCTTTAAATGAGCAAACATTGTCTTTTAGGACTTCCACTTGATGTTTTCGAAGATATAATACAGAGACTTAACTAAATAATGAGAGTCTCATGAGAAGTAGTAAAATAAAGAAGAGAAAGTTCGTTTTAGAGACTTGTTGTAATAGTATTTGAAGTAAGGTTTGACAAAAAATTATATGTAAGTAGTTAAAATAACAGTTAGATTAAGCTTTATCCTTCTCTCCTTTGGAATCATCTTCATCTTTTGGTTAGAATAATTTAAGATTACGCAAAATCTAGAGATTATGCTTGGTTCTTGAGCCAATTATTTGAAGAACATTGCCACAGGTTAAAGTTTGGACTTGGAGAAATTTAAGTTCAAATTAAGTTCTTTTCAATCTTTGATAGACTCTGCTTTCCTTTGGCCCAGTGCGCATTTTTATATCGCGGATTCGTGCATACCGAATGTCTTTCTGGAAAAAATGTCTTTTTGACTTTTTGACTTTCTGGAAGTAGATAAAAATGCAAGGCATAAGACTATTCTGTTTGCTCCATCGGCTAGCTTCCTTATTTTTGATTGCATGATATTACATATATATGTTTAATATACAATCGTTTTGAAATTCAAAAACAAATGACACAAATACACCGTGGAATGGCTATTTATCATCCAAACAAAAAATTTTCCCTTTTTCTGTGATTTTCGTTACATTTTTGTTACGAGCTGAACAGCTGTTGTTGCTTTATGATTGATCGTTTCAAGCCGATTTAAGGAGGAAGCAGTGGTCGTATAGCCGCAACTGTTCCTTTCCCAAACAACAAATTTTCAATAGTGCCTCCTAAACACTTTTATTCTTGAATCTTTACCATCTAATATAATGTCTTTCTGAATGACAATCCATATTTCTCTCGTTGAAAGAAATTGTTACAATCTGTAGTTTGAAAGAATTTCTGTTTATCTTTTAGTCGTAAAGTCATAAGGTTTTATTGCTGATCTACAAGCCGTTTTGGTACTTTTATAAAATAAACTTGGAAGATGGAAAATCAGTCATCTTTGATTTTTCAGATTCCTGCACAGTGTCCATGTTGATTTGCATCATGCTGACGCGAAGCATAATTTCTTGAGGCTTATGACGGTTTCTTTGTATTTAAGTCTATCATAAAATGTTAGTGTATTCTTATTTGCAGGCCATGGAGGTAGTTCGTAATAGTTTTTTGAAAGTGATCACACAAAAGTCAGCACCGGATACCGTGCTCGATGACCTTTCGGTTGGTTATCATCTTACAACGGGAGATAGCCAGCGATTGAAAAGTATTGAACAGGCGCTCCAAGAACAACGCCAGTTGCTCGAAACAATTGCTTCGCGAAGTCATCAGGTACTTTGATTAGTTTTCCTCATTCTCCCTTTCTCTTCTTACATCCTCATCTAAGCAGTTTAGAAAATCAGAGACATGTCTAGTAGATATCGAACTTTACCCGTAAACAACTACAAATTCCCTGAGTTTTATTCAGTTTGCCGATTGCCTGATTTGAACAAAGTATGTACACAGTGGTTGTATATAAATTCAGAAATGTAAGGGTATGAATATAATGCTGCACAAATGTAAGGGTAAGAAATTTTAGTGATCGTTTCCAGGTTAGAATATTAAAATTTCGTAGACATGTGTATGATCTGATTGTAAATGTGATTAAGAAATCAAGATAATATAGTTTTTCTAGTAAATTTATGGATTTTTTAATTGGGGATTGGTGAACACTCTATCTTTTAGCAACTTGAGGTAGATATGTTGTTTAAGTGACTGTTTGATTGCATTAAACTAGATAACTGAATTCTCGTTCACTTCAAAAACTCCATCTAATATTTCACAGGTCATGTGGAAATACTACTTAGTGTTTCTCTTTTTTTCTTGCGCAGTTATTTTCTCCAAATTTAGCTTATTTTTTTGATTCATGTTTAGTTTAAGCTAAAAAAATTTTCATCCGTTTTTTCTAATATAAAATACTGTTTGCAACTGTTTTCATCTTTTAACACCTGATTTTCAGTGATATCTATCTTGGAAAGTGTATTGATCTTTCAGCTTATCTTATTCAATGATTTCTTGATTTTCTAAAATTAGAAATTGAAAATTATGCATTTCGTACTTCACTTTAACTGATTTGCCAATTTAACATTTTCAAAATTGAAGTATTGCACCTTTACATTTAGTGAACAGATAGTGAAGAAATGGCTTATGAAGTGGGAGGTTTTATAACATATTCAATGTGTTTGTAAAATTTGTGATGGGAAACCTTAGTTATACCTCTTTTTTTTTTTGGAGAATTCTGATTCATTTAGAAACTTCTTTATATCAGTGAAGAACACAGAAGAATAAATTTCTATAAGAGCGGATAAGCGAAATACTTGATCTTCTTGCAAAAGCATAACAAATTCTGTGGGTTTTCTCAGAACCAGTAATGGAGATGTTAGTTTTCCCAAAGTATGCGATATTTGGTTTATCATTGGTATATTTTTTATTTCACTTCAAATATCGTTAACCCACTGTGCTCCGGATACGCCAAAAATAAAAGAAGGGAGGATGCTATAGAGAGTATGTTTAAAATGAACGCTATCTTTTTGTATTTGTCGAGAAATTTTACTTCGGCGGCGCAATTGATGTCTTTCATTTGGCGACTCCCTCTCTTTGTCTCTCTTTCTCAGTATGAATTTTAGAATTTTTTTTATCTCCTCATTATTGATTGCTTGCTGGCCTGAGCCTGAGTTGGTTGTTTATAATATCTCAGGAGAGTATAAGAGAGGAAGGGTAGATCAGCAGCTCGCATGCATTTGTAAAGCACGAATGGCAAATATATATTGTGATATTTAAAAATCTCTCTTTTTTCTTGAATTCGATGAAGCCATGCCTAAAGTTTTCTTCAGCTTTCGATTTTTTCTGCTTGCTTTTCTTTCAGTTGCGAAAATCAGAAAATGAAAAGACGGGGAATAAGCAGAAGAAGTAAAAGAGTGACTGGTAAAAAAGGTTGATGTAGGGAGAAGCTACTTAATAATTACTTAACAATTTCATTCCAATAATCTTCCTTGCAATAATTTGCAATGTCCTATTTACCAGACATCTTGCAGACATTCAAAATAGATCTCACTTTAGAAATCTTGGTATAAGTTTCTGTCTGTCCTATCAATATCTGGATTGTATACAATGAAACTGCGCAACAAACTGAGTATGATTTGAAGATCTTCTGTATTATGTAAATTATTTTAGTTGTTTAGTTTAACATCAATTTATGTTGCAATTTCAATCAATCGTAGAGAGTTATACTTGTTGATTGCGAATAATGAGAAATACCATTACATGTCGGCAGGCATGGCATGATCGTTATAATGAATATGATGGAATAACTATTGATAATAGTTGTTATGAAATTATCAGTTGCATTAATGGTAATGAGAATAATATTGTTACTCTAAAGCAATAAATTATTGGTTTCAATATAAAAGTATTCGTGAAGGTTTATTATCCTTTTATTATTTTCATTCGCATTAACCTTGGAATTTTCTTCCTTATTCACTCTTGGTCACGTCGTATATCGGGAACAATGATCACTGTGCATCTCAAGTATTCTTAGATCACATCTATTCAAATTCATCGTTCTTTAGCTATGTCGAACATCTATTTTAGGATTAAGAGGAGGACTATTCCTTTCTCATGGAATCTAACAAAATAAAAACTATACTGCTCTCCTATTGTATTGTTTGCTTCGTTTTGATTTTTTAGTATTGACGAACTTTCTCTCCAAGAAAAGTGTTAGTTTTACGTGCCGTTACACTGAAAAAGGAAGGATTCATTATTGTTATTTGAGAAAGTGTATTAGCATACTCTTGTTTCCATCCCTTAGAATCAACTGAAAATGTTAAATATTAGTTTAGGATTAAGTTGCTGTCATTTAGATAGAGTGCGTGGACGTTAATTTAAAGAATGATGTGAAAGTGTGAATAATTCGTAACTATATTACTTTGATTTTAATTTGTAAAAGTATTGGATAAATAATGGTTTGGTAAAGATGAAAAGAGTAACAATTTAACAAATCTAAGTAGCTAGACGAATATGTTGAAAGAAAATCAAGTTATAAAATGATATTTGTGATTGATACTGATGTCTTAAACTCATCAAAAAAGTTCAAATGGGAGAAATGTGAAATTTATTGATTCCGTTCATTTGTTAGATTACTCTTATTATTTCATTATACTCAAAAAAACCATTTCTTGGGACTGTATTGTCGTCACATTGTATTAAAATATGGTCTAGGGGCTGCTTAAATCATCTCTCTCATCAACTAGTAGCCGTCAGCATTGATGTCTTCAGTATTTTACGCGGCTGTTCATTTGTTTGTTAATTTCAACTTTTGTTCATCTTTTTAGTTTTAACGAATAATGAATAGGATGGCACCCACTGCTGCTGCGCAACTGTATCTCACAGACAACTGTATACATCTCTCTTTTGACGATGCATCTCTTGAGGGATGTCAAGTCTGACTTTAAATATCATAGCTCTCGAATCTGCAGTCCTTCTAATTCAGTCTTTAGTTAGGCAACTGTCGATCATTGTAACCACCCATAGTGATGGTATTAATTGATAATTGTGATGGATGGGGACTAATGATAACATGATTTTCTATTCATCACCATCATTTTGCTTAAATTTTAGTTGCCGAAACTGAATTTGGCTTCACGTATTAATCATTGTGAACTTATATTCTATGTATAAAGAAAATAAATTGATGGATAGCAGGAGGAACTTAAAAGATTTCTTTCAGTCATTAAGTAGGAGCTACTGCTCCTACTTATGTTGAAGCTACTAAAAACCTCAGTCTTTTCTCCTTTTTTTCATAGTTTTCAATAAAAGTTTGTTTCACATTTATTGTTTCTTTCAGTTATTGCTACTTCTGCTGTCTATATAGCTTCTTAAATTTTAAAGACTCATTCACGAGAAAAAAAAACTTATTCACCATGACCACTAGCTTTGTAGTAATTATTATTAAGTTGGGATGTGTAGATTTTTTTAGAGGTAGGAATGTGTAGATTTTTTATAGGTATTTTCTTTATACATAGAACCTATTTTTTTATAGGTTTTATAGTTTTTATAGGTTTATTTTGGCCTTAAGTTTACCTTATCTTTGTAATCCCTAGATGTAAAAGTATATTGCATTTTCTTGGTTTACCTCTTCATTCGCGTGTTTGTCCATGTTTTTGAGCACTATATGTGTGGGCTGATTCTTTATTGCTGTTCCCTTGCTCCGGGTTATTTAAATATAGAGTTTATTACAAATTATTGAAGTGTAAAAAGGACGATAAGAAGATAGCTGTTCTGTATGTCATTTGTACATATAGTTATGTTTCCGCTTATTTTGGCCTTAAGCTTACCTTATCTTTGTAATCTCTAGATGTAGAAGTATATTGCATTTTCTGAGTTCCATACGTTCTTGTTAGTGCATTATACTCTTAAGAAGAACTTTAATCAAGTTTCGAATGAATTTTCTGATGTGTTCACAAATAATAATGTATACTACTTGTTGAACTGTGGCACATGTATTAATGCAACTAAGTATTTTAAAAATCTTCCCTAAGCGCACAATGTTTGGACGTAGGTTATGGATCGATTTTCAAGATGCAGCTTTTGAAGTGTGTAGAGCGGTCTCGTGGCGTTGCAAAAATCTCATTGCTAAGGAGTCGTTGCCACGTTTGATAATTTCAGACTGCATAGCTTTGAAGATACAGGATGTGGTCGAAACAGTGAAATAGCACATATGAAAGCATTTGTGATTTTCATTTTTATACTAGTGCTTTGCAAACTAGTATGGTATCTCACTCCACCAATATGCCATATTTCACCTTTTCGTGTTTTTCGAATATTTGTCCATCTTGTGGGCTACTAATATATCAGTTTTCACTCCAATCTTCCCCTGGTATCGTTGATTACCGTATTCGTGAGGATATGTGCTGTTTAAATAGCGCAGTATTGCGATAAAGGATGTCGGTTTTAATTTTTATTTTTTAAATGATTAAATTGATCTCCTGAATTTTTAGATATGTTAATAGTAACGTAGTGCCGACAGTAGTAGAATGAAATCTTCTGCGGATGGTAGCAACGTGTACCAAGAGACAACTGTTGTAAACTTTACAACGGATACAGCAAGCTTTTATATATCCTAGGCTTCTGGTTTCTATATTACAGTGAGCACTCTATAATGCTGTAACAAGCAGTTGTAATAGTTGTATCTGTTCTGATAGGTTGCATATATCAATCTGCAAGTTTGTTTTAATCTTAATTATGGGTGGGTTTGCAATCAACAACTAATTGAAAAAAGTTATTTCCACGATATTTGTGTTGTTATGTACCGTTGTTTATGTGAATGTTTGTATATATATATTCCTGGTAGTGGTACTCTTCGTCTTTATTAGCACAGAATGATTCAATTTAGGTTTAGAAATATATTTATCCTTTCCTTCCCCGTCTACCTTCAATATTTATAATCTAATTTAGTTATTCATTTCACTTCATCAAATTATCCGACAATGTTTCAATGGATTTATTTCTTCCATCGTTGGGAGTCAGTTTATGTCACTCTCCTTCCTTTTCCTATTATCATATATACATACAAGATCATATTGTGTTACATATTAGAAGCAGGAAGTTATCTTCCAGCTTTCTGATGTACCTCATTTGAACTTCACACATATTTTTATGATTCAAATAAGTTCTTACCTCTCACTGGCATACTATTCTGCAATTTATTCGCAATCATTCATACCGTAACCTATTGCATTACTTATCTCGAATTACTATGTTCTCTCACTAATAAATTGTTATAGTTATATCTTAACTTTATTAAACTTTAAATTACGCAATATTAATATTTGATTCTCTTCATTTGAAATTTCTTGACTAAAGAATCATGTAGACTTCCTTTGCTTAAGAATAGCTTGTTTCGGCAGTTTAATTTGATTCCTGTCTTCAAAATATATTACTTGCGCGGAATATTTTTATGAAATTTCAAGTACTAATTCCTTTACGTATTTCGGGATAACTTGTAATTCAGATTTTGTTTTAGTGTTTCAAATGTAATTCGGCTTTAAAAGGAAGACTAAGAATATCGAGACTTCAGTTACATAACTGATTTTTTTGAATTTACAGTATTTACAGAGTGTTTAACAGATATGTTTAGTTTCTGATTTCTAAATTTCAGTAAAATTTGATCGAAATTAAAATAAACCCAATCATTTTGTCGTGAAATAGGGAATCACTTAAAATCCATAATATGGTTCGGTATGATACCACACTTCATCTCATCTTCCCATCCAGTTTTTCTTGATTTTCTGGAATCGCGTGACTCTTTTACAGCATCAGTTATCACTTTCTAACACGACGGAATCATGTAAGACGAAAATTGCTACTCTCCGGAAATGTTTTCTTACTGCAACACCACAGTTGATCATACGCCTTGGCAATATTTTGTTCGATATAGCAAAAGGACAATTGGTAAATGATCTGGATTCTGTTCTTCGAGATCTACTTCAGAGTGCTGATGAAACTGATGAGGTTTGTTTATCTGATATGATTGTCTATGTCAGCCTTTCAGCAGTGTTCCTGAATGCATTTGTGTGGGCATATTTATATTTTGGTTGCTATGGTGCTATTAGTCCCCCTCTCACTTTCTGCCTCATGATTATCCGGTGTCCCAAAGATCATTAAACGTTCTATTAAGAATTAATTACTGAAATTTCTTTATCCATCCAGTTTGATATCTTGTATCATCGATTTCGATGTGGCCTTAAGAAATTGTGCAGAATAAATATTGAACTTAATTTTGAGTTTGATTATTTTTTGAACGGATTATAAAGATGGATAAAGAAATGCAAAGCATTAAAAGTCACTGAAGAGATTTTCGGAATAGGACTGAGAAGAGATGGAGAGATGGGCAGGCATTGCAAACTTCGGCTTGTGACACATGCGCATTCAGTTCAGTGTTCTGGAAGGCCACTTTTTATAGCAATTTTGTTTTATTAACTTGCTTCTTTGGTTGGAATTGCTGATTGCTTGTTTGTAGTGATTGTTTTTATATTGTGGTAGCTGCTGTTGTTTTTTAATGCAGTAGCATGTCGCTGTTGTTGCATATTCTTCATTACTGAAATATTAAAATTTTTTTCAAAAAAGTGATGCTAGGTGAGCTGGCCAGTTAAGTGAATGCTTTGCCACAGTCTTAGAAATTGATTAAGCTGGGCTAAGGTTCACTTAAGCTGGACGCTACAACCGCAGAGCAGACTTCCTTACCCATGCCTGCAGGTACATGCACCACCTCGTTTTCTACTTTGTGGGTTCCACTTGGTTTTTTGTTTAATTTCGCTAAAAAGCATGTTTCTAATGTTTCTAAAACTTGTCGGATTATTTTCTGCAGTGAAACTTACAACATGCATGTGGTTATCATCTTTCTTCCCTTTGGCTGTGCAGTTGTGGTGGTTTGTTTTTAATCAAAGAAGAGAATCAAAAGAAAAAAATTTTTTTAGTGTTCTTCATGCGTGAGTTGTAAAGTAATCTAAACTAAATGACTTACTGTTTTTATCGCAGTATCTTTTTAACAAATTGCCTGACCCATTTTTAGAAGTAAAAGTTAATGAAGGCTGAGTGAGTTATGCAATTTATGTTTTTTTTATTTATCAAAAAGTTCCATAAAGATTGCTGGATAATTAGCTCTGAAGGAAATTTTGAAAAATAAGGAAGAATTCTTTTTGGCTGAGTTTTTCTTTATCTTGTGGAATGCTAGCATCACGATTTTAGTAGGAAAGTTGAAAAAATGTGCACGACACAAGTAGCATCAAATAATATGTAATATTATGTACATTTAATTAGTAAGAATGATGTACTCGAAGTTCGAGTACTCTGAAATGTAATAAAACACTAAGTATAAATAGCTGGATTTTAAATATTTAATTTGGCACTAAAGAATTAAATGTGTATTTTGCATGGTTTCAAACCAAGATTGAAGTTAGATTACAGCGTCAAAATGATACAAGCGATGACAGCCGTGAATTAGCATCGCTTGAGTCGGAATCACAAGAAGCGAGGGAATTGAGCAGATTTATTCATGCCGATTCAGTTAGTCGTTTTGAACGTGGATTGAGCCGTGAATTAACACCAGATGAAGTTCCGGTAAGCCCTCGATTTTTGGTCCTTGAAGTCGCTATGAATAGTATATAGGAATTAATTGGAAAATTCAGCTAGAATGAGTAAGAATGGTTGTGACTTCATGTAATGATTCGTTTTGTTATACAATTTAACGTCAGATTCGTTATGCTGATTCGTTATACTGCATGCCTGCCTCTCATAAGTTTTCGAATATCAGATATTTACAATCAGTCATTTCTCGAAGGTAATGAAAATGATTTGCTATTCTAGAATAATGTGGAATTATTATTTATCTGAACGTTACTGTTTATTTGTGATTAATTTATTTGCCATTGAGCGTATTTTTATTGAGTACTTCACTATATAATTCGAAGAAAGAATGACAAAGAGTAAGAAAAAATAGTTTTCAGATTATTCAATTTGCTTTAGTCTTTTTTTATTACAGAAATTCGAGCAAGCAAAGCGACAATTATCTACTGGTAGAGCAAAGTTGAGAAAGCAACAAACGTTGGAAAAAGTACGTAATAGGACTGAAGTGATGGTTGATGAACAACAGCAACAGCAACTTAAAAAAGTGAATATCGAACATGGTGAGAATCGATTCTGTAATTCATTTCATAATTGCTTATCCTGAATTTATGTTGTTTTATACATTCCATAAATTTTTTTGCACTATGCGGGCCTCATTGTTTCTGGAGCTTCATTGCTTGGATCTTACGCAGGATTTAATGGCTATACTTTGATAGATCAATGAAAAAGAAAGAAATTATGCAACTTAAACAAAAAAAAAATTTGCCAATACATCCTTCCAAAGCCGGTTCACTAGATGTTCCAAGTCTGGGTTTTGATGTCTCATAATGAGATCATGTAGACCAGTATTGTCCCTTATCAATAATCTATTATTAATGTTACTATTATTGTAATTAACGAAAGATGGATGGTTGCTCGAAACTTGAGTTATGACATTGAAGAAGCTAAATAATTATTACTACTATATAGAACCTTAATTTTCATCTAGGAAGATAATAAATACGTCGAAAAACAAGTGGTAACGTCATTAATTCCGTTCATTTTCAAATCACTTCGCCGTTCCAAAAAAAATTAGAAAATTCATTTGTTAGATTTTCTTCCATTTTTTGGCGTTTATAAACTCTTAAAAAAATATAGGTATTGTTTTTAGATGGCTTTGGTAAGCTAGCTAATTTCAGTGAGGAAAAGAACCGTCGATAATGCACATTGTATTGTTATAAAATTTTTGGAACTTTGCCTTCCTAAATGAGACAGTTAAACGGAATGAGACGAAATTAATGATATATCTCGATTATTGCAGGATTAGAAAATGATATTTGTACGATTATCGACGGGATCTTGCCATTGATTCGACAACACAGTGAGTTGATTGCTGATGATGGTTTTATACAACGGCTGCGTGATGAATTGCTGCAACAGGCGTCTGTGATCTGCTTTCCTGAAGATGTTGCTCCAACGGATCTTTTTCGCAGTCAGCTGAGCACAATTATTGATGATACATTATCTCAGTATGTGGGCAGTAAAGTGGGTGAAGTGAGGGAAGAACTCATTTTTGATATTTCCGAAATTTTGTACAATGAGTTAACTTTTTTCCAGTTGATGTGCAATATTGATAATTTAGCCACTTAAATGACCATTTGAGTGCCTTAGAATTGCGTATTTATCTTTGATGGTTTTGTTACCATTCCTATTTAACTTACAGTTTGTAAAGCTTCTGTTGAAATGTTCGCTGCAAGGAGTTATCCAGTTCGAAAACTCTTATTGTTAAAAGGTTGTTGATATTCATCTGCAATATAAGACTGATGACGATTCCAGACTTTGCAGTTTGAAATCATTGTGAGTCCAAAAATTTGTCAGAATTTCGTTTTATGGATAAATTCATCTTAAATGACACTCCTGCCTGTTTTTGAGATTTTTCTCCATTATTTAGTTGCCTTTTCCTGAAACATAATTTTCCTCCATACATGACTGCATATAGCTTTTGTGATAAAGCTCACAATTTGCTCTTGTTTGATTTGTTGATAATACTGCTGAAACTTAAATAAATCGTTACCGATCCGTGGTATTTACTTACATATGTTATTCTGTGTTAAATCGAGCAGTGTTGTTGTGACTTTTAGTCCTGATATTACTGCCGTATTATTGCTTGTGTAATGAGTTACTCACTTACTTTTGCTTCACTTTATTTTTAAAATCCTATACGCTACCGTGATTCACTTATTCATTGCCTTCTATTTGTGCTTACCATTGATTTGGAAATGGGATATCAATTCTTTAAATATACTTTTTCAAATTAGTGCCGAAAACTTCTTGGTATCAGCAGAGCTGTATGATAATTCAGTGGAATCTATCTGAGTGTGTCCAGAATCCCTTTTTCATACATAAACACCATCATTTGATCAATCCGAAATTTCGAAGTGATCAGTACAGTATAGTAAAAACAAAAAAATGTGTTCCCTCTATTTTTAGCAAGAGAAAAATTTTTGATCAAATTTTATTTTGAAATAAAATTTTTAAATATTCATATATGTGTTTATGTTTCGCATGAATAACATTTGTGATTTCATAGTGTTTTCAAGGCAATGCGAGTTTGATAAACAAAGAAAAAGATATCAGAGGTGTTCTGGATTTTCAGTACTAAGGTAATGTAAACCGAAGAATCTGGGTAGTTAAACAAGCGGCATTGCTTAAATTTCGGAAGAACTTGAAACTCAGGGTTTGGAAGTGATAGGGAAACATCCCATGTTGGGTAAACGCAAACCTGGAATTTTTTTAAATATAGTATCGGGTAACTCTTATCGCCTAAACCGTTGCCTTATAAGTATTGAAGGAAATTATGTGTTCATTTTTCGATGATTTTTTTATATATTTTTCGACCATTTGGATAGGCCATTTGGCGATGGATTGTTTGGGATCAATTCTTGTGTGATGTGTTCGGCGAAAATTTTCTTTGTTCGGTCCGAGGAGCTTGGCTTGATTTTGCATTGGAAAATTACAATCTGTTAAGAAATCTTGATCATGTGGAAACAAAAGGATGCCGATCGGATGCTTGTGGAAATCGCTGTTGCTGCGACAATTTTATTTGCATTTTTGACTACAAAAATGAGACGAAATTCGATGTACATTAATTTTTTATTCGTCATCACAGTCTCATCATCTCTTTATCTTTATTCACTTCGACTAAATGTACACCTTTACAATCTACCTTTATTGTTTTACAAACGAATTTTTGACGGAACTGATCAAAGGTTTGACAACTTACATATTATTATATGCTTCAATGATTAACATAGGATTTATTTTTGTTTGCTTGTGTTTCTGAATTCGAAAGTTATCAGTGAAAAAGAGAAGATAGAATGCATATAATTAAATTTGATAAGAGTACTATTATATTCTGCCATTCATTTCTTCCAAAAACTGAAGAGAATATTGCAGCTGCGGTCGGATAATTGGTATTTCAAGAAATTGTAATTAGAATTAGTACTAAATTTCAAATTTTTAAGGTATTGTTTGCTGTTATTTTATTGGATATGTATCATTGCAACGTTGTTATTTTGCATTGTTGTCAATCATTCATCGCATAGCTCAACAGTGCATCGTAAATTCTTTCATCTTACAATATCGCTAATTTGCATAACTGGTATTCAATATGATTTTGAGTTAATTTGGCTCTTTGCTTGGTTGATGCTTTGCGTTTTTGTAATCATTGAGGTAAGCTCAGTTATTGAATTTTTTGTCACAAAGTTCCAATCTTTGGTTTATTAAAAAGTTTTTTTCATGGATAAATTTAAGGATTATTAATTTTTGTTAATTGCTTAGCCATTTAGTTGGGAAACATTATTTCACTGAAAAGATATTCTTTCGAATTTCTCATTTTATAAAATTTACAGATTTTTTATCATAAAAATGCTTTCATATTGAAGGAGCTGCTCATCCAATAATTATTCATATTTCCATTTCAGGTTTTCCGTTCCAAATGTGTAACACCGTGGTCAACTTATCTGAATAACTGGTTATTGATTTTTGTCGATAAACAGGATTCACCAGAACTTATTTTAACTCCTATTTATCTATTGGCTGGAATATTTTTGCCTCTTTTCCTTTCACCAATCAATAATAACGGTATAACCTACTATTTCAAATTTATTATTCTATTTTTATAATATTTAGTTTATTCATAATTATGGGAGTCATTCAGAGAGTTAAAATGCATGCTGTATTCATTATTCAGATGATTCTGATTTTCTGTAACATTATTTAATAATATTTTTCTATATGCATGAAAATCCAATTCAATTTATCGACATTTGAGGTTCTTTTTTTCAGCTTTTCCTGCAAATAACTTATATTTTGCATAATAGGGTGGAAATTTGCATATAGAATAATTTTCAACTTTTAAAGCAGATAAGGGAAAAATGATAGTTCTGTTTTATACTAGCATATCAATGAAAAGGGGCACGAAAAGATGTTCCTTCGCTTTATCGTGGATACAAAAAAAAAGACAAATAATTAATCAATAAGTAAATAAAGAAAAATGAACATCGTTACAGAATATCGTCATTTGTATCACTTCGCGGGTGTTGCTACAGTTGGTGTTGGTGACAGTATGTCAGCAATTGTTGGTTCACGATATGGACGCTTATATTGGCCAAAATCAGCGAAAACAGCAGAAGGAAGTGTTGCATTTGCTATTTGCCAATTTATCTTTTCCATTCTAATATGTTTATGTTATTTAGAATATGATATTGGGATTTATCGATTACTTAGGATTTTATTTTGCTCAGTTATATGTGCTATTTTTGAAGCTGGATTACCTGCCATGGATAATATTATTCTACCTGTGATAGCTTATTTGATTTTGTTTTAATTTTTTTTTGTTGATTAAATATGAACTATTTAGGAATAATACAAGCTATAAAGATAAAAATGGACTATTTCTTTTTTCTCTGACATTTCTTTATATTTAAACTTTCGATATTTAGGAATGTTAACCGTCTGAATGAAAAGAATATGATGAGTTTTTAAAATTGAAGATGATGAAAAATGAAGTTATCAGCTTCATCGATTAAATGAGCGAAAAATTGAACCGGTTTTGAGATAAAGAAGAATGTCATTTTCAACTAATATTACGATATAACTGCTAAATTAATCGGTGAAGGAAAGTATTAAAAGATTGGTTGGATTCTGAGCGACAAATAATTATGATTAGAACGAAAAGATTCAGATTAAAATGTTATCTGAATTTAATTGAGAAAATAAAATGTAACGATAATTCAGGCATCTTTGTTTTCTTAATTTTCGTTTGCAAATGTTGCATTAATTACTGTGTAGTACTGCATCAGCCGGCAACGGTTGTAACGGAAGGAAACGATGACGCTCATTTGGATGAATCAAGTGGCGGCTAGAAAGTCCAGATGTGATTGAAATGATGAGAGATGAGCAGCAGGAGCAAGAAATTCAATCTTTTACAGCTAGCTTTACTGCAAATAGCTTTGTAGCTCGTTGAGAGCTTATAGCAGGCACCATGTCGAATGGTTAGTGGATGATGATGAGTGATCTGATCCATTTTTTTTACGATAGTTTAACTTCCATTTGAATTTAATAATCAAATTGAGAAATTTTTCAAATTTGAAATGTTTCTCTGAAATTCACAAAATATTTATGTTGTTGTTGACAATAAACGCTTCAAATGTTAATCAAAAATGATTGGATGATCGAAGTTTTTTGTTTTACAGCCGAATGATTTTATTTCTATTTCAAAAGTTACAAACTTCATTATTGACTATATTAGACCTATCCTAGAAAACTTGATTATGAAAAAAAGCGCCCTCGAAATTAAGAAGGCGTAAAGAAGCAGTGTGATACCTTTGACATGCCCAAATAATCCCATTAGAACAAGTTAATGATTTTTTTAACTGAACTAATAAGACTGTACTCTATTCTTTTACTTATTTTAATTATTTTTGCTCCTTTTAATTTCAGCAATCAGGTAAATCATTGATTAATTATGTTTTATTATGCTCAAATGCACTGTTCCCATTGTGATATGCATCGCTAAAAATATTGTGTAATACTCGAATATTTCATTAGTGACCAGAAGTGGACAAGACTTAGCATCACCTTTCCATGGGAGATAACACGAACCATCAAATTATTTTATTTTAATTTTTTAACTAATCTTTTCCTCTTTATTTCATCACTTCTCTTCATTATTTTCGTTGTTTTCTTTTTCCCGAGCAATCTTGACATAAATTGAGCATAGATTTATTCTTCTCTATCTCTCGTCAATGCAATCTCGATCGTTGTATCGCCATCTCATCCTGATACTTTGCATATTCTCATTACCACTTCTGTTCTTACAACCTTCGACTTATTGCTCATTTGTAAAGTGCTATGCTATGATCGATGTTAATTGAAGAAGTATGTGAGGGAAGAGGAGTGGTAAGAATGAATTGAATCCTACAAGACCACATCAATCGTATCTTTTATTTCGGTGATGTTTACCTTTAACGATGAACTATAACTTCCACTATTGTTAACTGTCATAGTCATTACTTCTGTCAACTTACAGTTAGCTCTTCTACCAGACTAGATTCTATATGATTTGGAAACTATTTCAAATTTTTCTTCATAAAAAAATACTTAATAGATCTGTTGTGATTGTAAATATTCTTTATTGTATTGGGAATAAGCTCTTGACAGCTACTATTCTAACGATGGATAATTTAGATATTCAATCTTTACTGATGTGAAATGACAACACCCGTTATATTTGATTGCAACAATTTTTCTTCAACAATTTTGCATGCAAATCTTGCTGTGTTAATTTTCCTCCAACTTTACAATTAATTTATTAGGCAAAATTATTAGAGTGCAAAATGATCCAACAGTTTCAGTTTTCTTGTAAGAAAACTGCAGGAATAGAGAAAGACAAAAACCTTGCAAAATAAAACGATGAATGGATATTGATTACAAGTGACGTATTTAAGTATCATGCCGTTTTAAATTGTGGAAATTAAATCTTTGTGCTACTGATCCCGTATATACGATTGATTCTTCCTAAAATATATTTGATTATAAATCATTCTCATACTTTTTTGGAAACTTTCACGAGTTCAATCTGTTATTTCATAGTATCATTTAGATTTCTTTCACAAACAAATTCATTACTTAACATCGTAATACTTTATTGATTTATTCATTAGTTGGAACTAAAAATTTTAAATTGATTTAGGATATAGATTAAGATGTGTTACCCGCTAATAGATTATTATAGAAGTTTCATCTATGACCACTTCAATTATTTTATTTTTCCAATTATTAATTCACCAATACATTTTAATGATTATTCGTAATCGTTTGATTTATATTTAAAAGTCTTTCTAAATGGCTTGTTGTTGAAAAGAACGGAATAAAAGGCAGAAAGTTAGAAACTGTTGAGATGATTGATAGATTAATTTAATGTTAAAATGCTTGAACTGCTAATATCACCGCGTTGTGTATTATGGCAGACAAATAAATGTGTTTCGAACAAATCAATTTAGGAAGAACAACGCCATGCTACACTCATTTCTTCGTAAATTATTCCACTTAGAATAATAGCATTATCTTGACGAGACAAGTTGAAATCTTCCCATCCTTTTTTCTCTCAGTTTCACTTTTATTGAGAATTTTGAAATAGCTGAGAAGATAAAATTCCCCAGTGAAAAGGAAAAACACTCTAAGAGTTTTATAAGATGAAAGAAAGATATTTATTGATTTGTTTTAATTTTTCAAGTTCTTTTAGCAGACATCCTTCGATCTTCTTTTATGTGAAATTGATGTCGAAAAAAAGTACGAGAATGTTTTTCATTGACACAAACATTATCTATTAATTTTATCCTGAAATTCTTCTTTAACAGGCTTAGAGTAGACAGTTAAAAATGCCATTTAAACCGGTGGAGCATCCAAAATGTCCGAAATGCGGTAAATCAGTGTATGCTGCGGAGGAAATGAGCGCCGGTGGTTACAAATGGCACAAATTTTGCTTTAAATGTGGTTAGTTTCTTTTAATTGATTTATATTTAACTTTATGTCTTTGTCAAATAACAAAATGCCAGAATAAAATTTATTCCCTACAATATTTATGATCTTATGTGAATGACATCATCGCATGATAGTTGAAATTCTGATGTGAATGACATCGCATGATAGTTGAAAAAAATATCCGTGTTAAAATTTTCTATTAAACTATTGCATACGATCATGAAATAAAATTCTTCGAAAAATACATGGAGAGACGAAGAAGACATTTTGTCATGAAAAAATTGGAAATTCTAAGCCATTCCGAATTGTCCTGTGCCTTGGCTTGGGTTTTATTTTGTTGATGAAATAAGATAGGAAAAAGACAGCCTAATTTTGAATTCCTAATATGATCTTTATCTATTTTCCTCTATTCCAAATTCATCTCGAAGTTTTAGTAATGTTTAAATTAATGGTTCACCTTTTTACATTTCATTTTCTTCAATTTTTTAATGAGCCTGGAAGTTTGAGAGGGTCAATAATTTGCTTACATAATGCTGGCTTATTTACCCTAAATTTCATTTTAGAAAAGCTTGCTTTTGTTTAGCTGTGAATATGAGGACAATTCGGTATCCTTTTAAATACCTGACATTTTTTTCGGCACGTCATAATCGGCCAAGAACAGATATGCGGAAACTCAAAGGACACTAACCAATCTATTTGTTTCGATTTGTGCCACTTAAAATGTTGATGGAAGAAAATGGAAACCATGAAGTATTGATTGGCAATGGATATACTAATAAATCTAAACTAACCTTTCTATAGGCAGTTTGTTCAAGTTGTCATTATCAGTTTATCAGTTATTATCACAGTATTCTCATCTTTAACCACTGTTTGCAGCCATGTGTAACAAATTACTTGACTCAACAAATTGCTGTGAACATCAAGCTGAATTATATTGTAAACAATGCCACAGTCGAAAATATGGTCCTAAAGGGGTTGGCTTTGGTATAGGTGCCGGTGCATTAACTATGGATACTGGGGAACATTTCGGAAACACCGAAGTGGAAATGACGTTAGTCGTTGTTGGTCCATTTTTTTACTACAATAAATTGGTGGTAATTATGTGTTGTTTGAATTCCTTTGAAATTCAATTTCTTTAAACCTTTTGTTGCGTAGATATGATAACTTTTATAATATATATATTTTCCCTTACTCAACGATTACACTAACCAAATTAAAGACTGAGCAAGAAAAAGTAAGGGATAATATGGAATTTACAATATACAACAAAAAGGGATCATTTACTGGATGAAGAAGAAGTTTTAATATTAAACAAATCAACAAGAGTAAATGAAGTAAAGCAGATTTAACGCTTTTGTCAAAACTTGAAAATTTACTTTTCCACATCTTCCTCTGCTTTTTTTATTGTATACTAAAATCATCTCATCTAACTAATTTTACAGTTGCATGTTGTATATCTAACAAATTAGTAACACAGCATTTATGAATGTTTTTCATTCCTGTAAGATTTGCATAACTTTAAGTGTTATTATTCATTTTTTGAATTGAAAATGTAGCATCAAATTTGTATTCATAGAAGTCCTTGCTGGACAATACTTCAATGGTTAGTTTGGATATTATGAAATTTAAACCAGTTTAAATCATCATTTCAGGTTAGTATCGTTTTTTGCACGGATTATCACATTACTATCTTTTCCGTCTTTCTTCTCCTTTGTTATCATCGATTTACAGAATTGTGCAACAAATTGTTGGATTCGACAAATGTAGCACCACATGAAGCTGAGCTATACTGCAAACAGTGCCATGGTCGAAAGTTTGGCCCAAAAGGTGTTGGATTTGGTTTGGGTGCTGGTGCTTTGACAATGGATGATGGTTCGAGATTTGGCAACAAATAAACTGAAAATGGGGGTCAGCCTAGCAACTGTTTTAACCTTAATGCTTTCATTTCAAATTCCGAAAAACAATTAACAAATCTAACAAATATTATCTGTCTTCTTTCTAGATATGTTAGCTAGAATCTTTTAAAAAATGTCTGATTCTTCCAGGATATATCGATTTTTTCATTTGGTGTTTATTGTTTTTTTCTGGCCATATAATCCCAACTAATTACAATAAATTATTTCAACCCATTCTTCAGCTCATTTTTGCAATTTCTTCAATTTTCCTATTCTTTTTCATGTTCTTAAAAAAATTTTTTTTTCATCTTTTCAACGTTTTAATTTTGTTTTTTCTTAATTTCCATTAATTGATTATAGTTCAAATCAAATTTTTTGTTTTGTTTCTTTGTTATTCGCTTTTTTTAGGAATAGACCGATGACAGCCGAAGCATTCACAGCGCCGATCAATCCAACTCATAAGTAAATAATAAATGAGAAAAAAGATTCCTAAAAAAATTTCTTTAAAATATATTTGACATTTATTTCTGCCTGATACTGCTCGCGCTTCCATCTTCTACATTTTTATTTTTTGAAGATTTATTATAGAATTAATTTTTGTTTTCAAATAACTGACAGCTATCTAAAATATGTTGACCTTTTCAAGAATTCTATTAATGAATGTTTTCTCACATATGGTAAACCTATGTGTGAATAAAAATTGCTTCTTCATTATACACTAAGAATTTTCTCACTTTTTTCTTGAAAATTCACTGTACAATTCTGTTTAAGTTAAAGTTCTATTTGTTAATGTAATTTCATTTCAAAAAAAATTTTATTTTTAATGAAGAAATTTAATTAAAAAATTATATTAGCAAAAAAACATTTGAAATTAAAACGAAGAACAATATTGAATTAATTCTTAGAAATTTAATTAGTACGCAAAGATGAAATGCTTAAATTCATTTCATTGTTGTTAGATAATCTTTTTCGTTTTACGGCTATTTTGATGAATATTTAAACTGATGATACCCATATCATAAATTTTGTTAATTGACGTTGACGGTATCGGAAATCGATCGGTAACGTTATATCGCTGCAACCGGAATTCATGAAATACATTGACTGATTTGGATATATCAGAAAATTGAATATTGACGCAATTAAATCGAAGAAATTCACATCATTGAAAATTATTAATTACATTTAATTCGAAAAACAATAATTAATTATTGGGAAAGAATTTAAAAAGAATAAAATTTTAAATTTCATAAATGACAAAATAAAAATAAATACACGATTGTATATATTTATCGAATTATCACTTTCTCTATACATTTAGAAAAATTGCAATTTAATGGAGTCAAATAAGCAATTGCGCTAAGGGAAAAAAAGCAGTAAACAATTTTTGGTCAAAGCACGTGTAACGTCAATGTTATACGTGAACGTCTATACGTTCACAAGAATTAAATTCAAATATAATAGAAAAAAAAAGAAGACAAACCATGTTAACACTGCCTTGATAACAATGATGTCTGATAATCAGATATAATTCAATATTATTGGCCCATTCCCTTTCTGTTCCACTAATTTCAAAATTTCCATCATTCCTTGGCCGTGTTGAATTCAATTTATTATCAGTGGATGAAATTAAATCACAAAATAAATATGCGTTACACATATTATTAAATAATAAGTTACTACTTTCTTTCAAAAGTACTGATATTTTTTGGGAAGAAATAAATAAAGATGATATATACCTAAATCTTATCAAAATTTTTATGGATCATAAATTTTTAATGCTTTGCTTTTTTTCAACGTATCATCATCGAATGGTGTCAGATTCCATTGAAGTTTTAAGTTATCTGGAAGTTATGTGGATTCTTAATTAATTTTGAAATTGATTTTGAAATTTACCGACATCTTTTTCCCATAGTTCGACATGAACATCCAAAGTATGTGCATTATTTGCGCATCCAATTTCCCCGCGTACAGTAACTTGTTGTTTTTTGCCGTTAGTTAATAATGGCAATAGTAGTAGAATAAATTTCATCAATAGTTCCATCAATTTTTGATCTCTAGTACTTCGTTGTCTAACAAAGTTATTGCAAATATAATTTCGATGGATGTGTAAGATCGCTGTCATTAAAAGCCGTATGTAATATGCTGAATAATTAGATAGTTCTATTGCTATCGAATCTAATTAATAAATAGTCAATTGTTTTTCATATAAATTTGTCCAAAGTTTTAGTTGTTTAATATTTTTAATTATTTTTCACTATTTTAAATTGCTATAAAATTTTAAAAAAGAATTTCATTGAAAATATGTAAATTAGAAATTGTATTATCTATCTATTCAAATAACTTAATTCATTTGATGTGGTGCTTTCTTTCAACTTCAAAGATTGCTTACAGTTAGCGATAACTTCTCATAGCTATTTGATAATTCAAAAATATACAGCCATCGATTGATCCTCAATTCTTAATTTGAATAATACACATTACTTGACGATTTTGATTATAATTCAAAAATTCTTCATTTTTTAAAGCTTACAAGAATATTCTACGATCGTTTCAACATTACAGATACGCCGATCCGATATTTATCATACGATGTGGCAATTATAATTGTTATTGTTCATAATTTATCACTTAAAATATTCAAAAAAAAAAAGATATATGATAGAATGATAGAATGCGAAGAAGCTGTAAAGAGCTGTAAAGAATAATTGATAAAATTTTGGTTAAAAAGAATATTTTATGTTGTTGTCTGTCAGATACGTATGAATAATCAATCGGAAGCAATTCATCGTCAAAATATTTCTTTTAGGCATTCAAAATTTCTTATATTTTTTTCATAATAATTTATTAATTCTTTCAACAAAATGATTTCATCTATTAATATTTAGGGAATTATATATTTTTTTTGATAGCTTAAAATTAGCTAAAAGTTTTAGTTGCAAATGTAATTTTACATTGATAATAGCAAGCAAAATACTTTTATTTACCATATGCGAAAAATTTATTTTAACTGTATTGATCGATTTCTTTCAAAGTATTTTAATTCATTACTTTTTTTGACTAAAAAATCTTGTCAAGATTATGTGTGAATGTGCAAGTTTATCAACACATATCATACAACTCAATCAATTGATTAATTATTTTGCATGATTAATTACTTCAATCTCAGCTATTATTATCACTAATACAATTATCATTTATATCAGAAAGTTTTTCTTTTCCTCTTTAAATTATTTTCGGCTATTCGAAATATGCTTGAGTAGTACTGATGTCCAGGAAGGTCGTCAACTTATTAAAAGACATCAAAATTTACTTTCTTCAAATAATGACTGTTGTGATCACTTTGAATGTCGTTGTACTATCTGTTTGGGTAAAATCACATCTTGCGTGATACATAAAATGTTAATCATTTCAGGCAAAGTGATGTAATTGTTAGATGGATCAGTTTTTAACTTTAATTCCAAATCAAAACAACTACAATGACACATATATGATGTACATTATTGCGAATCACATTAATGTAGTTTTATTTTTCAATATTTTCATGATGTTTAAAATTAAAGTGATTGATTGACCTCTATTAAAATTTATAATGAACAATTGATCACTCTCTTAAATTTGGGAAAAAGAAAATAATCTAATGACAATTTCTCTTATGATTCATTCGAGCAATATTTAAACTAACAATTCCCATTTCATAAGTTTTACCAATGTGATTACTTGCAATTGGAAAATCGTCCGTTATAACGCAATTCTATAAAAGTATAAACAAATAAATAGTTGAAACGTTGTAAATAGAATATTTTGCTTCTGTTCTTTGATCATTTCTATTTTCCTTCGGAAATAAGCGCAATTAATCGTTGCATCAGACTTGAAACAAATGACTCAATTCATGTTTAAATTACGAACATTTATTTCAATCTATACTTTAACTAAAAAGATTTATACTTATTTCAGGTATTCAGTCCTTAAAATATTACCTCAGAAAGTACACCATCCTCGCAATTATGAGTAATCCTTAGGTACGGTTCGATACTACCAATTTCACATTCCTCACCGTAGATTGAAAAGTAACCTTTGCTGTTACTTGCAGTTTTATTTAGTGAATCATCCGGATCAACTGAAATTTAGTTCAATGATTTTTTTTCCAGAACAATTATAATAAATATGTTATTTACAAAAAAATATGAATTTGAGAAATTTTTGATATTTTCTGTAATTACTCTCATGCAATAATTATAAATTAATAAAATGATAACAAAATGTGTAATTTGAAATTTAGAAATTACTTAAAAATTCAGCCAATTAATAATTACTATAAAATTTTTAGTTAAAAGTAATGCAAACTTACAACGATCATGTTCACGTAATTCAACCAACACATTCTTTAATGCTCGATCGCCACAACCCAATTGTCCAGTTACCGTAACATGATTTACAGTACAGATGGCCATAAGGATTGATGGACATCCGGCAAGTAACAACAGGAAAAGCATGGCATACAACATTTAGGCATTCAACATGAAAGTCATAAATTTTTGAATTTACAGTATAAAAATATTGGTTTTATTAAACTTTAAAAATATTTGATGATCTCGGTGAACGAGAAGTTAGTTGTATTGCTGAATGGATTACAAGAGTGATAAAAAGGTAAGGATAATAATTAGATAAGTAATATGATTCGTTAAGTAATATTAAGTAAGTAGAGAATACGCATGAAATCATTGCACCGACATGATTTTCTATGATTAATTAAATATGAAGAACTTAAAATAACAGTGAATGAATCTATCTGTTAATAATTAATTAAAATATTAAATTTTTTAATGATGAAAGTTTTCATTATTTACGCTTACTCATCGATTATTTATTTCCGAAAATACTTATGATGAATGAAATATGAAGAGAGATTTTGTTATCTAAGCTGGCTTTTAATTGGAATCAATTATGTTTTAGGATTAAAAACAAAATTCAATCAAACTTCGAAGAATGTCATTTTGTAATATTTCCTTCGATTTGATTGTTTTAATCATTTCAGAACAAATGCCTTCATTTCTTTTTTTTCTTTTACAAAATATTTCTTAAACTGAAGAAAATTATAATTAATAGTTAAAAACAAAAAGTTTTGATAAGAAAATTTTTTGATAAAAAAAATAATTGTGAAATAAAACAAATTTTGTTAACATTTGAAAAAAATAGAAGAGAAAAAGGAACATAGAAGTGAATTTCCCATCGTATCGTTTTGTAAATGCGATCGTTTTAAGTGTTAAATGAATAAGTGAATAAATGGGGAAAATGTACGCCAATATTTGTTACCCTCAATAACCTGTTTCAACAGGGTGGAAAAAAATGATTGCAAGAAATTCTTTAAGTGCGATTCGTTTTGTTCATCTTTCATTCAAAATTATTTCAAGCAGTCATTATTATTATTTGATTCTTAATTAATTTATAACACAATAATTATTTCATATAAAAAAAATAGCTGTAAGGTTACGTTTATTTATTTTATTATACTATTCTTGACTGATTGGAAATAATATTTTTTTTAATTAATTTACTTTAATCAATTGAAACTAATCGATAGATTTCATTTCTAATTCATGTAATTATTTTTCATTGTTTTAAATATTAAATGAAGTGAGATATTTATTTTATTCTCTTTACTTTTGTACTTTGTAATAAAAATTTTCATGAATTAATCAGTAATTGCTGGTGAGAAAAGGGCTATGGATAATGTTTGTTCAGTTATTGTATATTTTGGAATTCGTAACGATTCCGGAAAACAGAATTAAACAAACTTCTGACAGGAAGATTGAATTGGGTGCGAATGAACGAAGCAATGCAATGAATCAGCAATTCATTCAAAAAATTCGAAATATATTTTTTTTCTTTTGAAAGAGAAAGCTAACCGAAAAATTTATGAAAACATAAAAGCTCTAAAAATATCTAAGCGATAGTTAGTAGAAATTTATTGAAAGATATTTCTTATAGGCTGTCATTAAGGGAATTTATTCATTCAAATGGGAAATCGTTAAATATCAAATCAAATTTCATTCAAAAGCATTTCATTTCTTTTTTACTCTTTCTAAATTATGACAAATTGTGGCAAAAAAGAAGATATCGTATGAGAAAATTTCATCTTTCCTTGTTGATTTCAAACACAATTCTTCTGTCGGCTCCTCACAATATTTAAACTCACAATGCCCATATTGTATGAACTGCCAACATGTTTCAACGGAATTTCGTATCGATCTCTTATTGAACATTTCTGTTAAAAAAAATATATGTATATATAAATGAGTTTAATTTGAATTAAAATTTATATTGAAAAAATAGATATTTCTTCTCATGATTTCTTTTTTTGAATAATGCCAACCAATTATGTCTCATAGATGACGATGTCATGTTATTATCAGAAATTGAAATTATTACATATGATAATTAATAGTATTATTAGATATTTTGTAATAATATCATTTCATAAAAATTATGATAAGGAAGAATATGATATTATCGATCATCAGAAAAGTTTGCAGTTAAGCAAGTTCAGATCTTAAAGGAGAAAGCATAGGATTATGATTATGAATTCGCTTGTACGAATTATTATTTTTGCCAACAAATAATTGAATTTACCGGATTAATGACACCATTATCGCAACTGTGTACAATTATTAGGTACGGTTCAATATTTTGCACTTCATTTTCCTCTCCATATACCCGAAAATTTCCATTTTTGTCAGTTCTTGTTTTATTCAGCAAATCATCCGGATCCACTAGAAATTAAATTTAAAATTTCATCTCATCAATTACATCAGTTGCTATTAGTTGCAAATATCAATTCATAGAAAAAGGAAAGTCAGAGGCTTATGTTTGATTAAATTTTCTATCTTGAAATTTCACCCGATTTCGAAAAAGCAATTACGATCTCACTCTAAGAAACTTTCAAGTAAATAAATTACGCTTCAGTATGAAAAAATATGAAATACTAACGTGTATCACGTTCCCATAGCTGTATTTCAACATCTTGTTGTGATCGATCGTTACATGCCACTCGTCCGCTGACAGTTACATTTTTTATACTTCCCAGCGCTAATGTCGAAACTACCGCAATATTCAACAATATCACACAATTGATAAACATAACTGGAATTTTTATTATTTGTTACATTAAAATTTTTCTGAAATTACACAAATATTTGGAATGGGCGGAGTTGTCATTTTTATTAAATAATTGAAGAAATTAAGCAGTAATAAAATAGACTTAATATATGCAAACTAACATAAAGAAAGTTGAAAATTGCGATTGAAAAAAAGGAAAAGTCGGAGAAATTCGACACTGTCTAAAAATTCTTTATTGATTTAACTTATTAAGTTCAAGAGAGTTGTGAATAATTGTGAAGATTAATATGTAACAAAAACATTGCAAATAGTAATTTGTTTGCAGCACTTTCGTTTGAAAGTATTCTTACTTTTCAAACTTAACCTAATCATCAAGAAGCAATCAAAATCTGATCCTAAAGAACTTTTTTTTCATAGCAAGAGTTGAAAATTACTGATTGAAAAATATTATTTAGATAGTTATCTTTCGTTTGACTCATATAAATTGATAGTTAATTTTTGAAATTTATGGTTATCTATTTTCTCTGGGGGGAAACATATTTGGGATAATTTCTATTGCTATCACCACTATTTTATCATACATAAATTTAAAAAAAAAAGACTTAAAATAATTTTTTGCAATGCTTATCAAATACCCTTAAATGAGATTGAACCGTTGAAGAACTCTTAATAATTTAAAAAATTTCAACAATTATTTCGGATTTGTTGAAAAAAAAGCTGTCATTTCAGTATCCCTTCAAGAAACCTTTCTAAGTTGGAGAGAAAAAAATTAAGAATTTTTTGTTTCATGTTATGACAAGCTGTTTTATTGTTTGCTACTCTTAGTAAATATCAATAAAAATAAAGCATTGATTGATTGATTTTTTGAACTTTGGTCCTACTTGCTATTTTCTTAATTCTACGTGGAAATAGAAAGGAAAGAGATGATATCATTAATAATGCTTTAGAGGTGTGCAAAAATTATAGTGCGAGAATAAATCTTTCTAATATGATCAAAGAGAAATGATACGAAATAAGCTACTGATATGATTTTGATAACTAGTGATATTAACTGAACCAACTGGTTCTTACGAGCTCTAAGGAAATTAATAAAGCAATATATTTTAGAGAATGTAATCAAAAAAAAATGTGAAGAAGCGCATAGGCGCAAAGATAAGTGAAATTCATTTCACTTCTACAATCTCAATGTTATCTTATCTTTTTAGTTCAAAACTTGTCTACTTATCAGTAAAAAAATAACAATACTTTCCACCTCATAGCATATAGAAAGAACAAAATAATTGGTTAAAATATTACTAACCTTTCTTCTTGCATAAAAATGATAATTATATCATATAGCATCCTTATTATACTATGTAAAAAAGATGATTAGAATATTTTGTAATTAATTTGGCTTTTATTATACAAAGATAAAAAATGCATTGTTTATATCTTAAATATTTTGCTATATGAATAAAAATTATGCATAATTATTAGCTAAATTCAACTCATTCACTAATCATTAACTCATCAATTAATAGTTAGCTAAATTTAATTTATTAAATAATCATTAGCTAAATTCAATTGATTAAATATTCATTAATTAAATTCAACCTATTAACTAATTATTAGCTAAAATCAGTAATCAAATCACGAAGAAATAATAAATTGCAAAAACAAAAAGAAAAAGAGAAAAAAGTTGTAAAAGTTTTAAATGCATAATTGGGGATAGTTTCTTCCGCAAAGTACAATTAAATCGAGAAATTGCTTACGACGAATATTTTATTAATAGTCAAATGTACAATAATAAATAATATTATGCTTTTGTATTTTAAAGAAAAAAATTTTTTATTATTTCAATTAACGATCATTGAAATTATCGATCATTCGTTGATACATTTCTTCTCATGATTCTTGTCGATAATATTCAGACTTACGGTATACATATTATACTTTTTACCAATATATTCCTTTGGAATTGTATGTTCATCAGTGATTGTGCATTTCTGAATAATGGTGATAATAAGTTTTCATGATAATAGTAATATTAGAAAGGAAAATATTAAAACTACATAAGAGAGAACGAAGGAGAAATTTTTTGTACATTTTTGTACTTAAGAAAATAATCAAAATGGTATTGTCTCTTAAAATGTGGCAAGAAGAAAAAGTTCAGAAGTAATAGAATTGATAAAAGTCAAATATTTGTTACTTGCTTAAGGTTAAAAAATATAAAAGAAAAAGTCAGGAAAAGATATGAAGACTGGCCCGATTAATAACGCCCTTATCACAGCTATGCTTAATGATTAGGTAGGGTTCAATTGCTGCCACTTCCTTGTCTTGACCATATATTTCAAAAGCTCCTTTGGCATCGGATATAGTGGTGTTTAATTGGTCATCAGGATCACCTAAAATAATTCAAATGAATCATATTTGAAATCAGTAAAGAAATAATGAATGTGATCAACAAAAAAACTTATTCCATTTTACTTTCCTACAATTAATTAACAAAAATCCCATTTATTAGTTGAAAGTTTTTTTGCGTAATTATTAAAATTTTAGAAGTAATAAACATATGTGATATAAACAAAAAAAAACTTATCGGTGTCTTTTTCCCACAATGAAACTTCAACATTACGTGCTGCTCTGTTACCACACGCAAACCGACCTACCACGGTGACACTCTGAAGTGAACCAATAACGCCTGCATTTACGTAAAATGCAACACATCCGAGCAGTAGAAATATCCCCCAAAAGACCATTACTGCAAGTGAGAAATTTTTCCAATAGAAATGAATGGAAATAATTTTTACAGAGATAAATAAGATAACATTGATCGATGTTAGCTGCGAAATGATATGAAATTCTGATAAAATTTAATTTCAACCTTATATATATAATTGTTAGAAATTCATGCCAGATTTAAATTTTTAGTTTTAAAAAAAAATCCAAACTTCTGTAGTTAAAGAATATAATTTAGTTACGGCAACTTCAGAGCAACTGACTCTTCACACTTCATGAATTCGGGATATTTTGATTTAATTCATCATAACCGGTTAAATGTTTGATGATTTAAATTGTAATTCCAATTATCCTTTCATTTTGCACTGAAATATTTGTTTTCATATCTATGATTAATTCACATCTACGATCATATCTACAAATGACTAACAGCAAGCAAAAGTGCCTGTATCGAACAAAGTTCAAAAGTTGACTAATTTCAATTTTCAATTTTTCAAATTTTAAGGAAGCAATGCTTTTTCATCTTCTTATTCTATCATAGTGTTATGGTACTGAAATTGATTTAAAATTTTAATTCCACGAATGGGCTCCGATATGTTCGATCGGTAATTTTTTTGAATTCTTTGCTGTCATCAAAAAACAATTCAATATAATTTATTGTAGTGACTTTGAAAATGTTTCTAAAAAAAAATCTATTATTGTTTATTCATATCATTTTTCTCTATCAATAACAAAATGAAATTCACCGCTTTCCTATTCGGGATGTAAAACTGGTATGCGCAAAAAACGTTTCGTATCATTGTTATGATCGATGATTATAATGATTTGTCATCATAATAATCGATGATTATTTGCTGTTACTCTTAGTCACTACAATTAACACTATTGTTATTATTCTTATCATTATCATCATTTATCGGTGTTAGTGTAATAATCACTGTAATCAATAATCATTATCACCATTGTGATTATATTAATTTGTGATAAAAATATTACATTTAATTATACAATTGTGCAGTAAATGAACACTAACAAAATACATTATTAATTTGATTAAGAATTTGGTTGAAAATTAAATTCAAAATTGCTTAATTTAAGTATTAGTTGATGAAATGATTTTATATAACACATTGGAAATTGATTAAAATTAAAAAGAAAAAATCATTGTTAGAATTGCGGCATTCTTTTAAATAATTTTAAAATACCAAAAGACTAGCAGAAATAAATATTAAAAATTGCCACAAAAATGTGATTGAAAAAAGCGAAATAATATTTTTCGACAATTTTTTTAATATTAACAAAAATTTATAAAGAAGAAAATTTCCAAACACATCTCTTCAACATGAAGTATCAGTAAGAAAAGAGTATGAAAATTCATTTCAAACACGAGCGTTAAATTTTATTCTAAACGAAGTATTTTCAATTTGTCTTTTCTCGTCCGCCCTCTTCCCTCCACCCCATCTTCCATCATCTATCCATTCAAAAAAGATACTCTGCAGAATGCACATTCATATAAACATGAAAGTTGTAAAATTAGTAAGCATACTTGCCAAACATTATTATTTTAAGTAATAACAGCAGTAGTAGCAGTATCAACAACCACCGCCGCAGCAGCAATATATATCTCAATAAATACTGAATTTTTTTTCTTTAAAGCTTGAAATTAGTAATGTTTTAAATTGTTTGCTAAAATTCAAAAAGATTATTTTAACGTAACATATTGCTTGCCAAAACATACAAATGCTTTAAGTGCATTGAGGATGTCAGGTGTTATCAGTCTTCGCTAAATCATAATTTATGATAGAAACCGGAGTTGCAATTTGTCGATCTTGCCAAAACAATAAATACATTTATTTACTTTTACCTCGCATACATACAATGAAAAAGAGTAAATATATGTGATAGATGAATGCCTGTGTATTGATTTAGCCGAAATATATATTCATAACTTAATTTTGATAGAAACAATGAATTCGTATAGCAAAAAGTTAACATTTAATGACCAGTGATCAGAACTTATTACCAATGATATATGGAAATGGAATAGTAATAGAAAAAGTTGTGTGATTTTGGTTATAATTAAAACATAATGGAATATTATATAATCAATTTTCTATGAAGTTTATCTCTTTTATCTTTTCATAATAGCAAGTATTATAATGATTTTATAGCGCAATTAGCATAATTAATAAATTCATAAATTTTTTTTTCTAAATAAAAATGAATGAATAGAAGTATAATTTATTAATTATCTGCTTTACAGAACTTCCATATTTTTATTTTTGATAGCAAATAGCTAAGGTATATATAATTATTCTTTTTAAAATTTCAATATCATATAGAATCATTTTCGAAAAAAATTTCAACTTCAATATTTCAGAATAAAATGAAACTTTTGAATGGTACAGAAAATACTCTGCGGTTTTATATTTAAGGAGATCTAATCATAAAGTTAAAATTTAAGACTAAAAATTTTGATCAAATTCATTTCCAAGACAAAGAAACTGCAAGTCTAGTCATGAAGTGAATTAATTTATAAGCAAATGCTTTATATATTCAAATTGAATTAATTTATAAACAAATACTTTATATTCAACTTCGATTATTCATTATATCTTTCTCTCATATCAATTTTGCAACTACAAAGAAGTTAAACAGAACAGGGTCAAAATTTTGGAAAAAATATTGGTATAAGAAACGCATAGGGATAAAATAGCATAGCATTAACTTGACCTTTGTTAACAATGGAATCTGATATTTGGAATTTTCATTTTATTTTTCATTAATTTGAAAGAATGATTGTCTCAAATTTTTTTCAGTGGCACTTCGTTTTTCGCTTCTTGGTAGCAATGGATAAATCGACTAGGCCAAGATTGTACACTTTGCCTTGGTACTGTTTCGGTACGTCGAAACGATCAACTACCTCGCATCTCTGAAATTAAAATTAAATTTAGAATGAAACAGGGAATTTAAAAATTACAAACTGTACTAAATTTGGGATTTCATGCATTGAATTAGTGATAGGAAGTGATATTTAGTAAGTTAAAGGTCAAATAAGTTATGGTTAGGGTTTTGAATGAATGAATGATATACTTAAATTTTACCACATCATGAACTCCTCCATTCTGACAGTAATGATGTAGTTTTAAATAAGGCTCGATATTTCGTAATTCCCTTGCCTGGCCAAATACCTTGAATTGACCCAAGTCGTTCGTATATGTTGTATTCAATTTATCATCCGGACCTACTGCAAAGCAGAAATTTTCAAATATTATTGTTAAAAAAATAAAATTTTAATCTTTGATGAAATCAAGAACCAACCAGTATCCGCCTCCCAAAGTTCAACTTTCACATTGGAATAATAATTTCGACCACAATTTAGTTCACCCGTTACCGTTACATTCTTCATTCTCCCAATGAGACCGTAAGCAAAGGGTGAAATGGTTAATAGTAATAAAAGCTGAGAACGAAGCATAATTAATCCTTCAATATCTGAAATTAATTACCGAAAAATAATTATAAGACTGGATCGATGAACTAAATGATATCATTTCCTGCAGGGACTTCGATCATCTCTAATAGGGATCATTAGAGAAAAAAAGGTGTAAATGCTAATATTGAAGAAATAAGGAACATTTAAAGTGAAGTGAAATGAAACAATATTTGAAGAAGGTAATTGAGAGAGGGAGAGAGAGAAAGAGGATCGTTACAGGGAAGGCCAAGTGCACACACACCATCCCGATCACTTTACACATACCAATGTTGGGGCAGGCCATCTCGATGCAAAATAATTTATTGTTTTGTCTTGTTTATTTTCAGATGAATTTGTTGACGATAGTAGAAAAGTAGTTGAAAAGTGATCACTCATTGATTGATTAATTAATTTTTGCGTTTCTTTTGAATGCTCATTAGATGGCTCAAACGTTTGATGGTTTGAACTAACCTTAAGTTATTTTTCTCCTTATTTGGCTCCTTTTGAAGGCACATCCATTTAAAACTATTGTATAAAATCAATTAAATGCTAATCGGATTCTACGTTTCATAGAGAATACTCACAAAGCATCAAATGTTAGACCTAATCTATCAGTGGTCATCATTATATCATTGATCAACCATTTTCTTCATAGATATAGAATGCTAAAAACGTGGGCGCCTTTTTAAAATTTAATATTTCATCGAAATTCATTTTCATTTCTATTTCAGGTATCATACTTTGCTAACTATTATTTAACTCTGATTGCTTGGAAAAGATTGAAATTGTAATGGAAACATTAACATTAGTCTATATAATTTAAAAGAGAAAATAATTAAAAATGAAAAACATTGTTTAAAAATTTTTTTAAAGATTGCTACTTTGCTAATTCTATTTGTTGGGAAACGCAAAAGATTTGCTGAAGTAGCACTCACTAAGACTTTCAAAACAGCCGACATCATTTGAAATTACAATGAAGTAAATACAAATTCACTTCCAGATTTAATACATCTAACTTTACGCTACTCTTCTTACTCGTAGTACATCGCTTCATTCAAGCATTCCTTTTGCAAACATTACATTAATGGTTGGAACACAATTCTGTTAGTAATGTTTTGATGTTGTACGACGAATTTCCTTTTTTTTATTCGCAATAATTCCGTAATCATTTGATATCTCCTGATATATACCTATTAGGAAATCTAATGGAATGATAAATCAATTGATATGTTTCATTTCAACTGATTTTTTTCTTTCCTATTTAATATTCAGACATGAATGAAAATGGTACTACTTGAGCTACACATTCATAAGATAATATTCAATTTGAAGAAATGTATAATATTGTTTACTCGCTTCTTTGATTTAGTAAAAAATTTGTTAAATAACTTATTACCTCTATATCTTATGCATGAAAATCTAATGGATGCTGTTTCGCATCACTTTGCTTTTAACTATCATAAAAACTGATCAATGCTTTTAGCTCTCATTAAAATTGATGAGTGCTTTTAGCTCTCATAAAAATTGAATAGTGCTTTCAGCTTTATATAAAAATTTATAATGCCTTTAGCTCTCATAAAAACTGACTAAAGCTTTGAATTTGATTAAAAAGAACAGCGGCGAATGCAAATAGATATGAATATCCGTTCCATTCACTTATCAAATTAACTAATAAAGTAAATGATTTCATTTGTATGACACATCGATATAATGTAATGAGAAAATGACGACCTGTTTTTTTTCGTGATTTCTTATTTTGGTAAGAAAAATCTAAGTGAGTGAACATAATGATAATTTAGAATCCATTCATTATTTTCGATCACAAACTGTTTGTTTGTTGTAAGCTTCCTTTAGATCTTGCAATAGATTACGTCCCAATATATTTCCAGCTGTCAGCAAAGCACTGTATAATACACTTGCAATACCACAAAAGAGAACATCTTGTCCTAAAAGTTTTTTCTCAATTTTTCTAAAATATTTTATTACGAATCCAACTTTTCTAAAATAACTTCCACTTTAGTCATAACAATCGATGAACCATAAAGAGAATTTTCAAAATTAGGAAGGAAGATAATTTTCAGGATGATACATAAATCAATTAACTGATGAAACCACAAGAATGAGATTGATTACAGGTAAAATATGCTTTAATGAATATGCTCAGTCGAAAATTCAAAAAGATGAAGAGGATGCAAGCAGAATCAATAAATACACTTAAAACGTGATAAAAATTATCGATTAAGGAATTTAAAAACACCTATTCATCTAAAAACACCTCACAATTAAAATTTCAACCATTTACAAAAATTAAAGAGCACTAAGGAAAAAATTATATAAACCTACCTGAAAGGTAGAGACCAGGTAAATCTGTTTTGCACCTTAATTCGCTCCAAAATTTCAATTTAAACCGATCAAGTTGTTGTGTTAATGAGTAGTATTCGCCATGCACATTTTGCATATAATATTGTTGAGTTAATGGAGTTGAAAAATTAACATACGTTATCTGCAAGACGAAATTCCAGCATTTAATAATGTTCAACTCAAATCTCTTTCTATCTATGAAGAAATCATGCATAACTTCTGGTTCCAATCACAAAAAATTTGAATTATTATTAGATTAGAAAGTTTTTCTCTGTCATCTCCACACCTTGAAAAAAAGCCACAATTCTTCAATTTGATTTCTTAAATTTTGTCAAGCTTTTTTTTTTTAAAGAAAATTTTGAACTTACATGTGATTTAAGATTTGGAAACAGGGTCAAGAATTGACTTACTATCAATTCACCAATTAAATGTTTCAATTCCGTATACTTTGATCCATTCAATCGTTTTATGAATTTCTTTCTAGATGTATCTTTAAATTCTTCGAACCAAGCAGGATTTGCTAGCGAAATTAATTGACATGTCGAAGTGCCTGGAAATGCCGCTAATTTTAAAAAAATATGTTCGGAAAATAAATCTGCCCATACCTTTAATTGTCAACATACGATTCCAATAGTCAATAATCGTTATCACAAATTATGCACACAGTGTCCAAATGTACAAATTGATGGTTTCCAATAATAATCCCACTCAAAAACTGTTTAAAAATTGATTAATTTGGATAGTTATACCAGGATTTCGTTCATCCCATGTTGGATCTTTGGCTGATGGGAAGGAGATAAAAATTTGCGGTGGACAACCATACTCTATTGCTTCTGAGAATGACAAACTGAAATTTCAGTCATATTTCTAAAATGTCACAAATAAAAGTTCAACAGTTGAATATAGAGAAAATTCTGTTTTATACATTAGCTAGTAGAAAATTTTGTTACAAAATCATTCTGAAATAAGCATATCTCTCCAAAAGTTATGAATGTGTTTAAAGAAAAAATTCTATTGCTATCGTATCCCACAACGAACTGAACTGTGGCGTGAATATATCTAACAACATGTTAACAATGTCTTTCTTCTTTATTATTCGATGGTTGACATTGTTATGTAAGTTTGTAAGGAGTGATAATTTCAGATTATCAAAATAACCAACCTTAAATAATGATCGAACTCATAAGGATTATTATTTTTGTACCAAAAAAAATTATTCGATGGTAACTGGAAATTGCTTTGGGTTCCAGATAAACCAATATATGCTTGAAATCCACCAACTGGCACGATGTCCAGTGAATTAAGTTGATTAACCATTTTAAACATAACTGCAAAAATATGAGAAATTTCGTTTACATATAAGAAAGGCTTTCGGATTATCAAAATAATCAACCTGTATTCGATCAATATTTAGTCATCCAAAAAGTTACCCGAATTTTGAGTGATACTTTGAGGTATTAGCTCATTGAATGTTTTAATAATTGGAGCTGTTGAAACAACCAATGCTGTTTGAATGAAATATTCACAACAGCCATGTTTTACCTTCACTCCTAAAATTCGAAACTTCAGGATTTTATGAAACAATTACAACCATTGCCAATTATCGTCGAATATAGAATAATATAAATTGAAGTGCTGATTTTATATTTGGATGTTCAGCAATACAGCCTTATCAAATTGTAAATTTTGTTTTTGTATTCACAGCAACCTTAAGGCAGTTAGAAAGAAATAAAAAATGGAATCCTATTGCTGAGATCATCTACAAACACAAACATAATCTCCTGAAAGAAAAAAAAGAGTTGCAGAATAATTTCAAAGTTAATAACCATTGACCCTCCCACTATCAAACACAATTTGTTCCACATCTGCTTGCACAATTACTTTTCCGCCAAATTTTTCAATCGAACGAACGATGCTAGCTATAAGTAATGCTGCACCACCTATTGGATAATATCCATTTTCCATAAGAAATAGATGATGTTGAAAGAATGATGCACGATTGGGTGGAACACCTGAAAACTAATGTTGAAGCTAAACGTGGCTTCAAGGATTGAGTCAAATATATTCGACTCTAATTCCTTTATGGAATCATTAAGCAGTTAGAGATCCATCCTTGACACTTTTTTTGGTTTTGAAAAGGATTGCGTAATCTCTATACAATTCCTATAGCACAATAGATTTATTTTAACAAGCTTTAAATAAACAGAGAAATGATGAAATGCTAGTTAGTCACTCAAAAGCATATCAAATAAATGTTAGGTGAAGAAATTTTGAAACAGACAACAACGAAATGAATTCGAAAAAACTAAAAAAAATTTGGGCTGTTTAGATATAAGAAAATAAAAGGATAAGTGAAATAAGTTACTTAACTGACGTAAATGTAAAGTAAAATTAAGAAAATAAGAGAAGTTAGAGCATTAGATTTCTTCAATCACTTCGAAAAGTAGCAAATATAATACAACGAAATAATGGATTTGTTCCATTTAAAAACTTACCGTAATTAACAAAATAATAACTGATGACAGCTCTCACTTCAGCACTAAGTCCATAGTTCTTCATAACATCCAATAGGTTCAATTCGAAATATTGGAATAATTTGGTAAAGGAATTGATAAAATTGAATTTGGAGAGTAAGTGGATGAAGAACAGCGGTATGAATTTTACACCAATCAACCACCAAAAATTGGTATTGAAACATTTCTGAAGTTAAAATCAACTTTTGAAATTCACTTAATTTGATTTTTATTTACAAAAAGAAGACATCCTTTTTGCAAAAAGGGATTATCCTCAGCATTTAAACTTATTCAATTAACCTCCAGAACAGAATCAAAGTTAGAAGATTATCCATTCCACTCCATATCTTGAGCAAAATCTTCCTCTTCTCCGTTCGTTTTCTCCTTTTCCACAATCATTAGATTACAAACTTCAAACTCACTGAAACATAATCAAAATAGCTTTCGATACTATCCGCTTCTTTTGAAAACCACAATTTTAACTGATCACGAAAATGCATACTATCCCCAGCTGTTCGACCATAATATCGTTTTCCAATTATTACCTTTAAAATAATAAATTTAAATTATCTTTTTGATTCCATTTTTAATTGATTTTAATTAAAGGCGTTGATTAAATAACAACTTTGAAAAGATAAATGTACAGTGTCGAATGGTTCATCCATTTCTTGCCACTTTACTTGTGAATCTGTAATGGCTGAACAAATTTGATATAGCTCTTTTCCAGAATACATATCCTGCACATAATGCAAACCTGAAATTCTCATCAAGAAAATGAAAAATTGAAATCAAAAGTATGATTATAACAATAATTTCTAATTTACTTTATCACAAGCCCGATATCGATATTCCGAAAGTGCTTAAGTTGGCTTGTGCTCTGAGACAAACTCTTAAAAGCAAAAGAAGAGGAAATTTTTAAAGGCTGAGGTAAAGACTCACAATCAGGATGAACGTCTGTTAAAAACTAAGTGCTTTTGGCAGACGCCTTCATACATCTATAAGAAGCCTATTAATATCAATATTTCTTCAGCTGTTCTTCGGATGCAATAAAATTTTAAAGGGTAGAAAAACTAACCAACATCAAATTCATAATTGTTAAGTTTAAATGTATGACATGAGCCACCAGCTCGATCATGCTGCTCCAGCACAAGCACTTTACGACCCGCAGCTGCCAGTACTTTTGCTACTGTTAGTCCTGATAAACCTGATCCAATCACAATCACATCCCACTTTTCATCAACAATCAATGGATTAAATCTGAAAATACTTTTTTTTTAAACGTAACTGCAGTGAAAGTGCACACAAAATTTTGTAGTATGTGGGAGCGTCATAATGAAATGTTGTTCTAATTTAAAAGTTTCAATCGGAATGGAAACGATCTATCACGGCATGTGGAACTTCGAATACAAAAAAAAATATCAAAAACATACCTATTCCTTAGGATTTTGTGAATTTGGTCAGTGGATAGTGGTGGATCAATAGATTTACCGGTACAAATCATTTTCAGAAAACAATTACCCGCATCATGACCACGTTTTAATATTTTGAGTAGTATGTAGAAGAAAATAGATACGATTGCAAAGATCACATATATTTTTGGAATCATTTCTGGAACAAACTTTAAATAAAGACCACACATGAACTCTTTGGCACTACAATTCATTTTCATAATGATCATATTTACTTATTCAAAAAATTTTGTTACTTATGTGATAGACTGATCGTTAGCTACAATTACCTAACACCAATGAAAACCTTCCTGGCCTAAGTTTTCCAATTTAAACAGGAAACTTCCCAGTTCATTCAAAACTTCAAACCCGAAATTTGCAGATGTAAAAAAATGATGCAAATGAACAATACGGAAAGGAGAAAACAGTTAACTGAAGTTGGCAATATTTCGCTATGAGTTTTAATGAACATACCGCACTACACATCCAACTATTATTATCTACGTCTAATAAAAACTCAACAATTTCATGGCACGATTCCTGACCATTACCTATTACTTGTTCCTCATTCTACTATCTCAACTGTCTCATCAGTCTGTTTGTTTTAACAAGGTCCCGCTCCATTATATACCAATTTATTTAGAAAGTGCACATACGAAAAATCAGCCAACCTTGCCCTATTCCCACAGTGCTATGGTTAATCAGTTTCATATACGGTTGGAGAATGGAAGTCTCACTAATTTCTTCACTTTCACACAGTTTTCCAGATCACTTCAATAGATATTTTCATCTTTATCTTAGCAAACTTCACAGAAGTAAACATCTTGTTTAACAAGAATCAGAAGTGAATATTTCAAAGATGAAATTCCCTATAAGAGCGTGGAATTCTTAAAAATTCGGTTGATATAAAAACAAAATTGATGGCGTGATTATTCGAGGCAAGTGAGGAATTGTTTCGAGATACGTTACGGGTAAAAATGCGAGCACAACGTGTTATGATTTACTGGAAATTGATTAGCAAATAAAAGTACACAAAAGATGGTGCAATTAACTAAAAAACATAATCAGTATGCATCAAAAACATCATATGCATTCATCCAAATTTAACAAAATAACGAAATTGGACACTAATTCTCACTTCCAGACTTGCAACTTCAGCACTCTGAATGCTCCTGAGAAAATACATAAGTCAAAATCATTCAGCACTGTGGTACTCACGCTCCACTAAAAATAAACAACACATCATAATGTAATAATTAAACATCGAACTGAGAGGCATAATCGGAAAACAACACCCGTCCGATCTTCGGATCAGTACATTCCTCCCATACCGCCACCCATACCACCACCCATTCCAGCTGCCATTTGAGGCTCCTCTTTTGGCATTTCCGTCACCACACATTCCGTTGTAGCCAACAACGATGCAACGCCGGCTGCGTCCTAAAAATCAACTTTGCTTTTTAAAATATCTATTCAATAAGAGAGTTAAAACATTTTTATAATGATTTCAACAGTATCCAGCAACGAAGTATGTCCAGAAAAACTTCTTACATACACATCCCCACACACAACTATCAAATAGCTGAATGACCATTTCAGAGCTAAATATAAATCCATCCAGTCAGAAAGTGATTTCCTAACCATTCTAGCAAACTGACAAAATATCTTTCAAAATAAGCTGAAGTTTTTAGAAGTCTAGTCCTGTCCTGACACTGTCTAACCGTTGTTACTGAGATTACTGTAACAAGAATTCTTCGGAAAAGACTGAGACGACGGAAAACCTACACATTATTCTGCCTTCAGAATGAAAAGTGAAATATATCACGGAGAGAAAAACTACCTGCAGAGCAGTTCGAATAACCTTCGTAGGATCAATGATCCCGGATTTGAACATATCCACAAAAACATCATTCATGGCATCATATCCGAACGCCAATTCGCTGTTAGAAAGTACTTTTTCCACAACAGAAGATGGATCAACACCAGCGTTCCTCACAATTGTCATGATTGGTTCACGTACTGCTTTTTGCACTATTCGGATACCTGAACTAACCACAGTGAATCTTTTTATGAAAACTATAGATTAAACATAATGCAATTATAGATTAATGACATAATGCACATAATGCAATTATAGATTCAATTATACAATTATAGATTAAACATAATGCAAAAAAATGACCTTTATCTTGATCAATATTCTCTCCTTTAATATTTTCGATAGCTCTCACAGCGCGAAGGAGTGCAACACCTCCACCTGGTACAATACCTTCTTCAACAGCTGCTCTAGTAGCATTCAAAGCATCCGTAACGCGATCCTTTTTTTCGTTGACCTCTACTTCACTAGCGCCTCCTACTTTCAGGACTGCAACACCCTTTGAAAGCTTCGCCAACCGTTCGTTCAATTTCTCCTACAATAAAATTGTCATTGTAAAATTTTTTTTTACAACGGGAAAGAACCATCTCTGAAAAACAAGACAAAAAGAACTTTTTTAAAAGTAATTAAACTCACCTTTTCATATTCAGATGTGCTTTGCTCCAACTCATCTTCAATCATAGCAATTCGCTTCTCCACGTCTTCAGATTTTCCCTGCAAATAACTTCCAAAATTACACCTCATATTACGCTGTAAATTATGATTCATACAACAAGTAAAAAATTTTATTTTAGGAGAAATTTTTTAAACATTTTAACAAACTCGTGATATATATAATCCTTCATTATCTAATTATACCTTGCCACGCAATATAAGTGTATCATCTTTTGTAATTGAAACTTCTTCTGCTTCGCCGAGATCACTGATCTGAACATCTTCAATTTTCAGCAAATTAGCATCATCTCCGAAGACTGTTCCACCGGTAGCTATTGCCATATCCTTCAGTGTATTTTTCCTGTTATCTCCAAAACCGGGTGCCTTCACAGCTGCCACTTGGAGACCAACCTGGAATACATAAATTAAACCAATATTGTTCTCATATATAAGCGAGGGCTATTTCATATAGGTTTTTTTTCTCCTGAAGATTTCATTAGGTCTTGACGACTAATACTTAGTTAGACTTTTAATTATTTGTCCGTATTAAAAATGAACTATCAAAACAGCCTCGTAAGGACCGTAAACATTCGATTCAATCGTATCGTTACATTTTATATTCAGGGACAAAAATAGGAGCGTTAAATTCCTATCTCCCTTTCAATTCAGCAAATATGCGTTGGAAATGTTACCTTTAACCTATTCAGCACAAGAGTAGTAAGTGCTTCGCCATCTACATCCTCCGCGATAATTACAATTGGCTTTCTGTATTTGTTCGCCAATTCAAGGGCTGGTACAATATCCTAAAACAAACGCACCAAATATAGAAATTGTTTGAAGGCATAAAAATCGTCACTTGCCGTTTGAGAATTCAATAACTAAATAGGAAGCAGTTGCGATATAGCTATACAGATAGGTTCTAGTACACAGTGATCTTGACTACGCAACAATAATTTTTTGCAAGAACTTGTTAGCGAAGATCAATACACTGTCTCCTCTTCTATTCCAGACTCCACAAACATTCATTTATGACAGTCGTTTACAAATTCATATTACAGAAAGATTATCACTTACCTGCACTTGACTGATTTTTTTTTCCGAAAACAAAAGAAGACATTTCTCGAACTCCACTTTCGCTCCTTTTGTGGTGTTGATAAAATACGGAGAAATGTATCCCCGATCAAATTTCATCCCTTCGATCGTCTCCAACTCATCATACAGCGTTTTACCATCCTTTACTGTGATTACACCCCTATTTCCAACCTAAAATTTTCATAACCGACTACGGATTTTTTCCTACTTCTGATATATAAGAAAAACAAAGCGATGAAGCAATAATAACAGTGATTTGCTGAAATGCAATCTTAAATCAACCAAATAAAACTGACACCCAGGGGCATTTCTCAGACAAGATAAAGGAAAAAATCTCTGACTTTTTATTAACTGATGACGGGCTTGGGCATGTTGCCATGCCACGGAATGTGCTGCACATTCTTAAATAGATGTTTCTTTGCATGAAAAGGACTTGGAAAAGTATGCAATTAAGCGAAACACAAAACCATACTTTTTTCATCGCCTCGGATATCAATTTCCCTACAGTGGAATCACCATTTGCTGAGATTGTTGCTACCTGCGCAATTTCTTCTGGAGTTGTCACATCTTTGCTCATTTTCTTCAGTTCAGCAACCAGTAACTCTACGGCATTCATTACTCCTACATAACAGAAAGATAACTATCCAGAAAAGACCTAATTACAACACTGATTAATATAATGACTCAGTGTCTAAGAAGGAAACGCAAGCAATTCCTTTTTCACGGAAGGCATCTCAAAAACATTCATTTATAAATTATTGCTACACCACACTCAACTTAAATTAACTACTGTTAAACTTTACAAGTCAAATTAACTCAAAAATGATTTGTGAAAGAATGTTGAACGGAAAGAGCTAAAGATATTTGATAATGCAAAGCTAGATATAATATTATTATGAATAAAACAGGTATTAAGCTTTGATGTCCCCCAAGAAATATACCTCTTCGCACTTCCACTGGATTGGCTCCTTTGCTGATATTCTCGAACCCTTCTTTTGCAATTGCTCGAGCTAAAACTGTAGCGCATGTGGTACCATCGCCAGCCTCTTCATTGGTTTTGTTTGCTACATCCTGAAAATACACGACATCATAGAAGCACCGAGATCAAGCCTATTATATCCCAGAGTTTGATGATATCAATTTTATAAATTCGCTTCTGCTTGCCTGGACCAATTTTGCTCCCAGGTTCTTGTATTTGTCTTTGAAATCGATTGCTTTCGCCACAGTAACACCATCTTTTGTGATCTTTGGACTTCCCCATGACTGCTCAATTACAACATTTCTTCCCTGAAACGAATAAGCTATGAGACAGCTGTGATTAATACAAAAATTTCTTTTCTTTCTTATCAAACTGGACGTCAAATTTTAATTTTCTAACAACCATAATCATCTTATCATTAATTCCAAGAATCGGAAAACGTGTCAAATACAACCTTCGGCCCCATAGTGACTGCGACTGCATCAGCTAGAGTATCTACACCATAGAGCATTGAAGCGCGTCCATCAGCGCCAAATTTTACATCTTTTGCGTAGTGCCTTAGACTTGACCGTATTGTACGTGAAACAAGTCGTGCCGTCGATTGTCCGCCGATAAGGAACATTTTCGCTTCAATTCTAAGCCTATAAATTAATCGAAAATGTTGGCATATTGGATGAAATGAAGTTTGCGTACAAACAAAATATGTCCAGATAGCTATCCATCACAATGATAGGAGATAGTTATCTGGGGCTTATTTCAGCGAAGTCAGCCAATGGTATCAGAATCGTTGATGACCTCATCCCTGGAAATCAGATCAGCATTCCCCCCCACTGGAAAGTCCACCATCTCGTGAACTCATCGACCCTGCTCCATAAGTCCATTATTTGGTACCTCGTGTTCATCCAGAAAGGTTACACTCAGCGAACAATCACTCGTTCAAAGAGCTCCCTATGAGACACACAAATTCCTGATCATCATACGATATGCAACACCGTGTCACATTTGTTGGGCACATGTGAATTAATCTTAATCTTTTCCATTTCTCAAAAAAATTGTTTAACAAATCACGTAAAAAATGACGTCATTCAGATGTGCACCTCAGACGTACACGATAAAAACCCTCGGTACCACCTATAAAATCTAAAATACACTATCATATCTTGCCACAGTAATAGATAAAGTAATAGATAAAATGAGGTAAAAGATGTGTAGCACTGTCTTACACGTGTCTTTTAGGTAGGATTGTACAAGTAGAAGTGGTACTTATCTGTATGGTACCTGTGAGACCAGCAAAGATATCTACAAGACCAAGCAGCCCTGAAAAACTTACGATAATCCCTAAACAGATGCACACAATAGTACAGTGAAGAAAGAGACCGATGCGCAGCGTAGAATGTTCTGGAAGGTATGGAAGGGCGTCCGCCTTCCCTCTACACATTGAACTTTCTCTCTCATTTATTCCTTTCTCTTTCTCTCTTCTTCGTTCTTCCTCATTATCTCTGCCCGTCTCAGAATAACCTATGCTTGGGATCATCCTTCATATGCTTCATTTATTCAGAAGTCTTCTGGAACTTTCCATCGGTACACCGTCTCTGATTCTGATAGTCTGTTTCTCTGTCTATTTGTTTGTCCATCTTTCAGTTTTCAGTTCGGGACTTATTGGGGGAAATGTTGAATTAAGAATTTAGGGGGATGTTAAGGCCTTGTACTGTTTGATTGGGAAATGCGGTCACGCGGTTTAACACGCTAAAACTTAGATATCACTCCTATGTTTCGTTTTTTATGCTTACTGTTGTCGGTAGGTGATAAATTTTCTGAGTTAACCCAATGACTGCATATTATTTCATCATTGTTTAGTTTTCTCTGAAGCAGCCACGCTTAGACGTCTGACAAAGGTTTTCTGTTTTAATGACTCTTATTTTTTAAACGAAAAATCGATTTTGATTAAATCCTTTACTTGTACATGATAATTCTTTTCAATGTTAGCTACAAGATTTTGTTATCGATTGCAGGGAAGAGAACTTAATAATGGCGTCCGTTTCAATAGCAAGGAAAGCTGTAAGTTTCTTTTTTCCATAGTATAAAATTGATCAGTAAGTTTTTAAGTCGTAGGTGTAGTTTAAATGATATTTTTTTAATCATCTTTCATAACACTGTATACGATACGAAGCGGATATCATTTTTCAAATCAAATATCAGCTCTCACTTTGTCGAAAGATGTTATCACGTCATGCGGCTCAGATAGCATGTTTCATTAGAGTAATTGCTGGGAACAGGATGAGAAAAGAAAAAGGAGGTTGGAGAAGCGGTAGCCACTGTGTGACCTATTATCCAAGAGTCTTCAAATTTTTTGCAAACTCTTCGCTCTCAGTTTTTTCTTTTGTTTTTGAAAGATATAATTTCAGCTCGGTGACTTGGTCAAGGCATTCAAGCCATTAGCGGATAGAGTATTGGTGGAACGGTTTGCAGCAGAAACAAAGACGAAAAGTGGAATAATGATCCCTGACAAAGCGCAGGGAAAAGTTTTGGAAGCAACGGTAATTTCTACTGGGCCCGGTGGACGTGACAACAAGGGAAATTTAATCCCGATGACTGTTCAGGTAACAAGTTTTCGATTACTTAACTACCGAAAATTAAGCTTAAAGTAGATTCGTCACACAAATTACGTCGGGTGATTTCCTGTAGTCGGTATTCCAGAATTATTAAATTTGGTTTCTGATATTTTAAAACGCAACAGATAGCGTAATTGAGATAGTCGGGTAAATTCATTCTCACTGGAAGATTTGATCGAAATAGAGTAGTCATCATCCAACAACTGTGTGCAGCTTGTATAGTGAAAAAAGTTTAGTGCGCATTATTATCCTATTTAGAATTTTATGATGCAAAATGCAGCTCCGTTATAGGCAGGAGACCATGTTTTACTTCCTGAATATGGCGGTACAAAAGTTGTTGTTGATGAAAAGGAGTACCACATATTTCGAGAGGCAGATATTCTCGGAAAATTCCACCAGTAAGCATCGGCATGAGTTATAAATGTGCGATTAATGTTATTTTTTATATTTTTAAGAGTCGTCGTACTTCATGCATAAAATGAAATCATTTTAACAGTAAGTACAATACTAAGCAGGGAATTTCTGGATAAAGATTTTAAACACTCTTCTGAATGCTTTTTAGAGATGCAGGATATCTATCTAGTAGGGAATCTTTGGAGAGATAGGATCCAATGACCTGCCCGGATGATCTATGTTCATTGTAGTCCATGTCTATGTAGCTCTATATTACTTTATTACAGTTGTTTTGTTGAATTCATTTCCGAATAAAAATTTAACCGCTAACATAGTCTTATAATTGTTAAGATTGACATCGCAATTTTTAAAACTCTTCTCAAACACGACTACACCATTTGAACAGATTATCAAATCTAAAGATACAATATATCATCAGCATGCGATTTGACAAGTACACCTTTAATGAGTTTGAGTGAAGACATGACATCACTGTTTCGTTTGTTGAAGGATCTGTATTATAAAATGCAGTGAAGAAAAGAAAGTTTAGGGGAGGGATTCAAACTGAAATTAAGTTATAGATGTTGGATATCTGTGGTTTGATTTCAGTGTCTTCAAAAAAACACTTTCAAGTACAGCATCATTTCATAGCCACAGTCAGTAGAAATCTCGATACTATATGGTTTATGCGAAATGAATTCCTGGAGGGACGGAGCAAATGTTTTTTCAAACATCTTCACCCAGAAAGTGTTATAAGCACACGACCACTATATATAATCACAGTAAATAGAACAAATACTGTACACGAACACAAGTGTTTTATACATAGATGCAAAGATCATTTCCACTGAACAATAAACTACTAAGTTTGGAAAATGTGGCAAACCACCCAAAATTGATTTTTTTGAATTAGCAACTTATTTTATCCTATTAGTCGCAATACTCAAGTGCGAAGTGCTCGGCTTTTAATTGCCAGGTATATCTCACATAAAATGTCCACAAAGCAAAAAGTGTGCCTCCCAAGTAGCAGATGAACTTCGTAAGAATAGTGATGAATAAATGTTATAATAAATTTTGAGATGGTAGAGAGCAGAAATTGCTTACATTGGAAATAGGAAGATATTTAAAATTGCTCGAACGAATCACCATTTGTGGCTGGTGGCTTTGGGACGAAAGCTATAGTATGTTTTCCTTTCGCAACTATTCGACTATCGCCTTTTCTTCGGAATTCGGCTTCCGCAAACGCAATGTTCCGGCCAATTTTCAACACTTTTGCCTCAATTTCGATCGTTTCACCAAGTTTCACTGGTAGCAAATAACTGAAAAAGAAAACATGCATCACTGATGATATGAGTTCATGACGTTTCAAAATGTTTTTGTCACCGACTCTATAGATCTTGAAATAAGACTGATGAGGCTTTCGCTTGCATAACAGGGTCCGACGAGACATTGCTGAACAACAAAACTCGGTAACTGTCCACAGGCATGTTATGTCTTGATATTTCTTGATTTGATACTGATATCCCTGGAAATCATTTTCACGCATACGTACATACATACTTAAATAAACCATAAATATAGATAAATAAATATATACATATGTATAACACACATTTATACAAATTCACAAACATATATGCGAACGTTTCTATCAATAATTGTTTTAACACAACGTTAGAAGTATATTGTTTGAACTTAGATATATGAGTGGAAATTTGAAATGTTCAATAAAAGTATAGCTACCTGACAGCAAGTTCGACAGAGACCATAACTTTATCTCGTACGGTCATTCCAACTGCCCGTGCGGTTATCATATCCACAAGTGCAGCAGTTTGACCTCCATGTAAGGTCTTCTTACTATTGAGGTGCTCCTCCTCCACCATCATCTCCACTATAATTCGGTCAGCCGAAGCCGATACTGCTTGTATCTGCAATTAGCTACCATCTTACTTTGCAATTACGTATCATCCATCTACTTACTTTTGGTAACTACTATGAGTTGATGAATTAGGACGGTAAATGCTTACTGATCAAATTCATTAGCTAAGAATAATGGATGATATCTGCTGCTAGGTTTTTTCAGTTCTTTCGAGCTTATATCATACCGATGCCTAATTCATTATTTTTTTATCCGAAACGACAAAAAAAAGAAAGGTGCTTGTGATTCTTTTATCAAATTGATATTAGATTGAGCCTTTATCAGCAAAAAAGTTAACCTTACGAGCAACGCGATTAAAATCGTTGGCGCAACGGATATTATTGATGGTTCTGTTCAAATAATCCAAATAATCGTTCCTTTCCGAAGTGGCCGCCCCAGTGTTACCGTAATCATTGGTACCCATTACAACAATAATTCCTTCCTGCACATATTCCAATTATGTTAAACAAATGGACCTATCAATAGTTACTTTTTTTTCCCCCTTCTTTCCTTATAGGTCACATTAGCTCCACTTGCTATCTGACCCTTACTTTTCTATCAATACTCATATACTCAAATCAATACTCAAAATCCCCTCCTCTTAGCAACCAAACTTCCGATAGACGATCTCATATATGCGGGCCACATTTCACTACAACACTTGGCACACTTCTGGCACGGCCTCAGGAGTGAATAATGAATGAATCGATTGGGATTAGTATTCATAATTTCGTCCCAATTCAAATTAAAGTTTAAATTTCGTCTGACAGTTCGAGCTTTTATTTACCGATGCTACTTACGTCAAATTTTCTATCTGTCATCTCCCGTCATCTAACTGTTGGAGAAGAGTTTTGAGAATGTTGAATTCCAGGGAATATACATTTTATAAAGTTTGGAATTTAAAAGGAAAAAATACGAAATTGATGTTGAATTGAACTGGCTGGAATAGAAGGAAAAGTGTCGGGTGTCCGATGAAAAAAAACGATAATCGTTGAAAGGAGGAAAGAAAGAAAAGAAGACGATGTGAAATAAAAGAAAGATCATTGTGATGCTAATTTATTACGATATAAAGAATCAAATAGCAATATGAGTGAGTGTTCATAGATAATTAAAGCCATGCATCTTAATCAAAAGATACCTTAAACACTTTTATATAAACCAGTGATATTAGCGATGGTATATTTAAGTCACTTCTTCTAATCTTTAAATTTAATCTTACAATTTAACGCTTTAAAAATTAATTCCATCATCTATCATTTGTGTCCTTTCATTATTATCATGCAAAAACAACTGGTATTTTCGAATAAACAAAGAATGAATATAGTGCGTGCAGTTTAATTAAGCTTTTGAGAATGTGTCACTATTAAAAACTTGATGCTAAAAGAATATGCACGAGAAACTCTATCCATTACCAAATGTTATTCTTCGCCTGGAAAACGAAAAGTTTTCTGTAAGAATTATATGCGGGAAATTATTCAGGATATCTTTGGATTTGTTCTCAAAACAATCAGTTGAGTATGATTGTATTGATCGCAACAATTACTAGAAATTTGAAATAATCTTGCCAAATAGTGCCATTAAATTATCATTTCTGAATGGGACATATTCTGTTTTAGAGAATTGATTATTTAAATAGAGTAGAAAACGGGCGATGTCAGCATTCATTCCCGATAGCTTGCAATACGTTGAACATCTGTATCGTGACATCTTTCTGTCTCAACACTTTTTAATCTAATTACAAGGAACTTAATAACGAATTATTACATTGATAAAAATGACTTAGTAATTATCACAAATATATCATCAGAGTGTGATTTCTTGCTAATCAAATGCATATCATCATATGCAAGCATATGCTGCCTAAAATGAATAGATATAAAATTGTTTAAATTATCTATTCAGAATTTTGTGTTTAGAAAAGAAATTTTTTCTTCTAAACATAAGATTATTTATTAGGATGAACTTTATATTTGACTCGTTACAACAATTTCTGCTATCGTCCGAACAACGAAATTGATAATTGATTTTCTACTTTTTATTTTCCATTCAATATTATCATCATTTGTCCTATCTCATCCAATAAGAATCGAACTATTATTAACTTATTTTGAGAACAAAGAAAAAAAACGAATGAAATTACCGTATCATTTAGACAATTTTGATTTTTTAACCATTAAAAATATTATCAATAAATTATCATTGATATTTTCAAGAATTGGATGAGATTGATACCAAATGGAATCGATCATTCATACTGCTTTATCAGAAATCATCCTCGCTGCTAATGTCCAACTTCTTATCATTCTCATTGCTTCGCTCAGATGCTGATTTCTCCTAAGAAAATTTTTCTTGTAAGTAATAGCAAAAGATTATGAGTGATATGGAGTTGAATGAATGAAAGATAATTTTGGAAGGAAAGAAAACCAACTAACACTTTTATTGCGATATGGGATATTATCGCCGTCATCAGCAGCATCTTCATCTGCATAAAAAATATCATTTTCTTCATCGTCCTTCTCTTCATCATCATCATTATTATCATCATCGTCTTCATCATCACTAATTCCTGCTCCGATCATATTACCAAATACTTTTGATCCTTGAATGAAAGCAAATAAGGGAAGCAATAAAAATGATACACATTATTTTAAATATCTCCGAAAAAATCAAAAACATCGATGAATAAGTGAGGAATTTAAAATTAAGTTGAAGATTATATGTTTTGTGACCTTTAACTTTTGATTTTATTGAATTTGCTTCTTCATCTAACTCAGCCATCCTGCAAGTAAGTTCATTAATCGATATGGTTAACTTTCCGTGGAAATTTTATTTCATCCGATAGTTTATTTTATCAGTAAAAATTATAAATATCATTGAAATATTTTCTTCGTTCAATTTTTCCCATAAAATTATATAATAAATTTTTGATAAATGTAATGAATAATAATTATTTTACTGCGCTTCACGAAGCACCAATTCTTGTGCACGCATGCGCTCAACCATATTGCGCATATTCTGTTCAGCATTTGCGTTACGTTCTTGCTCTGCGTGTTCAAATTCATTCTGAAAAAATTCTTCACTTTGGTATTAAAAAAACGAGAAATTTCTAATTAACAATGTCGTACACACACACACACACACACACACACACACACACACACATAATTATTTTTGGAACTAAAAAATGTTGAAAAAGAAAAAATTTTTTCATACCTGTAATTCTTGCAGAAATGCTACGTTTCTAAATTTCAACACATAAATGGCATATAACTGTTTCAATTTCATTTCATATTTCTCGTATTCATTCATACATTGAGGACGAAATGACTGAAATTTTACTTACCTTTCTACAATTTTAAATTTAGTATTTATTATAAAAGAAAAAAATGAGAATTGATAACTTGAATAAATGATCGAAGTATCATCTCGGATGATTTAATTAAGTTAATAAACACATCAACTATATTGCTATATTAGTTTGGCTGGTGCACAACTATCAATATCTTTCTAACTTTCATAAAATGATTTTACATTGTTAAGGAATAATGTCAAATCAATATAGCGCCTATTTGTTGTCTTAGTTAAAGTATTAAAGAAAAATCGAAATTACCTGTAATTTATCTAAACGTTTCAGTTGTTGATCATATTCCTTTTTTCGTCGTTCAATTTTGGCATCCAATGCTGCTTTATCAGAATTAACATTTTGCAAATTCTTATTTATTACAGCTAATTCTTCCTTTAAAATAATACGAAATTAAATAAACTTTCAATTCAAATTATTGGAAAAAAAAGGGAATATTTTCAATGTATTTTTGTTTTCTCTTAAATCAAAAATGATTAAGTTCTATGGAAGCGTTAATTAAGTTCTTCGTAAACATTCTAATTAGATGTTTCATTGTTTCAAATAGCATGACAAGTTTGTATTCTAGAAGAAAGAGGATGAATAAGAATAACAGTGAAGATAAAAGATGCGATTGTTATGAAGATTATTTTTATTTCCACTTCTGACACTTAATCAATGTCTTGAGAATTTTAAAGATGTATTAGATAAGGACTTCCATTCAACATTGCTAATGATAATTGATAAGATACCTGTATAGCTTGGACAGCTTGCAAAACAGCTTTTTCACCATCTGATAAACTTAATGAGAATGATAATGCTTTGTTTCGCTCAGTCTAAAATTCCTTTTTAAAATATTTATTATAATGGTCAGGTTAATTCATTATTTTGTTAATTACCACTACTAATTTAAGCTTTTGTTGATTTACTTCTAGAATATAAGCTTTTTTATTGATAAGTTAAGTTTTACCCTTGCAATGACCTCTTTTGCTAGTAGGTCATACAGTGTTGCACCATGGTTTGGAATTTGTAACGCTAACTGGCGACATTTCTGTAATTCTTCTCCCTGAAACTTGACTTACTAACTTTCCGACACATTGCATTACAAATTTCAAGACTTATCATGTTCGCGGCTTCTTAAACACGCACGTGACTCTTTCCATTACATTACAAGAGAATCACGAAGTAAACTTATCTTGCTCTGTATAATATTTCTCATTGAACTAATTGTAGCATTTTGATCTAAGTTAATTGGACGACGTGTTATTTCATATAAATTTCGTACAACAACAGCGAGCTCTTGAACTGCATATCCATCTGCCTTAACAATAATTTAATAAAATTAATCGTTATTATCTTTAATTAACAATTAGACTTAAAAATGTACTTGAAAAACTTCATTCAACAAAGAAGCGGACAAAAATGCTGTTTTTATTATTTAATTTTATTTGTCAAAGAAGGACAAAGATAACATGAAGATGCAATATTTAGATAAATACACGGCCAACATAAAAGGATTAGGCCAAAGAAACTGATAAGATGTAGTAGCTCCGATATAGATTAGTCCAGAGAAACTGGCAAAATATAGCTATCATCTGGAATCAAAACCTGAATATACGAAAACTTTACCATGTATAATTTCTTGGGATTGAGTTTTATTCGAGCCTTCTGGAAAATATAGAACGTTGCTGATTTTATAAAAAATGCTCGTTCTAATTCTGTTTCAATCACAAGGGGTATAGAAATTTGGGCATCGTATCTGAAAGAGCATGTGATAAGTATATGGTAATGTACGATATTTGAACGATATGTAAAAACTTGAATACATATAATTAAATTTAAATTACATTACTATTAATTAAGTCCTCATATTGCTTATATTTCATAAAAGATTTTTCACCTTTTTGAGCACCGACAAGTATGGAATACTCTGAAATTTTATAAATAAAAATATGAATTTCATTTACGATTATTCTCAAAGAAAGTTAATGACTTATATCCAAGATCCGGAAGCGATTGAAATTTCAAAAGGATTATACCTATGTACTATCCATTCTAACAATTCAGCAATCAATTTAAAATTTGGAGTTCGAAAATTTTCCGTGGAAACAAGTCGTGGATAACCGAGGACTCGCAAATGTTCCACCATATCTACAAGTTGTCTCAACCTGTTCATTTATGCAAATATTAATATTAAATCAAATATTTTTACTTGAAAAACTTTCCCGCAACAATTTTGGATGTAAATTTGAATTAAAAAACTTTAGAATTCGAATTGATTTTTGTTTAAGAAGATTTCACATCAACAGAATAAGTAGTGCAAATAGTGCTAAAAAATATTTCAAATTAGCCAGAAAATGGATCTAATGATTGTATCATGACCTAAAGGTCAGCATAAAGATTGTATGAAATGATATTTTGCTTCATATTAAACAGCCGAAATGTTCTCGTTTAATATAGAATATTAAAAGCAACAAACTTCTCAATTCTCTGTAGGACATGTTGGTTGAAGCCAAGGAATAGAAGTGAATGAAATAGCAACTCTGTTGCCAAGGGAACTAACTACATATCATATCTGTTGAAAATAACTGAATAACTACTGACCACTTGCAAAGCAATTGAAAATATTTTCCACTCTGAACATTTCCCACAAAACAATTTATAAATCTTAACTAACTTTATTCATCACAGTCTTTTCTGAGTATGAGTGAGATTCATCTTCACTTTTCAGGCTCTTTTTTTAAAAAAGATATTATTCATTTTTTATTTGAAATCAAACTGACCCTAATTTGAATTCACCAAAGTGTATGCTTGCAGTTCACCAAAGTGTATGCTTTGCAGAATGAAAAGACAAGAGTGATCAAAGGTCAGTTTAGGAAGTATTTCATTAACAGTTAATGTCATTTTATATATTTTCATCATTATACCAACGCAAAATTGTTTCTTTTGCACATATAGATAGGTATAACACATTGATAAATGATAAGACAAATGATAATTGCATAACTAATGCTTATATTTGAGTTTTAGCATAGGTAGCGAGAAGATTCAAGAGACCATTGAATAGTTCGAAGTGTTCGATCGTATTGCACCGCTGATTTCGTACACTTTTAATCTGCAACAAAATGGAGTTTTTATTATTTCTCTACCAGGTAGCTAACGATACCTTTTTTAATCGAGGTTTATTTGAAATATAAGCGTTATCCGTTTCAGTAACCGGAATTTTGCTTCCAAATTAACAAAAATGCTAAATTAACTGTATCAGTGAATCGAATTCGTTTTTTAATTTTCAAGCGTTCTGCTTCCGTATCGAATACTGCCCATATACCGGCACGATGAGCACCGGATGGACAAACAACAAGCTGTGAGCATTCACGGGCTTTGTCATCCAATAGCTTATGAACCTGAAATTGATTTCTTTTGTAATGTATTGATCTACTAATTTTAAACTATAAACTAAATAATATTACCAATAAGCCTGTAATTAGTATGAATATAGCTAAGTAATTAATATCAGTTAATATGATTAATTCATAATTACACTTTTTCGTATTTTTTAAATTAATAACCGAACTCATCATACTTGTGATTATATATATATTGGATGATAATTTATCTTCCAGAAAAACATTTTAACTGAGCTAAAATAAAGAAAAAATTTGAATTACTTCACTACACCTTCTGTTCCCTCTCCGTTCTTCTTCCTACCACCTTAGTGACAGCAAAGAGCCTTTAAGAATAACGCCGTCAATTACTTTTTTAATAAATTCATTTACTTATAGAAAAAATATCTCATAAAATTTTCAACTTTTAAAAACAATTTCAAAAGAAAACTTTCAACAAATTATTTCGACTTTATCTCAACTCACTGAATATAATCGAAATGCTAACAATTCGATTATAATTTATGAATCAATGAAGAAACTTTAATTCCTGATTTAATTTAAAATTATCTTTAATTATATTGAAACTAATGGATTTAAATTATGCAACATTAAGTTGTAATTGCTGTTCATTTACATCCAAGTATATATCATTCGTTCGTCCATTCATTAAAATAATCATTTAATCAGAATTAACATACCACTTTATGAAACATAATTAAATCATCTTGTGGGATAACCATATCATTGGTCCATGTGTTAAATGTTAACAAATGATATTTTTGTTCAATTTTCTCCTCTTTCTCCATTTCCTTCGTTATAATCAGTTCATAGTGGCTGTATTTTTCCTCACGCTTTTCTTCTTTTTCATTTCGAATATTTATTGTACCATATTTTTTCGATTTCGATGATATAATATATCTGTTAATTGTTATCATTTATTATCATATCTCTTCATCTCTCCCTCTCTCTCTCTCTCTCTCGTATGTATGCATTGTATAGTTCGCAAACTATATCCTTTTTCATCAAAAACAATTATTGATGCTGTAATTATGGAGAAGAACGAAAAAATCATTGAATCATTGCTGAATCGTTGCTTACTTTTAACTTTCAGTAATAACTTACTGTTCATCATCGTCTGCATTCAAATCCATAAGTACAACAATTACTTCCGGTTTGCATTGCGTTACTAATCTGAAGAAATCACCCGCGGTTGCTTCATCAAATGGTGCCTGAGCCAATACATACTGTTTTGCCTGCATTAAAAAATGAACCTAACGAAGATAATAAAAAATGTCTTATTTTAAATCATAAATGAATGGATTTGTCATTTCATCGATCGAATAAAATATAAATTGAAATAAAATTTTGCTTGCCTGTTCGCAGCCATCAACATATGATGCATGATAGTAATCAGGTTTTTCATTCAGGATAACTCGGGTTCTATCCAAAAGAAATATCTCTGAAACATTTACTCCTATAATATTACTTTTGTTCAGTTGTCGTTTTCTTTGTTTTATTGATTCAAAAAATTATTTGTTCTAAATTTTATTTAATTCTCTTTTTACCTCGTCACTTATTCAATATTTCATAATAGAATTTTCAAAAAAAGGGAGAAAAATTCATAGTAATTATCGATTTTCGTAAACGGAAGAAAAGGCTGAATCGGAAGACGAAATGAGAAGAAATTGAGGATACTAATTGTAAGTTTCATAAATGGAATGCAACTTCTATCTTCAGATCATTTTACTAATTAAAGGTAATTTCATGTTTGCAATCAAAATTCTTCACACAACAAAGTGTACGACAAATAAAATACATTTTGAAGTATTTTAACAACATATTTTAATATTTCAATAAAAATTAATGAAATACAAAATTTCAATGTAATTAATTAAGGAAATTTAGCGCAATTTCGCTTAGCCTTACTAATTAATGAATAATTTATACATTTTCTTAATATTACTTGCCGTCTGGAAATTTATTCTTTGCTTTATTTTCAGCGCTGAAAAATGCGAAAAATGTGGGTGATTCTTTTTCAAATTGTTCGTATAGAACCGCAATTCCTTCTCCAAGTTTTCGACCATTAGCTTTTAACTGAAATCATTGACCAATTCTAATCTTTCCTTTAAATTCAATTGCAATTTCAAATTTCTCAAGTTTGAGCTAGCCTAAACGTGTGGAACACTGTATGGGAATATCATTAACATTGTTAAGTACTGAGCCAGTACGTGAGACTTATTGTAAAACGAAATGTTATATCGAATTTTAGTATATGAAATGAAATCATTCAATAAAACAGAACGTTGGATTGCGATAAAATGAATTTTAATAAAATCAAGCCAAAAGATTAAAAAAGAAATAATTACTTATATATTTAATTTTCTCTCAAAAGAGAATTGAATACATAGAGAGTAATGGAAAAGGAGAAAAGAGAGAGATATCATTATTTCCGGTCCATGCAAATTCAGGTATAATCCTGTTGTGAGTTATCGGCTAGGAAACTAAAGTAGCATGAAGATTGCATGAAATGATATTGAAAGTGTTGTAGTAGGATCGGTGTTCTCATCCCTGTAAGTTTCATATCCCAAATTATGAGATGTGAAATGAAATAGTAAGTAAAATGAATGATGGTACGTGAGATGCGAGTGATGCAGGCGTAAGTATCATTTTTGTTTTTCCTCGACGCATTGAACGCATCGAAATGCGCGTATCAGCGTTTATTGCTACGGCACCTTCCTTCGTTTGAATTGTGTCCACCATATCTTCAAAGATGCCAACATATTAAAATATAAAGTACAGACACATACATACACATTTTGTCTATTGAAAGTAAAATAAATTATACGGAGGGTACACGCAGTCATGCAAACTTGCAGTACATGCAGTTATACAATGGATAAAGTTGTTAAAGAAGAAACTTTGGAACTACCGATTGGTGCAAGTTCTGTGTGAAAATATGACTGCCACGCTACAATTTACTCTTTTTATTTTGAATTTTTAAAAAATTTGAATGTCTGAATATATTTTATTTAGGTGACATCTTTTTTGATTACGTGAATAGAATTCAGAATAAATGCCTGAAATCCAGGTCGATAATATTTTTCTTGGCCATGTAAATAACAGAGACTGAAAATGGTGTCAAATACTCATCTTAGAAATTGCTAGATAAAGAAATATTTGTCATTTTCTCTGTCCCACTTTACAGTTTGTAAACTTTATTTAATGCAAATCGAACCGATGATATATTTAGCGATATTTACTTCTATCATTTCTACTCTTTTCTGTCAGTTAGTATTCAGGTAATAAACAGGTAACCAACTTTATTTCAATATTTGATATAGTTAAGAGAAATGATATTGAAAAGTCTTGAACTTTTTAAAAATTCATATTATGCTTTCAGTTTCGCTACTCGTTTTTTTAAAAAAAAAGTGAAATAGGGTATTATTGGAATTAATGATTGTAATGGATTTTATAAATTCGAATAATTTAATAAGCTGTAAGAAACCTGAAATTCATTTCAGGATATGAATATGAGAAAATACTTCATTATTAAAAAGGATATAAGATTTGCAAACCGAATAGAATTCACCTGATATAAATCAAAAATGTTAATTTATCCATAAACACCGTAATTATTCATAATGATATTTTAAATTACAAATGTCACACAACGCAATATTCGATATGTCTTCAATGGATGAATGAATGAGGCGGCTTTTTTTCATCGGAAGTTTGCTTTAATGGACAACTTCAACTTCTGGTCCGATATCGAACACCTAAAAATGGAATTACACTGAGAAGTAATGTAAGTTTTAAGCATCTAAACAATTCGATATCTCAATGATATCAAGTATTAGTAATTAACCTCATGTTGTTCAGCAAATGTAAAATGTTTTTCGGCCAGTCGTGTTTCATCCTCGTCATTAACCTGTAATAAAACCGCTGAGAGCAATGAATGTCATGAAAGTGGCGGAAAGTTTTAAAAAGGAAGGAATCGATAGATTTCATATAATCGGTTGCTTTTCTCGGGAGAATAATTTGATTGAAAGGAAGGCGAAATTAATAAAAGAATTATGGTAAAAAACAGACGCAAATGCTTACCTGTTCGAGATCTACTTTTTCATCTTCAATTTTCAATGGACCTTTGTGCTCGAATTGACTTGCAGATAAAAATATTTTTTCTGTAACGAGCATTGCTAATGTCTAAGTCAATTTCTGTTAGATTAACCACGGAAGTGCGGGATTGCAACATTGAGAGGTTATATCGAGCAGTAGCTTGATAGCGGTAACATAATATGATCTTTATTTAGAAAATATTTCTAGTAATTTGGCAAAGGATCGAATGAAAAGTACCGTTCTTTTCTCGCATACACATTCTTCCCCTTCTTTTAATCTCTTAGCTTAAAATAAATTTTAACAATATTTGCATTCACTTTGAATAACTCATCTTTATATTTAAGGAATAAGACAGAAATTTGAATACTTTTCATATCATAATTTAAATTCATTTTTCGCTTCCTGGGGGAGTGAATTTAAATTGCTCAGCTCAATTTCATCTTTTCACTCAAATTTCATTTGAAAAATTTCATAGCTAATTCTATTGATAATCAACTACGAGGTTTGAGGAGCATTTTTGTACTTAAATTGAAATACTTCCAGCTTACGTAATTTGACGTTGTGTATCTCATATCACGCAAATTACGTTTACTTATGCAGTGCTTTTTTTCTGTTGATTTACTTTACTTTCTTATATTTGATCGTTCGCATCACTAATATACATTGAAATAATATCATATTGTTTTCGATCTCCAAGTGTTCTCCTGATTTTTGGTATTTTTACATTTCGGCGGTGTTCTTTTGGCTTCATTGTGCTCTCTTGATCGTAGTGTTCTCGATATTTCTTTCTTCCAGAAATTATTTAGGAGTATTATTAAAGGTATTATTTTTGCAGTATGTTTGTTTAGTTATGGTTAGCGCTGTCTTTTTTTAGAGGAAATAAATAATGTTTAAGTAAAGAAATCACTACTTATCTAATAAAAGTATTAATCCCGATATCCAATTGTCATCATCAATTATCCATATGGAAATATTTTAAGGATTACTTGACATGTACAAAGATAATGAAAATCGGTATGATAATGATGATGATGAGTTACCGAGACGACTTCTTCGGTGGCCGAGTATATTGCCCCGACCATTTGCTTGGAAAAAGTCCTATGATACTGATGATAATAAGGTTCCAAGACGACTTGTTTGGTGGCCGAATATATTGACTCGACCATTTGCTTGGAAAAAGTCCCCGAGTACTCCGATTAGTAGTGAATCCGCGGTATTTTCCAAATTCAGATATATTATTAGTTAAAAAAATTCGAAAATTATTAAGCTGATCAGTTTAATAATTCGAAAATTACTAAGCTTGATAGAATTGGGAAAAATAGTAAAATTTCTTACAGATTTTGGATCCCAAACCGTGTTCAACAAAAATGGCAGAATCTGGAAGTAATAAAATGGAAGGGACCCCCAGCGCTGAAGATAAATTTGATAATAATTGTAAATTTGAGCTTCATTTTTTGTATTTAGTTTATATTTGCATGAAATATTCCTTATTACATGCCTTGTAAAAATTATTCCTCAATACCCAAATAATTTATTGTGAATCATAACGTATTAAATTTAAATAAAAGTTTGGAGCTTCAAATTTTATCACCCTTCCATTGATAACTGATATTGCTGTGGAAGGAATTAGGAAAATTTCTTAAGTTCTCTTGTAAGGGACCTAATTTTTAGCACTTGAGGAATTACTTCGAGAAAACGGTCTATTACCTGCTATTGAAGATGTTCCAGTCGCCGGTGGTCAAGAAGTTGTTGAGGAAGCTGAAGAAAATCGTATTCATACGATTGGTATCCCTCTTGCTGAACAAGCCTTAAGAGCTTTGAGAATCGTTTCACGACATGAATCACGCTTTCAAGTGAGTTCATATCATTTTTGATGTAAAATCAGTTATTAGATAAAATGTATGACGAGGTTCTTTCCTCAAACAGAATAAATTCAAAAGAGCCTTTAGTTGCAACGCATCATTTTTAAGCTTGATTAGTAGAAGGATTTGATATAAGAAGTTCATGGCTAATTTCGCAAATCTAAATCTGATATTTAGGAATGGCTATTTCCAATGTATTACGCATTGTTGTGTTTAATCAAATAATTCTAATGATTAATTTTATTTTTATCTCTTCCTCCTTTCATTTTCGAATTTTTCACTTTTATCTTTTTCAGCTTACGTTGCCCGAAGAGGCATCAGGAGAGGAGGAGTTAGCTTCAGGTGATAGGCAAGCTAATATATCAGATATTAACCTTGGCAGAAGACAAACGATCAATTTACTATTTTTGTTTTGTCATCCAATTTAAACTTCATTATTTTCATTTCCACCTTTAAAATTTTGGAAGGTTTTTTAGCGAGTAATTTGCAGATCACCTGTCATAGTTTTCCGAACTCCCACCATTATCCGGATTAAGAAGAAATGGTCCGGTGTCCAAGAAGCTTCCATATATGATCCCTCTGTTCGTATGCAAATGAGAAAAGCGGTAAGTCAATGAAGAATTCTTCAATATCTAAAATGTAATATTATGAATTATCCTTCATACACACTAAGTCAAACACGTGGTCCATCTCATTGTCGCACGTCCAGTATTAGCGATAAAATTTAAATCAACACTGTCTAAGCAGTTGCAGATGATGACTTTGCTTAAGCGCCATGCTAGTCTATAGATGGCGTCGAAAAAGGAATTATACCTTCTGCATTAAATTTTGCGAAGATAACTTTTAAGGCATGGAAGCTTTTTTATTAAGCGGATTTTAAATTTTCTAAATTTTGAGGTGGATGAAGCTATTGCTGTGAAGCCAGATGATATCCCGAGTACATCGCGTGGATATACGAGTTCTATTCCGGAAAGTGGTGAAGCTACTGACGAAGAGAAAGCTATCATCAACGAGGTATGTTCTCCCCATTGTATCTTTATTTGCCTCACTAAAGGAAAGAATTCAAATTAGTTGCAACTTCAAAACATCGAAATTTTAGAATTGATTTGATCATAGAAATTGATGTTTTCCCCCTCAATTACTTATCTATTTATTTTAAGCTATTACCGCTTTGTGGATTATTCAATTCTATCGATTACACCGATCCCACCTGGTATTACAAACTTAAAAAGATTGTAAGTGTTTTATTCAATTGGCTTTTGCTTTTTCACTAAATTCGATCAAGGATTTACCTAACCAAAACAAAATTATTATAAATGCTTTAGGCAAAAAGAAAAATCGATTCATTCTGATCGTTAAAATTAACACATTTAACCTATGAATTTTTTAACTGATTGTAAATTAGGCGGAATTGTTCATTTTACGCTCATCATAATGATTCAGCGAGCAATCTTTTTAGATAGTAATCATTTGCATTTTCTTCACTTCTCGTGACATTTTGCTTGTTACATGAGCTTTCGCAAATTTATTTTGCTACAAAAGTGTAGAGAAGATTTTTAATGATTTCTTCGATTTTAGATCTTTTTACGAGTGAATCAACTTGAACAGGAGTATAAGAATGCAATGTCAATGGGTGACGAATTGCGGAAACGTAATGAGGAACTTCGCAGTTTGCATAACAATATCACTTTACAGAGTGTGATCAGTGGGCCTCAATATTCATATGAAGAGGTCTTTAATTTTTTCTTGTGAATTTACGAGAATTTTTTATAAAGTATAAAATTTATAAAATTGTTTAAAAAATGTTCGATATAAATCATTTTCAGATTATCACAAATCCTAGCACTGAAGATTTGGGCCCTCATTTTCCAATTTCTCCAGATTCCAGCCTTCAGGATTTGGATGCTCAGTTTCAAGTTTTACCAGATCCTAGTATTGAAGATTTGAATGCTGAGTTTCAAATTTGCTCAGGTCCTAGCACTGAATATTTAAATCCTCAGTATCAAGATTTATCAGGTACCAGTGCTCAGGATTTGGATCCTCAGCAACCAAGATGGCCTTAATTTTGTTTACCCAGAAAGCACATGTTTTGTTTAAGTAAGTTTGATTTCAATAACGAAAAATATAATTCTGAAATTGAAATATAGCTAACAAAACATTGAATATATTTTAATTCTCACTAAATTTATATTATAATTTAGAAAGCAAAAAAGCGGCATCATCCTTTGATCACATTTTTTTTTGAATATTTTAAATTATATTATCATAATTACAAATGTTTCGATTATACTCTATTTGTGGAGGGAGCACTTTAATACAAAATATAAATAAGAATTTTTTTGATGAAGGTAAATTTATTTTGAATGAAATAGTTTATCTAAAAGAAATTTAAGAACAAATGATGAGAATAACTGTGAAGGAGGAATGCTATTATTAGTAAAGAAGAAATAGTCGAAAGTTAAGCAATTATTTTGCTCAATCCTTCATTTTCTTTTGGAATTTATATCGCTTAAGAAAACTGGCATTATCATTGTTGCATTTTTATATTTGATATTTATACATTTCTTCATCTCTCCTTAGATTATAACTAATCTATTGAATAGTTTTTAAACTTTTCACGTGGATTACTTTAGCTATTAACTGTATCTCTATGATATATCATATCTTGTGTATCATATCGTTATAATGCTCCCTTTTATTAGTTCATTCCGTTTATTATCTTATACTCTACGTCGACAATGATAGCCTGAAGTCTTTGGCAACAAATTTAATTTCTTCCTCGTATTAATTTTTTAACGCAACACTGTTATTATTTTGTACTTCTAATCGATATTATTCAGAATTTTCAGCCAAGTTACAAATGCATTTCAACGGATCCCGAAATTGTTAATACCCAAAGCTCACCATAGATTAAAGGAACATTAGAAATTTTGTTAGGTTGGGGACAAATCCCGAAATATTTCCATGGAGTCTATTCTGAATATAAATTTTATGAGGAATGTTTGAAATTCTTAGTTCTTTGTTATTCAGATACAGTTATAAATGCGTTTTAATAGATCCTGAAATTGTTAATACCCAAAGCTCACCAAGAGATTAAAGGAACACTGGAAAATTTGTCATTTTTTGAACTTTTTTAAAGTTATCTTTCACTTTTCTCGATGCTTTTTATTGTGACTTTTGTAAAACTTGCTCATATTGTTCTTGTGTTTTTTGTAGAATTTATTCATATTTATATCAGAGCCAAATAATCATTAATCCCATTATCACAAAGACTATGAGCTCCATAAATTTGTCATTTAGTTACTTTATCATAGCACAGCACATCCAAATAATATAACCAATGCGATAACATCAATTACCTAATATCAAAACAAAGATACTGAAAAACAAAGTATAAAAGGTGGTCAACAAAATTCAAAAGTTAGAACGTTAAAGACATGAGAATGATGGGGTCTGCCGTTTTTAAATTTGATCAAGGGTTAAAACAGACGAGATCTCGCCAAGTACAACAAACCTTTTGAATTCCTGATATACTTGGAAAGAGGAAACTTCAGTTTGAAAGAACTTTAAGAACTCCTTCATTTTCCTGCACTTTCTTCGAAAAGTTTCGATATTTCAGCTTGTTTGGGACTGCTCGAATAATCAGGTTTCAACCTTCTCTCCATTTGGTCATCATACGGATTAAATCCAAGCCGTTCCATTTCAGCCTACAATTAGTGTAATACATTTCTACGAGAAGAGAAATATTTGCAACAAAAATCGGGTAGATGGCTTCGTTTTGATAGTGAATGCACTTTTGCAGCTTTGCTTGGGATACGTTATTACTTTAGAACATCAAGAAAAGGTAATTGACAATGTTTGAGGAAAGAAAATAGTGCAAACCTTCATCGCTGCTTTCATAGCTTTCTTATCTTTTTCAGCTTCTGTTCGTGGTGGATGAAGTTTGGTAAAAACACCAGTCCCAATTGTAACTGGATCCTTACGAATTGTGAACCTTTGCTGCGGTTCGATAAACTGCACTGTATTCATATGCAGCTCAACTCTGAAACGTGCGGAAATGATAATATTCCTAATTTCTTTTTTAAAATTATCAAGAGCAATTTTTTTTCAAAAGCAATAGTAACATCCAGCAAATGGGAGATATTAAACTTGGTATGGAGTTTAGAGAACATACTCTCCGACTTCTCCAGGCATAATGAAGTCTTTGCCTTTGATTTTGATCATTACTCCGCAGTCCCAAGTTAACGAAAACAGGTGCTCTGTGAAATAGTTTGCAATTGGTGTCTTTGCGCCTCCTTCTTCTGGTTTCAGTATGTACAACTGAAATGACAGAAATACACAAATGAGATGTAATGAATGTTGCATGGTATCAGTGACCAATCAAGTTTTGAGAACAAGCTTTTGCAGAAGTTGAGACAAAAATTAAAGAAAAATAGTTCCTTCTGTGTACATTGCTTTATACCAGCTTTGAAAAATAGTTCTTTCTGTGTACATTGCTTTATACCAGTTTTGGCTGGTAATTTTTCAGCGAAGGATAAATGATTCATACAGCAGTAATGTTGAAATTTTAGAAAGAGTTTTTTAGTTGTAAGACATTTTGATACAATGCATATTATTTCGATTAAAAAGTATTAAAATTTCAAAATCCATTACCTGAGCTTCCACTTTGTCAGTAGGAATATGTTTGTGCTCTTGGGGTAAAAGTACACTGCCACGTCGTACCGCTTTACTTTCTACACCTCTTAATAAAATTCCAAGCTGATCACCAGGTTCCGCCACGTCAAGCGATTTCTTGAATGTTTCAATACCTGAAAATCCAGAACAAATTCAAAATAATTTTTTTCAAAATAATAAGAGACTGATGAATTATAAAAACAATGGTAAAGGACAAAGTTATAATGACAAACCAAAATGACTTACTAGAAACTACCGATTTGACAGGTTCTTTTCCTGCACCAACTATTTCCACCTTATCTCCCCTTTTTAAAGAACCTCTTTCCAATTTGCCGGTTATAACCGTACCACGGCCTAAACTTCTATTTAAAATGAGCAACGTAATGTGGTAACTGAAAGCCACATATGAATTTAATCCAAACAAGATATTCAACAAAAATAAACAAACTGAATTGAGAAAAACATGTACCAATCGCGCTTTTGCAATGATGTTAATATAAAGAAATTAGCAGCAGACATATTCTATCATTTGATGAGGTTCACTACCATCTAAAAAAAGCTACCTTTGATCGCGTAAACATGTTCGGCTGGGAACATAACTTCTGTATTCTGATGACGCTCTGGAATAACAAATGAGTTATCAAGAACATGTAGAAGTTTCCAGATTGACTCTTCCCCTATTTCTGGATTCTTTCCTTCCAAAGCACAAAGCGCCGAACCGAAAACAACCTAGAATTATATTTCATACTAAGCTGAGCTGACAAAAAATCATTATAGTCGTCTAGTCAGCCATCCACTTTCAAAAACCGTGCGTCACATTTCTCATCATCACATTTTCATGAGTCACTACCGTTGCTAAAATATCCTTGAATTTATTCCAGCATTAATAAAAAAATATTAAACACTATTCCTGCACGTAATCATACGGCATTGCAATGAAATCTCACAGTAAAACTTAAGGATTGTTCTAAAAGAAATGCATAAAATAACCGGTGATTCAGCTGGATAGTTAAGCTCTGACAGGAGTTCACGCATCTCCATTTCAACTAATTCATGTGTTTCTTTGTCGGGTACTTCGTCGATTTTATTCAGATATACAACAACATTTTTCAGAGGAATACCAACTTGTCGAGCCAGCAGTAAATGCTCCCGAGTCTATAACAAATCATTTAATTTGAAGAAGACTCATTTCTTCCTTGCATTATGTGCAATACTGATCGTTTTGTAAAGTGCAAAAAATTACTTCCCAGAAACTTCTTGCAATAAACTAAAAGCTAACCTGTGGCATAGCTCCTTCAGTAGCAGCCACCACTAAAATAGCGCCCTCCATCTGCGCTGTACCAGTAATCATATTTTTGATATAATCTGCATGACCTGGACAATCGATATGAGCATAGTGCCGTTTCTCCGTCTCGTATTCCAAGTGAAATGCATTGATAGTTATTCCTAAAATCAAAATTATTATCCAAATGAATATATTGTAACATTTCTTATAATCTTGAATTTCAGTTAGAAGACATAATTTATTTCGATTCCTTTGAAATCATACTTGTAATCAGAGGATATAATTTGAAAAGGAAATATGTACAAGTGGTAATGCCCTAAAAGTAATTAACGGTCCGATATCCACGAAATCACAAATTATAGAATTCAGAAGTCAATATGCACTTTTGGTGGAGCGTTTACACGATTACTAGCAAGAAATAGTGCAAAACAGAAATCAAAGAAGAGATCCCAGTTTGACCGAATGAAAGAATTTACAGCCATCAAGGAAAAGCATAATATGAACACAACAAACCGCGAGCTTTTTCCTCAGGTGCATTGTCAATTTCCTCGTACTTTCTAAATTTCGCGCTCTTTTTTGATGCCAGAACTGAAAAATTTCGAGTAAATTTAAACGTGATAAGAAAAATCAACAGAAAGCTTCAAGAAGTAAAGTTTAAATGCAAACACCGGCTCAAACCTTTGGTGATAGCCGAAGAGAGCGTAGTTTTGCCGTGATCCACATGTCCGATAGTACCAACATTAAGATGAGGCTTTGTTCTCTTGTACACTTGCTTCGCGCCCGGAACAGCAAAGCACCGAGCATGTTGTAGTTGGGCCAATTTCGTCAAAAAATTCTCACGAAAACCTCCTGCAGCCCCCATTACCTCTGCAACATGACAATTAGATCTATTATCAGAAACAAAAATGAAAACACATATGGTTACAAAAATTTAACACCGTCATTCTATCGTCTTGTTGCTTTCAATTATTTCATAGACAATACTTCAAGAATCACAACAAATTCGAATCCTTTTTTTGTTCCCAGTAAAAATAAAAAACGCGTGAAAGAGAAGCAAAAAGAGGAACAAAGAATACTTCCTAATACTATTCCGTTACTTCCATTAAAAAAAGTACACATGTGCTAGTAACTTATCTTAAAAATAAGGAAATGTGATACTTACTGGGGCTTGCTAACATAAGTCGGTGACATACGTTGTACACCAACATGATTTGTCCCACACAACCTGCAAATTGTTACTGATCACTTCTGATTTGTTTATCAGTAACCTACCAAATGAATGCCATCAACTGAAAGTTAAAGATGTTGAATAGCAAAACAGTGGCCGTGCCAACTTATAACCAACTGAAGAACACTTTGCCGTTTTTTATTTATCATCGGATTCCTTGAACGATGGGTGAAGTGGGGGAATTGATTTGTAGTGATGGCGAGTGCGATGTCACCAGGGCCTTTCGTAATTTAATATAGTGGTATCTTTGGTGATAGATGCTCCTTGCATATTAGCAACCTGTAATTGTAATCTTTCGATCCATTGTGGTATTACGGATTCTTGCGGACTGTGGTCAGAGATAACTTCCAGTATATTCGTTAATAAAATTCGCTAACATCTTAGTTATTTGGAGCTATTAGGAAGTTTTTCAATAATACTAATCCAGATCACTTTTAATTTCAGGCTATATCAAGAAGTAATGGCAGAATTGGATTATTTGTTTCTGGGATCTGTTGGTTTCTTGATGATAGCGCTAATGCTTATTATCTTATGTGTTATTAAATTATATTTTGATGAGAAGCGGGCTCGACAGCGTAATAAAGCGTTATCCGCAATGGCAGTTGATGAAAATGTCGTGAGAAATGAGCGTGACGTTGTTGGTAAAATTTGGATTATTATAAGCCAATAAGGTTGATCTAAGATATCCCGAAAATTATGGCATCATATTTGTATTACTTTTTTAACAAACTTGATATTAGGTATAAACTGGTTCGAGCAGTTTCTCCTACAGTTCTGGAATATTTGTTGCCAGGCCTTTCGATCGAATTTACAACGAATTTACAGTTGATCGAATTTTATTGAATATTTTAATTGTTGAATAATCAGTTTATGGAAAATTGCAGTGGTTGGTGGACGACGGATACAAACAGCACGTCGAAGAGTACGTCACGATGTGGGTGGTGACAATGATGATGGTATAGATTTCACAACAAGTGCTAGCGTTCAAGCTGACGGCGCTTCTGGACTAGGTAATTCCATCATTGAATTAATTGACGAATGGATTTTCTGTCTGTTAATGTCAAAAACAGTACCTGAGAAAAAAACAGTAACTAGCTGTTCTTAGTGGTCCGGTAATTTTTAAATTGTGGAGTTGAAAAAATGATAAAATTCATATAATAATTGCAGAAGAGGACGAGTCGCCGTTAGCTGAGCTAGCTAAAGATGAGCATTTTGGCAAGAAGAAGTTGGCAAAACTTCAAGCCAAAGAAGAACGGCGGAAACAAAGAGAAGCTGTAAGTTTGTGCAGTTTCAATTATAAAACAGCGACAGTGCATTTTTTTTTTTGGTTTCTAAACATTTCCTAATTTTTATTTCTTGCGTAGGAATTGTTAGAACGAGAAGAACGAAAAAAGTTGGAGCAAGAAAGAGAAGAACACCTACAGAGAGAACGCGAAAAACAGATGGAGGAAGAAGAAGAGGAGCGCAAAAGGAAACGTCAGGAAAGAGAAGAGCGTGAGAAACGAGAAGAAGAAGAGTATCGGAAGGTTCATTTAAACTACACAATTTTAATGTTGATGATTCCAACTTCAGTAAACAACGAATTTGTGCATTGACTACAGCTTGTACTGTTAGGTAGGTCGGGCAATCTTTCCATTTAGGAGAAAAAAATTCTAGCTTCGAGAAACTTTCGCGATTGATGAAGAAGGATTCGATCAAGTTGACGGAGAGGAATCACAGAATCTTTTGCGCGATTTTGAACAGTATGTTCGCAAGACTAAGGTTATCTTTTAAAATTTCTTTAACTTTTGAAGCAACTGTATATTAATTCAGTACGATGCGACTGCTATATTGGCCATGGGGCATGCCAAATAGAGTTAGTTGAATCTGAAATCACATTATTATTCCTTCTCCTAGTATTATCAACTTCTAAACCTTAATGAAGTATAACGCTAGACTAGGTTTGAGAATGGCAACCTGTTTGTCAGTGCTAAGTATTGGGATGGAGAAGGGTTCATTCATCGATATTATAGGTATATGGGTTTAGGTTAGGTGTATATTAATAATGTGGATTTAGCAATGTAATGTGTGAGAGAATTGCCATTTGGATGCACGATAACAAAATGGCATGGGAAAAATATCTGAAAAAAAATTTACAGTGGTATTGTTCTTTACCTAATACTTCATATTACTATTTCATTATAAATAGTCGATGTTCGAGAATGGAAAATATTGTTGCATTTATAGGTTGTTAATATAGATGAATTGGGTGCTCATTTCAATCTGCGTGCAGAAGATGCTGTGGATCGGCTTAATTTCTTGGTTAACAATGGCACTTTAACAGGAGTCATGGATGACCGCGGGAAATTTATTTATGTTACTTCAGATGAACTTAAAGCTGGTTAGCAAATATTTTAGTTTAATTTTACCGTTCATTACTAATATCGAAGATTGCTGCGTTGAAAGGTTTTCAGTCTTGTTTTGCATTCCAACATATTATTATTTACGTTTCAAGTTAGAAAATGTTAAAAAACAAAACAAATAAGTTCCTATCGTAGTGTTGCTTCCTTATCTGGAGAAATTTATTAACTGGTTTTTGCAATTTAATCCAAAATTGGTACATTTTTATAGCCATACGATGACGTTGAGAAATTTAATTGTATAAAGCGTCCTACCAAAATGTTATTTCCAGTGGCAAAATTTATCAACCAACGTGGTCGAGTATCGAGAGCAGAATTAATTGAATGTAGCAATAAATTGATTGCCTTAGAATCACGATCTGCGGAGCATGCGCGAGAAGTGATAGCCTCATGAAGTGTCACTTTATTGCTGGTTATTGGAAACTTAATTTCTTCAAACAACTGGTAATTGCTTTCTCAGTTACAATAAGTACGGCGCTTCAACGTGGATGTCCAAGAAGCATTTGGATTTTGTTTTTTGTTATTGATTTGTATTCACACAAATATAAGTTGCACGATTGCAATCAAGTATGTTAGGACAAAAAATTGCAAGTGAATTAGTAAGTATTGCAAATGTTGTATGTTGTATTTAAACACTTGCAGTCATGTATCTTATAGGACTTTTCTGTTCGTTTAAGAAACACATCTTGATTTGAGTGGGATAGCGGAAGATGCCCTGATACTTATACCCAAAGAACCTTCCTTGTACAAAGCATCGACATGCGATCCGATTAAGTAAGAACATTTGTATAGCAACTACGTCTATATTGTTAAGATCTATTTCGACAGATATTGAGCTATCTCAGTTTTTAAATCTTGGGAGTTACCGAATCGCAAAAAGGAATGAAGTGCGAAGCATCAGTTAAAGTCTATGATTACGATTAGATGCCATGTTTATATATGTCTATTAACATATATCTCTTATATGTTAGTAAGTATAAACAGCCGTACGCGAATTCATACTCATACCCATCTATGTTATTGCTGTCTCCTGTATATATCGTGATAAAACGGTGTGCAAGATTATTTTTCGCGACAAATTCTTTTTTTATCCTTATGCAATATCCTAGTTCTTGCTGATAAGTAAGCAATTGTTTGAATCTGGTGGTTTTAAAGTTATTTCCACTAGTCCCTTGTCACTTTTCAACCATATACTGCAAATTTTGTATTTGAATAAAGGAGTACGTAAGCAATTTTGCTTTTGCCATGTCATGGGAATGACTTTCTCTCTGTTGAAGTTCGTATATCATAATGAAACGATCATCTGCATTCTCATATTATAATGAAGCAGTCATTTGCATCTGCTGATGGCTATGCAACGCATGCTCATATTTTTGGAGAAAAATTCTTTCAAAATTATGTACTTTAGCTTAATTTGCTTTCTGAACAGTATTAGAATTTTCTAAAAACAAAAAGGAAATGTGAAAATGTGTAGAGACTGCAAGTCGTTTTAGAGAGCTTTATTAACAACAGAAGCTTGCAGAACCGATACCAAATTACCAAGTTAGAAATGTAAACCACACAGTTTTCAGGCTACTTTTCGTACTCATATCCATCTGGATACTTCTATCTCCTATATATATTATGATACTATCTCCTATATATATTATGATAATGCTTGTATTATATTATGATAGTGTGCAAGAATGCTTTGCGCGATAAATTCTTTTCTATCCCTACGCAACATCAGGCTAGAGTTCGGGTCAGCCTTTTACTACGGAGCTGCATAAAATCTCAAATGTTTCTTATTTTTTTGTTAATGAATGGTAAAAAAGAAAACGAAACAACAAAAAAATAAGCCATTTAAGAGCGGCTGCGTCGTCGTCGTGGACTGCGGCTTCGAGATCGATTGAAGCGACTTGGCCCCAGTGGCACCATGTTTCCGCCGGTTCCGTGCGAACGAGGTGGACTACGATATCTACGTGGTGAAAGGCCACGAAATCTGAATTTACATCAGAGCACAGTAAAATATAAAAAATGTTCAACTTAGCAAATGATCAAATCTATCAGTAGATTCCAACTCATAATATGTCTATCTGATCATTATTGGAACGATAGCAAGTAGGCTGGGAAAATATTTAGAAGGATTAATTTGTCAAGTAGACCAAGCATCATTTGGACCATTTGTCCTTAGCTAATCGACATGGAGCAGCATCTTTTTGACTTTTGTGACTTCCGGAAACATTTTCAGTTAAGTCTTGAAAAATATCATTGCTAGCATTCCCAACTTTCTGAAATCTCTCTTAGTGAATGATGACAAAGAAGAGATTTACCGGAGTGGCGAGAGCGGACGTCTTCCACTTCCATTAAGCGCGGAACGAGGTGGATGTGTAAGTTCGCAAGTGACTTCCTGACCATCAATCTGTCCACCGTCCATGTGTTTCAACGCTTTCTCCGCATCTTCCGGTTGTTCGAACTCTACGTATCCATATCCTTAAAATATGCCATAATAACACATATTTGAAGAAGCAGAAGTCTTTGCTACATTAATCACCGATAATGTTAATAACAGCAGATAAAAAACTTTCTGAGTGAAATTTTTCTCTTTCCAAACAGTACACTAAGACCAAAAACAGAACTCAGAAAGCAATATTATACTGCACTGTGCATAGCCTTCAACTTCAATACCTTACAAACAAGGAAGCTAAGTCCGAACTGATTTAGCTAAGTTATGACGTAAAACTGAAAAAAGGCGAAAACCTCTGCCAAGATGTGTATGTTGTCGATCCATAGGCAGCTCACAGGTTTTTAAACTTCCGTAGACACTAAAAATTTCCGACAAATGTTCCTTTGTAACATTGCGACTCAAATTACGCACACACAGACGACGGGGTGGTGGCGTTGCTTTGCGGATTGGACTTGCCTAGAAATAGTCTCTTAAAACTGATGACAAAAAAAATAGAACCATCAACTGAGACACACTGGAAGAGGTTACAACGCAGCTATCAAACTATTCGCCCTTGCAATGTTCATCAGGCTGTCTGCTACCAAAGAAAAGTAATACTTTAAAGCTTATAATATAGCTAACGGGTGCGATTAACGATGCAACTGCACAAGTAGCTTCTAAAAAAAGTATACAAACTACCTTACGCTCTCGCGAACGCGAACGATTACGTCTATCTCGGCTACCGCTTCGGTCTCGTCTCTTAGGAGACGGTGATGGTCGGCGTTTTGGAGATGGTGATGAACGTCGTCGGCGTCGTTCAGGAGTCGGCGATCGACGAGAGGATGCGATAACCGCTTTTTCACTACGCTCTGCTCGCGCACCAATTCGAGGCGAACGCGAACGGCGGACTGGACTTCGTGCTCGGTCTAAATTTATTTCTCCTTCACTGAACAATACGCAAGAGAGAGCTGAGTTGTAAGGAGAAGAGAAAGTAAGATTTTTATTCATTTCTAGCGAGCAAAGTGAAAATAAAAACCCATCAATTTCTTCTCTCCTTGACACTATTTTTTACTTAGGCACAATTGTAAAAAGGATGTGTGTAAAGAATGAAGCTCAAAATCACGTAAAATAGTTGTCTGAGAATTTTTGCATCATGCAGTCATAGAATTAGTCTATGTTAGTTGAAGTGAGAACAGATGATGTCATGTTTGGTTACATTAAGAGATAACAAGGTAGCCATAAAGATGCTTGAAGCAAAGTCCTTCGCCATTAAGGTAACTACTATCAGAGTTAGAATGAGATGAATACCTTTAGCTTTTCTAGGAGTAGGTGATCTGGAAGATTCCGAACTCGTCGTTGTGCCAGAGCGTGAAGTCGAAGAAGAATCGCTAAACGATGAACTTTCGGAAGATTCAGACGAACTATCTGACGAAGAACTGCTGCTCGAGTCACGTCGCCTCTTCACTTCCTTCTTGTTTTCTCTTTCGGTTGGCTTTCCTTCAACCATTTCGAATCAAACCTAAAACATTTACTGATTATCCATTCCACCGTTCAAGCAGAAAGTCATCATACAAACTTTAATTGACCAATAATGCATAATTCAATTTGGCATAAACGAGAGAAACACATTGTTGCAATTATATATCCTAATAATCTGCACCATACATCCGCTGCCACACCATCTTATCCAATCACTCCAAAGATATTGATTATATCAAGAGATACTAATTATATCAGCTGGAAACTTTTCAATTTTAACTTTCTCGTAATATATTGAAAAAGTTGAAAATAAGAAGATTGTGAAAACTGTAAGTTTATAGTGTTACTTGTAATAAATATAGGCTGCACGTTAATTTTCAGAGCCACGCAAGCGATAGATCTAACGGAATTCACTACTTTTCATTAAAACTAATATTTTGTCTAAGCAAAGAGTAAATTAAGTCTATAAACAACAAGTACCACAAAGCCTAATAGTGAACCCTCACAATCCCCAACCTAAGCAAACCAAACAACGGACCCCCCACGTAAAAACGCCCGGTTCGAAATCAAAAAGATCGCTGAAATAACCATCGCCGCTGTGAAATTTTTCGTCTCAGTGAATGAGGTATCTGTTGAGACTATCGAATCGGGATTTCAACCAAAGTTAGAATTGTAATTTAAAATTGGAAGAAGTAAAAGTTTCAAGGCAGAAGTTAGCTTTAACACTGCTAATGTTTCGGTTATACATTTCTTTTCTAATTTAACAATTTTATTATTTTTTATTTCTTCGTTAAAATTTGGAAAAAAACGATTCCCAAATTTAGATTTTTGTTTCGCTAAGTTCAAAAATGGGCATTGCTACAAAGCAGCAATGCAATGAGAGTTTTCCATAAACTTTAATTGATATTTAATGATGCTTAGATTGTCATCAGTGATAAATTCTCTCTGTGCTTTCATTCATCGTCGTATTGTCCAAATCTTAAGAATCATTTATGTTTTTCTTCCGGAAAATAAAATTGAATGAAATGGGTAAACTTTCATTTCATTGTTGTAAATTTTTTAAAAAAGTTTTTGAAAATTTAATGGATGGATTCACAGAAGCTGCGCTTCCAAGAGGCTGACCGATATTAAGCCACTCCTTGGCATGTAATTCAGCTGTAACCAATGACGCATTATGAGGAATATTCGGACAAATAAGATGAATATTTTTGTGGAATTTCATCTTTGGACTGATTTAATCAATTTTCAACAATTGCAAAAATCAAAAAGATATAATTGGGGATGTTTTACAAGGGCTGTGAAGAGAATTTCAATCGCTGTTTTTATTGAGTTAAAATAAATTAGAATAGTTTGTGTAGTGGGATCAGTTCGGTTAAAGTCATCTCAAACCTTACTACAACATTTCTTATTCCGACAAATTTCCTACAGCTGCAATATCATTAAATAAAGAGGAAAGAGCGATGTGCTTCAATGCGGGTCAGCTGTCTGCACATCTTATACAATTACATCATCCTTTTTAAATCTTTCTCTTTCACCATGATTAATCACAAAAGTTTTATTGCTTCAATGTGTGTAAATTATTTACCTGAATTATTCTGATGCAGAAGATTAGTTTGATGATAATATTTTAAAAGTATTCCTAAATTTTTGATTAAAAATAACCTTTCTTAATTATATGAAAGAAATTAATGGCTCAAATGAAACAAATAATATTCATCAGATTTTAATTTCTTTCTACTACCTTTTTATAAATTTTATTAGAAATGAATAATATTCTCAATTCTTACCAACTTTTCTGTTTCTATTTCTATTGGTAAGGTATACCTAAAACATTATGAGAAACAGCGAAATCACAATGTGCGTCGTTGGACAGCTGTCATTGTCCACTATTTCAACACGAGAATCATCCTATTTCTAGTCAAATACATTTGTAATCTGTCAAATTATCCCTTGCTATCACCTGGTAGATATCAATCCATCAGGTATCATTTAACATTGTTAGAAATTATTGATAAATTCAAATTATTATTGGTTTTAAATTAGGAAATTATCTTTTCTGTCTAAATTGCATTACGCTTTGGCAGATTCTCATCCTATCGTTTATTACTATCCATATTTTGATTCATTTTCTTTTTGTTTATTATTTATATTTTCTGTTTATTATTATCTGAACTACACTACACAGTATATCTATCATTCCCAATTTGAATTGGCAAAATATATAAAGGTTCTACATCTCTTCCTTGATGTTTCCTTTGATTGTTCCTCGTTAATTTAATTCTTAACAGGAAATATTTTACAGAGCACTAATTTTAAGTGAAACATATTTCCGGAAGATTCAATTAAGAAGAAAGAAATGTTGAAATGAGCATTTACATTCATATTTTAGTTATTCAATTTGTTTGCAATAAGTAGCTGTTGTAATTTATTCGGCACAAATCCATTTGAGAACTGAATCGGAATTACAGCTTTCGACATTGTGATCAGGAAGAGAGAGAGAGGAAGAAGAAGGGAGGGAAGAAGAGAGAGAGAGAGGCTAGCAGATTGAAATCAAAAATGAAATGCGGCAAAGAAAGATCATCAATTACTCAGTACAACCGGAAAAAACGAACATAGATTTTCTGCTTTGCTTTGCATTTTTGCAGCACTACTTATTCACCAGAAATAAAAATAATCCTATCCATTATATTCGTACAATTCCGATATCAAATCATCATCCGTTTCCTGAAGAATCATTCCTGACATCTTTTCGACGAGCTAAAATCAACACTTCTCTTCAATTCAGGCATTTCTAATTTCTCACATATCACATTTTTTTTTAATCCTCCATAGTTTTATAAAAGTCTTAATCAGAACCTTTGTTAAGAAATTTAATTCAATTCTGTGAGGCTAATAGTTTATTTATTAGTAAACGTGTATGTGTGTGTATGTGTGTGTATGTGTCATGTTCATCTAATACATTTAAACAAATCTTGTACTCTTTCATTTTCACAAGTAATGAATTTTTGATCATTGTTCTAGTAACGAACGAACAATTTCATATTATTGTTTATTTAAGCTAATAGACATTTTCTTAGGCCTTTCTATTTACTAAAATTTGCCTTGCATGAATAATGAAATGTTGTTGACAATAATTAAAGTATGGAGGAGAAACATCGTGAAATCGTATGAATTTTAATTTTAAAAGAATTAAATGGACGATTAAAAGATCTGTGAATAATTCAATTGTATGTGTATGAAAATAAAAGTTGTTTATTTTGTTGCTTTAATTAATTACTGATCTCTTGATCAAATGATATTATCTTAGCTATTTCAGCTATTTAAAATTCTTTCACTTCAATTTAAATCATTTCAATTTAATTCAATTTAGTTTAATTCATTTCATAATTTCTTTAAATATAATTAATATTGCTCAGAATTACAATATGAATATAATAAATAAGTAAATAAATTTTTAATTAATACAATAAATATGATCACAATTTTCTATTTTTTCTAGAAAATTTCAAAAGTTAATCATTTATATTATAGTAATAATGAAAGTCTATTTTAAACTTAATGAAACAAAATTTTTCGTTTGTTTAATCAGAAATAAATTAATAAAGAAGAATTAATGATATGATATAGGTATGAAATGATAATAGCAATATTAGCACTTTTCTCTTCTCTCTTCACATTAACAACAAAATGAATTAGAAAAGTTGTAGTAGCAACAATATAATTTCATTAATTCCTTCTATTGCTTATGCAGAAGAGCGCGGTACAGCTTCACTTTGGAATCAATTTGTCAATAATGCTTTTTTTTGACTATTTCATCCTTCTTTACATCTTTTTTGCAATGTCTAATTACTTTATATATATCACTATGATAACTTACTGATAACAGGTAGCGTTGTAATGCTAATTTTTAATTAATTTATAAAATTTAAGATTGGTAAGTATGATATTATGGAATACATTACAGATGCGCCTTAATATTTCAACTTAAACGAAGTACCATTAGGTTGGAGAAATGTGTTCAGTTGAAATTTGCTATATATCCATTCATTGATATTTGTTTTATAGTAATTTTAGAAGTTAAATTATTATTTAAAAAATTTTTGAATATTCTATAAATATGCTTTTGACGAAGAAAAATTTTGATTTGCTAATTTTAAATTTCGTAAAATTTCCATTCATTTCATCACTTTTTGAAAATGGAACAAATGCCAAGAAGGAAAATTAATGCCTATTATTATATTTATATCTATTTCCACAAATTTATATCACACATACATACATACATGCATACACATACACACATACATCACATACACATTGCATACACACACATACACATGCACACACATACACATTAAATAAATTATCAAAAGTAAAAGATGATCCTTAACGGAATGAATCGTTATCAAATTTATTTATTCTCTTAAAGTTATCAAAACATTTGAGTTGTCTTAAACGAAAACGCATTATTTTAATGATTAGTTCTATGTATGATACATTAAATGATAAAATTTTCGTAAATAAATTCAAGCAATTACATGCTTTTATGATTTCTTCCAATAATTTTGGATTAGTTGAAAAATGATCGATACATGAAATCTTTCATTTATTACCTGTCTCTCTAAAGTTTTTCTTTACTTTCTTTTGATATCTGAAATGTTAGACTACAGCATAAACAAGTGACATTTGACATTTGAAATTACAAAGCTAACTTGTTTATCGAATACATTATTCAGGTCATTATGGTCAGACTTAATTGAATGTCTTAAGTCAAATCTATCGCTTGCAGTAAATGACAGCTATGGATTTCTACACATTACAATAAATCGTTTAAATTATACATTGAAATTAAATTAGATCTTTTTTATAAAATAATTTTTTTCTGAACTATAGAAAGTGCAATAAAATGATTTGTTAAAGTTGAAAAATTTGAAAAATGCTTCATTAATAATTAAGAATATTAGGATGGTATAAAAAGACTAAAACAAAATAAAAAGTAAATAAAATTTATTACAGACTAATACGTCTTCTCTACCATTTATTTCTTTTGTTGCCAGCTTTCAAATAAAATATTTTTTCATTCAAACTGATATGTTTACATTGATCAATAGTGATATCTTAACATGTACAGAATTGATCAATAATGTATATTTGTCGAAATACTCTAAAGCTTCAATTATTTTAGTGTATTTGTTTTTTGGCTACTAAAATGGTTACAATGCGCAAATGGATAGGAATACGGAAAGCTGAAAAGAAATCTGATGATGTGAAATGAAATGTTGGCCCTATTCTTTAACATATTATTTTTACTGATTATTTCGTGTTCTCAAATTAGTGCATCTAAATCACTGTCCTGTACAAACAAATGCAACTGTGATAATTTCGATATGGTCAGTTTTATAATCAAATTCGAAATTTTATCGATCAATGAATAAATAATGTAGAAATGAAATAGTAAGAATTGTAAAAGAGAAAGAGAAAGAGAGAATAAAACTAAGAATATTTAAGAAAATAGAAGACATTTCTGTTGTTTTTCAAATTAAATTAAATTTCTATATTGTCATTTGCCATTTTTCGAATTAGGCTAAACTTTCTTCATAGACTAATCGAAAAAATTTCAATTTCAGGCAGGTGAACCCTAAAATGCTTTTTAATTTATAATATTTCCATTCAAAAAGTTGTAAATATACGAAATGATAAGGCAGTTGAATTAGGCAATTGAAATTTAAAAGTTGTTATAAAACTTTCAAAATCAAAATTACACATTGCATCACTGATTTCTAAAATCTTTTTTTATTAGATTTTCATCTATCAGATTTTTTCCACTCCTTCAAAAGACATTGATTGAAGCATTAAAGCTGGTGCTAACAAACTTGCTCTTTTGATAAAATGATTTAAAATATATGAAGCCTACTTCTTATATTTTTAAACGAAATTCAAATTTTTTCACTATAAATCGATATTTTGAAATTATAAATCGATATTTTGAAATTATAAATCGATATTTTAAATTTGTCTAATTCCCAGGTATAAAGTTAATCTTTCAGGTGGATTGTGAAGGAGCTGATTTCGAACAGATACCAATTTTATGGCAAAAAACGATTCGAGCTTTACACATTAAAAATTCGTCCCTTCTAGCCATTCAAAAAAATGCTTTTAAGAGGTATTTCAAATGAAGTGTTGTTTTAACATTCCATTTCCTTCCACAAATTCTAAAAGTACATACCTGACCTGTTCAAGCCAAACAGTTCACACAATCAGAAGTTTAACATTCTCCTAATTATTTGATTGAAAATAATTAGCTTCGATGATTTGTCAATATTTTTTAATGGGAAAGAATCTACAGAATCTTATCGGACATATATTACATCATATCACAATATCATTTAAGAAGGCTTCATCAATAATGATTTAAATTTAATTTTTGAAATGAATAAAATAAGAGTATACACTTTCTGTACTTAAAATGTACTTTTCCTTCAACATCGTTGAATGAATGAAAATTTGTTAAAAAAATGGAAAAAAGAAAACAAGAGAAGTATTTATGTTTAGATAAGAGCGCCTCATAAATTATATGTTTAAAGTATTGTCTTCCTTAGTGTGCCAGCAAATGTAACAATCTTTTTCAATACTTTTGTATCAGAGATGAAATGAGATGAGATATATCCAACAAATGCTAAATTTTCACATAATATTTAATAATGCAATTTACGACAGTTAGCTGCAAGAGAAGTTAAATTCAAATGCTAATAATTCAATTTGGTGACAATTTTTATTGACTTTGCTCAAACTTCTAATAATAGCATTCATACATTTTATGCTACTGAAAAAGAGAGAAGAAAAAAGTGCCTATTAATAATTCCTTTGTATATTTATATATATGCAATAGCTTGTTAAAAATATTGATGATATAATTTGACGAGCCAACTCATTACGACAATTTACAACGTTATAGAAATTGAAAAACTGTAATTTATAAAGTTGTTTATCAGTTAATTCTGATAATAATAATAAGTACCATAACAATTGTATCATGATTATTGCATTATGAAAGTAATTACATAAAATAAATGATGAATTGGTTGAGGTACCCAGATCTGAAAGAACTAGTAATCGAGAATTGCGATCGTTTACGTGCAATTGAAAAATTTGCATTCAAAGGCTTAAATCGTTTGAAGTAAGACTTTTCACCGCTTTTCAAATATGCCGTTATTTCATCATACATTTTAGGAACTCAGTTTTTTTCAACAAATTTGTCAACTTTTTTCAGGTTAATATATTAAAATTATATTTTTTTAATAAATCGTAGAATTGATTAGCAAAATGATGGAATAGAGATCTATAGTTCTTTGAGTATTTGAGAAGGGCATATATCCTCGTCAAACAACGATATTTTTGATCTCATTGAATAACTTGTAAGTTTTAAATGAAATTTTTGAATAATTAATAAGCTCATCTTAATTTCAATTCGAATTTTCTGTTAGAACAATTTTTTGAATAATATCATCTCCTGAAATGCTTTTACTTCAAATTATTAAATTTGTCATATAAAAATGAAATGGATAAGTAAATTTAAGATAAATCTCAATCATTCGGAATTTCTGAATAAATGAAGCATTTCTGATAAGAGTTTAAAATTATTTAATCTTTCTAAATAAATGAAAAGATGGCAATATATAGTAATATTATGGTGAGAATTGAAAAATTTACATATAATACACAATCTTTTAATTATAATAATGAAATAATTGATAAGAATACAATGTTATCATGAATTTGATAACCTGAATTATAATTAATTCGATTTTCTTATTATTTAATTTCAATATTCTTCCCATACTCATTTATTTATTTATTTTACATTAATTTTATTTCATTCAAATAGAAATTATCGAAGTTATCAGTTTAATAAAGAATATATTGATAATTTATGAATGTTTCGAAGTATCTCATGAAATGTTTGTTTGTTTGTTTGTTTCAGATTACTTCGCTTAGCTAACAATCCATCGCTAACTGATATAGCGAAGAACGCATTTTCGCAGATTTCTAATAATCATGGCTTACGAATTCAATTAGTTAATAATAGTTTTACTCGAGTACGACAAGGTTTCTTCAGGTAGTATAATATGTGTATTGTACTATTATATTGCCATTTTAATTTTTGTGAATGTAATTGATGAATTGAATTTTTTATTTTATTAGACGAGACCAATCAGTAATAATCATTACGAAGATTAGTTCATTTCAATGGTTCCTCTAGCATTACAGACAATTGAGTCGCTTGAGAGAGTTCACGTTAGAAGGTCAAAACTTGAAAATTGAAGTGAATGCCTTCGCCGGCCTTACGCAAGTCGACTTTTTCAATTTATTCGGTGTGATTTCATTCGGATTACGACCATTCGAAAATGTTTCCAGAGTACATAGGTAATAAAATTTCACTTTATAACTAATTAAATATCAATTATAGCCATCCTCTCTTCATTTTATTCCTCTTCTCTTTTCGATCTTTGATTGTATCCACTCCTTGGATATCTAAGAAATTGGCTAAATGTTCATTCTTTAGCAGAACAGAAATGTTGTATCATTCATTCTTTCTTATCTTACGGTATTATAATACCATTTGTTTGAAAGTTGCTTAATACAACATATCCATCAATGTAAGAGCGCAAATGAGATAAACGCAACAAATGAGAAAGAAGTGGACAATGTCACATCTCAGATCATTCCATTTAATTCATTGGGTTTTTCAGGTTTGAAATTAGTCGTTCAAATTTTTCTATCTCACCTGGTGTATTTACCGCTCTATCACATGTACGAGAAGTAAGCAATGGTTAAATTCATTTTTGCTATTTGAGAAAAAAATGAGAAAGGAATTAATTAGCTAAAATAAAATTGATCATATTTTGATTTTCAAATCTTCCAAACATTTTTGAATTTTTTGAAAATCTAAAATATCCATTAGTGATTTATCGTATGTTACAGATTTATATCACCTCAAATGATATTGATACTATAAATACGGGAGCATTTATCGGTCTTTATACAATTGGATGCTTAACTGTAAGTGATAATAAAATTGGGAACATTTCGGGTCATGCATTTTCATCTATCGTCAATATTGGAGAGATTATTATTGAGCGTAACAATATACGACATCTGGAAACGGAAGCTCTGATAAGTGAAGCATGGCGAACCAGATTTCGGGATAATATACTGTATTGTAGTTGTATTATTAATTGGCTAAAACATATCAATGTAAAGATTATTTTTCGCTTTTATTCTACATTCAAGTATCGTATGAAGCTTTTTTCTTAGGTCTTATATTTTTCTATGTACTAAAAGTGTTAGAGTGAGAGTATTTATTGTTGAAAATAGTAACTTCTCAATTTAGCTAAATAATCTTTTTAAATTTAGCTTTTACTCTTCTTAAAAGAAGTTTTGAAATAATCAGAAAAGAAATGGGTAGTATGCTTATTCATTTTAATAATATCCAATCTTCATTGAAATCATTGATATATGTAAAAATATTAAGGCTAAAAAAATTTTGATCGTAGTCCATTCCTAATATTTTTGTCTTACTAGCAGATCTCATCAATAAAATTTAATGAAAGCAAAACTTTCGTATCATAAATTAATTTTTGAACTTTGAGAACTTTAATCAACTCTCTGCTAAATTCAATTCAATTCAAAAAGATTTAATTATAAAATTGAAATCGGAATATTTTGCAGGATTCAATGTTATTAAAGAAGAATTTTTGTGGTGGAGAAGGATTTCATCGATCTCTTTCAAATTACAAGCCAAGCTGTCAACAATCAAAACGAGGACAATCGATAACAATTCCTACAAAAACTCTTCATTTCATTACTGTCTTTTGCTTAGTTATTGTTTACATCAAATCGTTTTGATATTTTTCTTTCTTTGTTTGAATTCGAAAAGTACAAAGATCAAAAAGTTATTTGGAAATCAAAAACTACACAGTCGCAAGAAAAATACTCCATTTGATTAAATATCATTTCTTTTTAATTTTTTCAACGCATAGTTTTTACTTTTAATTATTAACTGATAACTTTTAGTGTGGGAATTACAACAGTTATTCTGAATAATATCAAATATCATTTAAATAAGTCATCTTCCTCCAGGAATATAACTGTTCTGTTGAATGGAATGGATTAAAACTTTAGATTTTAACGTTTTAAAAATATTCAAAATCTTTTGTTATTCCTATTATCACTGTTAATAATACTATAACTAATTACTATGACTTCTGTGTCTTTCATTCGCATTTGTGTCTATTATTCTTGCATAATTTGAAGTTAATTGAATTTCATTAAAATTTAATTTGAAATGATTAACTTTCTCATTTAGGATTGACTTTTTCTCATAACATGGAGGATAAAAGTTTTACCTGTTGAAGGGAAATGATCGAAATAGGAGTGAATGATTTTTTGCATACGCTTCGTTAATTGGTAAAATTAGTAATTACAGTTATTAGGAATAATTACTTAATAATTGCATATATATTTTATTCAGGTCTTATGTGATACATTTTGCGTTTGTTATTTCAATTCACAAATAAAAGTATATGATCATTTAGGCTTCTAAAAGTAATATTAGTTCACCAATACAATTTAATCATTTTTACTTCGAATTAAAACATATGCAAAGCAAAGTTATTTTTGGAAAGTAAAATGGATGAATTTATCATTATCAGCGATGTATGCAATCCCGAGATTCTTTTTCAAATTTGATTTCCATATTGACAGTACCGATATTAAAGAATTTTTTCACATGTTCACCACTGTTCACATATGAACTTGGTATCTCAAATGCTATTTTACGTTGGCAGGGCTGAAATGACAGCTTATCATATGGATTTCGCTGAACAAATTAAAGAGTTTAAGATTGGAAGAATAGTTATATAGTTATGCTGATTTGAAAGATTTATTTCAAAATTTGGGAGTTTTTCTCAAGATTTGATCATTTAAATTAATTTGAATTAAAATATTTAGCCTTCCATTAATCCATCATCGCAATCGTGATATATTTTCAGAATGGGATCGATAGTGGTAATTTCACTGGTATAGCCACTTAATTCAAAATAGCCATTAGCGTCTGTTGTCCCTTCTTGTAATAAATCATCAATATCTGTTGCTGAAAATCAATTTTGATTTATTAGTTGGAAATACAAAAGTAAGTAAAATACTTTTTTTGGCATTTCACCCTTTCAGACCGATGCGAATCATTTGTGAATGGATAATTAGTCAAATCTAATAAGTTAAAATTGATAATTGAATTCATAATCCACAATCCGGTAATAATCAAAATACAGTTACTTTGTAGATAATAAAGAAACTTGGGACGAAATTTATTATTATTGACCGATTTCCAGAACGCAGTTGAAATGGAAAAATTCTTACTCATTTTCAAAATAACTTTTTCTTTGCAGAATATCGTTAAATTGGATGAACTTGAAAGACTAGAATTTCAGTAACAAACCAACCATCTTCATCCCATAGTTTTACTTTTGTATGTGCTAAAGGAAAATCACCACACATCAGAACTCCCCGTACACCAGCACTTTGTGTTCGGAATCCATTTGCCGTATAGAACAATACTGCTAGTAAGGATAAAATGAACATCTGCAATCATAAAGTTTTTATAAAAATTTGAAATGTTAAATTAACAACAGCTTGCCATCAGTGCATTTTATTGTTTCAACCGAACATAACAAGAAGAAGGCCTGGAAAAGATTTGTAAGGAGAGAGTTACTTCTACTTGGCTAAACATGCGGATACGGTATTTTAACTTTGAAACTCTTCCAGAGTGGAAATTTTAATTCATCCTGCGTCATTTTGGCAATAGCATCATGCTCTATGTTAAAATTGATGCTATACCTAATTAAAATGCATGTGATCGGAAATCTTAAAATCTGTTTTATCGATATTTGATCGATACTGATCACTTCTTATTGTCCTATAATGAGATAAAATTATAGGATTAAAGACATAATAACATGCAATAGTATGTATCATAGTATCATTTAGTATTGTTAAAAATAAGAAAGCGGCATTATTTAAAAATCACTGAATATCAGTGCGTGCATTTTCAGTCATTGCCAATTTTGATTTTAATATCAATTCAATAAAGTTATTTCGAAGGTCCCGAATAAATGTTGCAAAGTTTTAACTGTGAATTTTAACCTTTAACTTTAACTCTTAATATCTGGCAAAAAAAAAGGCCAGCATAGAATGGGCGAATGCCCGATCTTAGAATAATAATCTTTTATGTATAATTAATTTAAACTGAAATATCTGATGCTATCTTTTCATTTATTACTACTTCATTCATATGCAGAAAGTGAACGAGCAAGAATCTCAAAAAAAAGTTAGCAAATTTAATTTACTTCGAAAACCAAAAAAAAGCGCAAATTCAACTCGTTTTGCTGATCGTTACCGCTATCAAAAATGATACTGCTTATCATGTTTACATTCTTTCATATAATACACAATATGTATGACATGTCGATTTGAAAAACCAGTTTTACATTTCCACAAACTGTTGAATTGTTGATATACACCATCACTCATATCATTTGTGACTTGACCTTTACTCCAAACCTTATTGAATTTTCAGTTCATACTTTTAAAAGACTAATAACAGAAATTTAATCATTCAAAATGGATCATAACCATCATGATATCTGTAATGTTCGGTTAAATATCGATAACAATTTTGAAGTTCAAACTGTCACTTTCAATGCTGTGTGCATTCTCCTTGATATAACAAAAATTTAGGATATCAGAAAAGTCAGTTTAGCAGGAGGTTCCAAAAATTTTACTTTCAAACATACATATAATATTTTTATAATATTCAGATACAAAATTATTTTATAACATTCACGCTATAAAATTGAAACTTCAATAAGTCAGAATTTACTATTACAAGTAATTTAAAAGAGTCTACAGCATTCATTAAAATACAGTTTTATTTTATAAAATGTAGTATAGCTAAAAAAATTTCTCGCATATGGAATCTTGGATATTGTTAATCTTATTTAAAAGAAATTTCTATTAAAAAAGAAGAATGGAAATTTGAAGAGAAATGAAACTTCAATGAAAAATCATTCCGATATTCATAGAAATGTTTTGCAGAATGAGTTTTGGATAAGATAAACAAAATTTTATTATTATTTGCGTCAGAATTCCTGGAACAATTAGCTCCAAAACAACTTGTATAAGTGAAACTACAGTACAGCTGGCAAAATCGAAGTAACAGCTCAAATTAACAGTTTCCCAATCAGATGATAGTAAGTAATTAGGTCCATTGCTCTTTGTTATTAAATAAACAATAAAACAGCATTCGACAAGGAACTGATATGGCATAAAAAGTAAAAAGAAATCATAACAATCATTCAGATTTCTCTTTTAAGTAATTTATAGACGAAATGTTTTTCTTTTTAATTTACAGACATTCTGAAATGGCTGAAATATTACTTACAAAGTTTTCTATGTGTTAAGTGAATGTACACTGAATTACAAACAAAAAACATTTGAAAATTAAAAATAAAGAAAATTAAAATTGTAATACTTAACATTAATATGAGCTGAATAATGCTGAAAGCAAAATATTTATAATTTAATAACAATAGCATGTGAAAAGGAAATATACGATATAGTAAATTAATAAGCGGTATTTAAATTGATTTCTTCGTCTTATGTAAAAAAATTTAAATTTTGTAAAAGAATTTTACATGAGACAAAGACAACAAATATCAATCTAAATTCATAAAGTATCGGTTTATAAATTTCTATGTCATAAAATGCATATACATATATTTGCATTAGTTGATATCATAACTTCCAATATAAACCTTTCCATTTCTGAGCTATCCATATTTGAAGCAAACACTGGGAATCGAAAATGCTCCTTTCCGGTAAACCAATGGAACAGCAATCAAAGCTCGGAATTATTAACCACAGGTTTCGATGGAACTCCGAGGGGCCAATTGGTATTTCGCGGTTAATTAGCGTCATGAATTGTGAGTAAATAGACTGGACAATTTCCGGTTATTTGTGCTGTGGCCATCGTCGATTGTTACGCCGCTGTCTCTAGCCGGAAACAAGTCATCACGAATACAGAAACGAGGGTAAAGTTTGAAACTCAAACTTCATTGCCAATGTTTCGGACTATTTTGGTAATGTAAATGTTTAACGAACTGTATGTTCTTGTCCCATTAGCGGAGCGAAAAGATCTATGTTCGGAATGTATCGGATTACTGAATCAGGTTAGCTTGTTTTAGATTTTTGTCGAATTTCTATACTATACTTTGTTATTGTCAAAATTTAAATTGAAATATAATGCAGGAATGGCCACGAAGCGTAGGTGCACGTGAGAATACGCTACGTAAATCACTTAATTTAACGCCTCCTATGTCGTTCATTGTGGTCGACAAAAAGACGGATAAGTTGATAGGTCATGCAAGGTTATGTCCACTTCCGGCTGTATTGCAAAGTTGTTGGATCGAATCCGTTATCATTAATAGCAGTCTGAGAGGTAAAGGTTTGGGTTGTTGGCTAATGGCACAACTGGAAGATGAAGCTAGAAAGTTTGGTTTCAGGAAGGTAAGCAACACTTTTGGTGATTTTTAAATGTTAAGAACTGTATTCCAAACAAAGCACTGGCAGTAATAGTGCCATGGAATGATTATACAAGAAAACATTACTGATGTCTTTAAATTTGCACAAAATCATATCCTAATGCTTAATTCCTTTTAGGCTTATCTATCTAGTAAGAATAAACAGAGATTTTATGCAAAATGTGGTTATTCAACTTGTGGACCAGTGTTTAATGCTGGTGCTAATGCTGCGTTATTTGAAAGATTCGATTTGGGAAGATCTTTATTGTTAGCGTTTAATGGATCTTGTAATGTATGTGAGCTTTTTTCTGAATACAATTTTTTATCCTTCTTCAGGGAATTTTTGTCCTTTTTCAGGGAAGTTTTTGTCAGCTTTATTTATATAAGTTCTACCCATTTTTGATAGCTTTTCTACATAGCAGCTAGTCTGTTGTTGTGAGCGCGTAAGATAAAACCTGGGAAGCTCAAAAGTCATTTTTAAATGTGTAGTTAATCTTGGTATTTAGAACTAGATCATTTTTAGATTGATATAGATAGTTGTAATTTATTGAGCAACAAATCAGTCTCAAAAATTGCAGTCTTAGTAACTGTAAAATTATTGTTTTTATGGTTAACTTAATTATTATAGATTTTTAGAGTTATATATATTATTCTTATGAAAATCTTATATTTGCAGGACCAAATTACTCAGACTAATTCATCAAAACATAGTACTTCCTGTAAACCTGCTTCGTCCAAAAAAACCTTAGCAATTCCACCACCAGCTCCTCCTCCTCCTCCTTCTCTAACGTCAATGTTATCAACCGGTGAAGTAATAAAATTTGGTAGCAAACAGATTGATTATATGTTTAAAATACTTTAATAATTTTAAATGCATTACTTTCATTAGTTGCTCAATAACTTATGGTTCTATGCATGTCTTTTTTGCGCGTAATCAGTGTTTGCTTAATCATTCGACATCGTTTTTATGTTATGTTCTTAATATTTCATTAACTAATCGGTAAATTGATCATTATTGTGCTAATTGCCGCCTTTTAAATTTACAAGCTTTTTTTACATGGTGCTAAATTATTGTAAAAATATTTTTTTTTGCATTTTGCATTCTGAATAAATACTTTTCAGACCGACTTTTCATGCAGGTACACATGAATTTCGTAAATAGTAGTAGTGGAGAAAACTGCTTTATTTTACTTACTTAAAACATCTATGATAAATGAGTGATTATTCAACTGAACGCATCTTTTGCTGGATAGGGGGCAAGGTTTATATAGAAATGCCTAGAGAAAATGAAAAGTCCCTATTGACTGTTAAATTGATTGATTTATGTTCAGTTGATATCAGTTTGAGATTTTGTACCAATTGATTCTACTGACATATTAAGGTTCGGGCTAATTTGGCCAGAAGGAGCTTTGTTTTTTTATCTTTTCGACCAAATAAAGTGTTACTTTTGTTTTACTGTTGTATTATTACTATTATAATTCACTCATTTTATTTTTATCTTTTAAGAGTTACGCATAATGGAGAATGATAAATTTTAAGAAAATATCTGGAGAGACTTTCCTCAATTATTATTTCCATCAGTCTACTATAAAATGACCTTTTTTTTCTCAGGATTATAAAGAGCATAGTTAGACTAAGAAGCGTGTTCTATGTGATATGAAGATGTGAAAGAAAAGCTAGTGTAACGAACCTGGTCTATCAGTTTGAAGCCTAGGATCTTTAAGGAAGAGCAAGTGGGCTTAAAGACCCTAGCGTATATTAGAAGACAGCAATTTCGCGGATATAATTAAATCAGGGAGTAATACAAGTATGGTCGTCATCCCATCATCGAAAATGACTTCAACATTATTTTTCTATTCATACTACTTCTGAGCAGCATTTTTCTTCTTTCATTCATGGTACTATTATAGTAATAATACTCATATATTTATATTTTATCTTTGACAGGAACTACTCTTCTAGTATTGTAATATATATATAAAGGAAGAGAGAAAGGAAGAGAAAGAGAGAGGGAAAAATTATGTCGCCGAATTCATTAAGTGACAAATGAAATAACATTGACGAGTTACTTTATTTGCTACAAATATTTTTTATGACAGATTAAAAATGTATAGAACATTTTATTACCAATCAAAAGCATCATTCTTCCATCATCAAAGAAAAAGATGACTGATGTAATTAATACTTATAAATTTATTTAAAAAAAATTTTTGATACTGTCATAAGAATCATCCTTCACTTTCAAATCTCTTTCTTTTATTTCCATCTATGAGAAAGGTAAGTATTATTTGATGAAAGCATTCTTCAGTTTAGAGCAATGACAAAGTTTGACTTCATGTTTCAGTAGATCGCGGATTGCATTTCAAATACCAAACAGATGATTTTAACCAAAGTATTTAACTACAAAAACTAAGACGCATATAAACGCATATAAACACAAAATGAAAATTCACATATCGATACGAATTACAGATTTCTGCCTGTTTCTTGTATATTTCATTTGAATAATTAATATCGTAAATTTGATGACTTGACTTTGATGACATTAATTTCTTAGACTAAACTCATTACCTGAAGAATTTTCAAATATTTGTATAAATTATTTATTATATAATTATTAAGATGACCCAACATGCTTAGCTATTTATTTGAAATAACACTTTAAATTCCCAATTCACTCTCAGTTTTTCATTTCTGTTCCTAAAATTATATGCCTTCTATTCTTTATGACATCCATTCCATACAATTCAATTCTGAGCAGAATTTCTTTTTCCTGAAATTCATCAATTTCAACAAATTTTCATTTAGTTTATGTATCGAATCGCTTACTTTAATCATTCTAATCATTTAAAAAAGTTTTCTAATTTCAAAATATTTTAATCTTTTTTTTCTCATTTATTATATTGAAAATCTGAAGAAATTTACGATTAAATTGAGACTTCTAAACTAATTCTAATGAAGTGATGAGAACAAGTGGGAAGTAATTCCTAAAATTCTAAAATCACACTAAGATTATTTCCTGATTTAGAAGCTAAAATTTTCATTGAATTTTGCATCGCTTCTTTTAAGGGAAGAGAGAAGAAGGAGGAATGCTTCTCATTAAACCAATTGTAATGTGTTTGATGGAATTGAAATGAATTTTTCATGCTCAGAAAGATAATGGTAGCAATTTCTTATATAAAATAAGATATTAAAATTAATTCATAAAATCAAAATTTTATTATTTTTGCTTATTTATTTCGAGAAATTTATAATTAACAGTATTTGACTATAATTAATAAATTAGCATAGGAAAGATATGATAAGATCGATTCTATACACTATTATTATCATTGATAAGTACTCAAAGATTATTTTTTGCTTAAAATTCAATCATTTTTAAAATTAAATGAAACTTGAAAGTTCCCATTTGGAAAAATTCATAATTTTCTCAAAACTTATCGCTTACAATAAATTTTTTTGATCTTTAATTGATTAAATTTAGCTGAAACAATTAATCATTTACAATAAGAAAATTCAATAATTATTCTCATTCCTTTCTATCAATTTATAAAGTGCCTTTTTAATTTTTAGCAAAATGGCTTGCATTAAAACAGGCGATTAATTTCATTATCAATCAAAAGAAAGTTAAGAAATAAATACATACTACTTATTGCAAAGTTTTGTTGTTCCAAATTTGCAGTCATCCTTAATAGTGTGACATTTGCGCTATATCAAGCTATCACGATAAGGAGCATTGAATTTTTTCCACCCGTGCATGCGACAAAGGTGTGGACATTGTGGATATATTGCTAAATCATCATGAGAAACTACGATAAATGTTTAACTTTTCTCTTCTGTCCCGAGTTACCAGCGGTCTATTTTCTTGCTTCAACTATATATTCTATTTATAAATGAACGAAATTGTTGAGATAAGAAAAGCTCTCCATTCCTTATCCAAAATGCTTCTCTCCCATTGAATCTCAACAAAAAATCCATCGATGTGGCAGTACTTCAATGTTCGATCTTCAAATGCTCTTCTTAATTTTCGTCTGTTAAAGTTTAGTCTTTCTCAGTAACATTGTTAAAATGCAATGAGAAAGAAATCCACTATTTGCTCAAATTTTAGTAGTGGAAAAAGTTTCAAATTTTAGATGCATAATTAATTACAATTAAAGTAAGTTAGATATTTAATTTGAATGAAATTTGCGAATCGATTCAATTTCAGGTATCAAACAAATGATTTGTTACTTTCTAATGCAGGCTAATTTTACTGAAGAAAATTTGCTTTATTTCTTTCATCAACAATCTAACGAAATGGAAAAATGAGTTATTAACAATACAATTGGCAAACAATCCTCCTGTGGTTAAAAATCTAATTTTGCAAGAGGCCTGATAAATTTTAATGAGCCTGAAAATCGAAGGGTTAACATAATAAAGTATGCAATTGCCATGAGTGCTTAAATGTTTTCCTGCTTGCTTTTTTCCTTCTAAAGTAGCTTTTAGAATCGGAAATTATTGAAAATAACGGGACAGTATTTTCTTGCTTTAAAAATTTCCAACAACTAATTCAGAAATAGACAAAGGTCGTTAATTCTATAATTTAATAAACTTTCCTTGTAAATAGTTTTTCAAAGATAATAAAAGAAGTTTGAAAAATGTCAATTATAATCAGATCTGTCTGGTTAGCCGATGTCCATCCTCTTTTATAATAATCTTTCTTCGCTTCAATTAGTGAAAGTTTTGATAAAAACAAACTGTTCTGATAAAATGATCAATCAATATAAACAATGGAAAGTTTCGATTACAAAAACTTTTACTTCTTCACGATTGCCTTACATGGAAGATTCGGAAAAAAGTAAGATGAAATATTTATAAATGAGTGAAATGGCTTAACAGGAATACATTTTATGTTTTCTACTTTACAATCTAGTCTAAGGTCAAGTGTTTTCTTTTTACTACTCCAAGATTCTATTAAGTCTTTAAACTTAGGCTACAAGAATATATGCAATATTGGAGAACTACTGCATCATAAAGTAATTGAAAATTCTGCTAAGTTATAACGAAGGAATCATTATCTCATCGTAGAAAGAAATATTAGCGATATTCGCATTTTCAAAAAGGAGAAAATTTCCTCATCAATCATAAAATGAATAAGAAAAACAACAAGAAGAAATAAAACTAAAAAGAAAGATGGAGTATAAAGCCTTTGAAGTTTTGATTAAAATTCAGCTATAGAGGCTAATCATTCTTTGAAATCGAAATGAACAAAGCTTGTCTTCTTCCTTTATTATGTTAAAAGAATTAATCCATTCATTTAATCTGAGAAAAGTTCAAAATCATTAAAATTAATGTTTATTCAATTTCAATCATTTCTACTTCAATTCGAACTTCTGAAGTAAGTTGTATATTTATCATTTCATAAGTGTTTACCCGGCCTAGCCTTCAAGCCTTGAATGCATCAATTATCTATTCCTATTGCTCTGTTACATACATCCATTTTTCAACCAAAAAAGAAGAAGAGCTCCTTTATTTTAATCATTTCAAATCATTTAAAACGATCCATAGCACTTTTCAACATCAATTCTTTCTTCATAATCTTCACAAATTATTGCTATTTACTTAATTGATTCCTTCTTCAATTGCTTGGCTAACGTAATTCTTGGCCCAAGCAAACAGTAGAATACTATTTGTGTCATTTTCATTTTCTGCATCTCTGATTTGTGATACATTATGGAAATTGTTAAAATAAGCCATGATATTATGAGATATTCGAAATCTTCACCATATTATTCAATAAATTAAGATTGAATTTTCTTCGTGGATATCTTTCATTTTCAAATACAAATTGCTTTTTCTTTTAATTTTAAAAACAATCGGATA